GGTACCACTGTATCTGACTTTTAGAAGACATCTGAAGGCAGTCCTGTTTAGAGAAGTTTTTAATGGTTGATGTTTTATCGTGTTTTTAATACTGGGAGCCGCCCAGAGTGGCTGCGGAAACCCAGTCAGATGGGTAGGGTATAAATGAAGAAATTATTATTATTATTATTTATATCTTTAAGCAGCAGGCAAAAACATTTCTCTTCTTCCAAGCCTTTGGCTAATTAAAAAGGCCTTTTAAACCATAAGAGGATGGTATCATAATTGTCTGTTATTATGTTATGTAATTTTGTGCTTTTATATTGTATAGTGAGTGCCATGCTTAAATGAAGGGCAGTATAGAAATTTAATAATTAGGTTGGAGTTTTATTCGGGGGGGGGGGGGAAGAAATTTAATAACTAATGATATGCAACAATAATTACTGCATGTAAAGATATAACCCACAACATGCCTTCTTTAGGAATTAACTATAAGAATCATTAAAATGGGACAGATTTAAACCGCCCCCCCTTTCAGTTTTGAGAATCTTCGCTTCCTCTCCTTCTTACACATCCATTACATTCCAGGTCTCCCCCCTTCCTCCTCAGCTGAGCTTATGCAGGCTGCCTTGTGCAGCTTTTTTAGAGTTCAGCAGAGGTTGTGTTACATAACTCAGCCCCCCGGGCACCGGAGCATTTCCACCTTAGTGCTTCCAAAAGTGACACAGCAGAGGAGGGGGCGCCACGTTCCCCCTCACCTCCGATCCAGTTGCTACTACACAAACCCCACCACAACAAAACCACCAGCAGAAACTCCACAGAATGCATTTTGGGCACCAAGGAGAGGAAGGATGGAAAAAGGTCTCATCTGGTGCCAGCCAGCAGCCCACAGTTTGTGCAGCTGGAATCCAAGTTCATTGGCAGGTTTGTCCCTCTCCTGAGTTCTGTAAGGGCAACACTGGGCCTAAGGAAGAGGAAACTGACAGGCAAGTGGAGGCTGGCTGGGGGCAGGCAGAGATTGGTGGGGCAGTGCCCCACTTGCTCACATGCACTGGGTGCCACTGGTTCAATCTCTGGCACCATAAGGGATCTGGTAGCAAGTAAAGGGAAAGATCTCTTCTTCCTGTAACCTCAGAGAATCATTAATCAATAGTAATGGACATGAACCAGGTTAGTATATGGGCAGATGGTCTCACCTTGTACAGTGGTTACAAACACTTCAGGTTACAGACGCTTCAGGTTACAGACTCCGCTAACCCAGAAATAGTACCTCGGATTAAGAACTTTGCTTCAGGGTGAGAATAGAAATCGTGCAGCTGCGGCGCAGCGGCAGCAGCAGGAGGCCCCATTAGCTAAAGTGGTGCTTCAGGTTAAGAACAGTTTCAGGTTAAGAATGGACCTCCGAAATGAATTATGAAAGGTAAAGGGACCCCTGACCGTTAGGTCCAGTCGTGGTCGACTCGGGGGTTGTGGCGCTCATCTCGCTTTATTGGCCGAGGGAGCCAGCTTACAGCTTCCAGGTCATGTGGCCAGCATGACTAAGCCGCTTCTGGCGAACCAGAGCAGCACACGGAAACGCCGTTTACCTTCCCGCCAGAGTGGTACCTATTTATCTACTTGCATTTTGACGTGCTTTCAAACTGCTAGGTTGGCAGGAGCAGGAACCAAGCAACGGGAGCTCACCCAAGGTACCACTGTATAAAGTGGCTTCCATTGTTCAGTCCTTCAGTGCTCGCTTAAGATTGAACGGGGATTCTTGTGAGCCGCAGGCATTGGAAGCACAGAACAAGAGGTTGTTGTGTCTCCTAGGATTTAAATAGTTCAAGTGTTTGGCCATGTATTCATAACAGTTAAAGAATGGTATAGAAACCCGAGAAAGAGAATATGGATTTCTGCCTGCTTTTGAAGGATTTGCTTATGGGCTCTATTGATTACTTATTGAAGGATTGATTTAAAACATTTCTGTACTGCCCTTCATTGAATCAGATTCCAGGGCAGCATGCAACAATATACTGTAGATTTAAAAAAATTTTTAAAAACCTAATGCAGTATTTATGGGAATGGGAGATTGTGACCATTGCAAAGTAATAAATCCAGAATAAGATGATGTGTGTTACAACAAATGAACTGCCATGCAAAAGCTCTCTTCTGCAGTAATGTAAACATTCTGCAAATATATATATATGGGAATAGTCTGAATATAACAGAATCTATAATACATACTAGTGTGGTATAATAGCTAAGAGTCTTGGATTAGGTCTGGGGAGGTTTGGGTTCAGAAGTCCCTGCTCTGTCAAGAAGGTCCTTGAGTGTCCACAATCTCTTCACCTAGCCTTCCTCACTGGGTTGTTGTGAGGGCAAAAGTAGAAGAGGAAGACTCATAGACACCCCCCTCAGTTTCTCAGAGAAAGTGTAGGATAAAAATGCAGTATCAATGGAATAAAAAACCAATCTTGGGACTATGAAATTACTTCTTTACAGGTACACAGTTAAACTATGGAACTCGCTTCTTCCACAGGGTGGCTGCCAACTTGGATGGCTTTAAGAGGATTAGACAACTTCATGGAGGGTAAGGCTCTCAGTGGCTACTAGCCACAATGTCTGCTCTGCCTCCATGGTTGGAGACGGCAATACTTCAGAATACCAGTTGCCGGTCAGATTAGACGACCCATTGGTCTGATCCAGCAGGTGCTTCTTCTGTTCAGTGGCCAGCCAGATTTCTAATTAGGCATACAAGCAGGACAAAATGGCAACAGCCTCTGCTATTTGTCCCCAGCTTGGTCCTTGGATAAACTGCTTCAGAATATGAAGCTTGGTCATTTTCTACCTTAGCGGAGCTCACTTAGTGAAAACTGTTGGACATTCTGCAATCAGAGGTGTCATCTTCTCAAGATGATTGAGAGGGCTCGATGCTATGCCCTGACATCACACATGTGACATTGTGGGTCGTCCTGACATCATGCACACAATGTCACAAGGAGTCAGGGAACGGGGCTGAATGCCCTCTGAAGACTGGGGGGCCTGGCCTCCTCAAAAACAAAACACTGGAGGGTGAAAGTGCCTCAGCCTCTAGGAGCTGGTGTTTATGCTCTCTAGATCTATTTGGTGAAGATAGGTTGATGTTCAGGGTTGGGCAGATCTTTCTAAACTTAAAAAAGATTCCAAATACCAATAGATTCTCACCTACCTCACTCTTCATTTAAGTTTTCCCCAGTAAATATCTGCCATCCTGTCACTAGAAATATGGAAGGAATGGTGTTTCGTTTCAGAAAATTGCTAGACTGGAACAGAGAAGAAGTAGCAGCTGATTGATTTACTGCTGGCTCAGAATCCAGTCCAACTGAAGCATTTCATTTCATCAACAATAGAGATTTAAGCATCTGGTTCACTGGCACTTATGACTGGAATCCTACCAGTGTGTAGGTTTCTGGAAGTCCAGTTGAACTCAATGGGTCCTCCAAAGGCCAGACTGTGTGTCCCATAGCTTTCCCAGAGGCCTCAAATTTAATGGTGAGCCCTGTGCAATGGTTGGAGAGGCCAAGGTTGAAATCCGCACACATTAGGTGACTTTAAGAACATCAGAATAGCCCATCCGGTCCAACATCCTGTTCTCACCTTGGCCAACCAGATGCCACGGCCAACTTGCCAGCAGGCACTGAGTGAAGCAGCAACTCTCCTCACTTGTGATTCTCAGCAACTAGGATTCAGAGGCATAGTAAAAAGGTAAAGGTAAATACCCTCTGTATGGTTAAGTCCAGTCAAAGGTGACTATGGGGTTGCAGTGCTCAATCTTGCTTTCAATCCAAGGGAGCCGGCATTTGTCCACAGACAGCTTTCCGGGTCATGTGGCCAGCATGACTAAACCGCTTCTGGCACACGGAACACCATGATGGAAGCCAGAGTGCACAGAAACACCAACTACCTTCCCCTCGCAGCGGTACCTATTTATCTACTTGCACTGGTGTGCTTTCTAACTGCTAGGTTGGCAGGAGCTGGGACAGAGCAACGGGAACTCACCCCATCGCGGGGATTCGAACCACCGACCTTCTGATCAGAAAGCCCAAGAGGCTCAGTGGTTTAGACCTCAGCACCACCCGCTCCCTGGTTAGCCTTATCTTCCATTAATTTGCCTCTTTCCCCTTTAAAACCATCTCTGCTCCTCCCTTTCAGCCTCCCTCTCAGGGTTGTAAGGAGGAAAAATGGGGCAGCGGAAGGACCCTGTAGGCAGCCTTGAACTTTTTCAAGGTGTTAAAATGTGGGGGTATGAACAGAATGCAGTAAATCTAGTGGTGACAATTGTCTTTAGATGAATGCTCAGCTTCGGCAGGATCAGATTCCCCTGGAATTTTATTGGTGTTTTTGAAAAATAAGCTGACAAGTTGAAAGGTTTTCCTGCAGTGGTTATTATTATTATTATTATTTATTTATTTATTATTTTTTGAGACTGGGGGTTAAAGGTGCTGAGAGAGCAAGAAAACTCCTCGATCATCATCTTTCTCTCCCTTCGTGCGCCCTCTTTCCCCCCTCTTCTCTCCACTCAACAATCGGGCGCTTGTGCAGAGAGAGAGAGAGCGAGCGAGAGAGAGGAAAGCCACAGGGCCGCCTTTTGGCTCCGGCACAGGGAGACGTCATGGATTCCTGAGTGTGGAAGTTTGCAGGAAAGCCCTCCGTTTAGGAGATGGAGCCGATCCAAGGGTTTCCATGGCGCTGGGCATAAACAGGAGGAAACAGTGAGGGAATCCCGTTATTTTACAGCATTCAACGACTATAAACACTCGGCGCAGGGAAGGAAGTGGCCTTTCCCTCTCGACTTACCCTCCTCTCGGGGCACGCAGAAGAAGCGCCCTCCGCGCGCTCCCAGGACCCACGCGCGGACCCTCCACGCGAAAGCGGCCGGCCAGCTGCAGCAGCAGGGCTGCCCGCTGCGCGCCTATGCTCTAGAGAAGAGCACCTACATCCATAAATATAAATATATATATATCTTTGCTTCTTTCTCTCTCTCTCTGCATAGAATATATTTACAACCATCCAAATGCAGAGAGAAACGGCGTGCCGGCTGGTGCACTACCATCACATCATGAGGTCTGTGGATCAAGGTAGAGTCCTTGCATTTTTTATTTTTATTTTTAAATGGGGTGTTTGAAACTCTTTTCTTTCTCTTTCCTCCGCTTCTCTATCCCTGGCCTCGATTGTGCCGCTCGCGGCTGAGGAATCTCTCGCGCAAGCTTCGCTGGGACAGAGCGCGGCCAGCTGCTCGCTCGCTCCTGTTGCCGCTTCCCTGCTTGTTCTCCGGGCTGCCTTCCTTTGGGCGCAGCGCTTCCCGAGGGAGCGAAGTCCCCTTGCAACCGGCGGAACTGAATTCCGCCGGGACAGGGGCTGTCAAAAAGCGCCATTGGTTTCCACGGGACATCCCAACAGGACCCGCTTCCTAACTTCTGGAGATGGTGATGTTCGAGGGAGAAAATAGGAAACAGGGCATTCCCGGGGTTTGGTGAAGTCAGGGTGAACCGCCACCTAACATCTGACATGCCCCTTTTTTGTGACTGGGGATGGTGACTCTAGTAAACGGATGATTAATGGCGGGGGCTGTGCGAGAGCCAGCAGCGATATTCCTTCCCCCGCTTCACATTTCTCCTTGGAAGAAATTCGCTCTCTCCAATCTACGCTGAAAGAAATAGCCTTTCAACTCCATCCAGCCTCTTACAAACCCATCATAGTAGTCGGAGAAATTCGGGTTTGTAAACAGCCGGTCCGGTTTAACTCTTGATTCACCGTATTTAGAGGGTCAGGGGCCTTATCTATACATAATCTGAAATTGTCCACAATTTCAGGGTGGGGGTGGGGGAGCTATTGTATATGTATATGTATATGTATATGTATATGTATATGTATATGTTTAGATATAGATGGATAGTTAATATATATATACATCTATTTACATAATATACGCGTGCTTTTATTAAATATAGATATTGCGCATCGCTTTGATATTTTTGATTATATAGCAGTACATTTTTAAAAATATATAAATGCGTGATATGTGTATGTCGACAGGGGGATGTTTTAAGATTAGCCAGAGGGCTCCTGTAAACCAGGCAATGTCAGATGATCTTGGCCGTGTTTACTCAGAATAAAGCCCCCGCGCGTTCTTTGGTGTTGCTTTCACGTAAATGCACCTTTGCATTTTTACGCGGAAGTAAATTCCAGTCATTCCAGCGGCGTTTCCTCCCAAGTAAGCATGCTTCGGCTCGCAGTCCTGCGACTCCTTGCCCTCAGTGCCCCTTGCTTGCCTTAGAGGGCACCTACCGGTACCTACCGGATGCACAAACGCACCTTTATTCTTCCTGTTCCAGTTTTGCTCGTCCCACACCCAGCCAGGCTAGGCGGAGAAGCGGGCAGACGAAACATCCTGGCCTTCGACCGCGAAGGCTTCTCTTGGCCTTCATATTACCCTCCCCGTTTTATAGGAGAAGATGGCATCCCACCGACCCTCTCCCCTGTTTCCTGCCCCTGCGCCGTGCAGTCAGCCGGGGAAAGAGTTGGTGTCCAGACGGTGTCCAGTCCCGCGCGGCTTCGCCGGGGTGTCTGGGTCTCCGGGGCGCATGACGCACGAGAGAGGCAGCCATTGGGCGAAGTGGAACCGGCCGCGGCGGGAGGAGATCCCCTGCAGGCTGTCTGGGAGTTTGTGCCGGGAGTATGGAGCCTATGCTCGCGCTAGCTCACATTGCCTCCTCCACGTAGCGAGAGTTCAGGGGTTCCTAAGGGCAGGGGAGATTCAGCAGGCAGGCTGGATGTAGGCTTGATCGTGCTCCGCGTGAACGGCACCCGTGGCCAGAAAGAACTACTGTAAATTAAATTAGGTCTGCAATCAGAGCTAACCCCCTGCTGGAGCGCGGTGGGTTTTAGGACGGCGCTGGAAACATTTATTTATTGCATGTGCAGTATAGCCCACCTTTTCTTCATGGTTCTTTCCCCTTGCAGATTCATATAATCCGCACAACAACCTTGTGAGGTAGGTTGGGCTGGGAGACGGTGGCTGGCCCAAGGGTCACCCAGCGAGGTCCATGGTCAGATAGGGGATTTGAGCCCTGGTCTTTCCCAGGTCCTAGTCCAACACTCTAAATACTAGACCAGGCATAGGCAAACTCGGCCCTCCAGATGTTTTGGGACTCCCATCATCCCTGACCACTGGTCCTGTTAGCTAGGGAGGATGGGAGTTGTGGTCCTAAAACATCTGGAAGGCTGAGTTTGCCTATGCCTGCACTAGACCATACTGTTAGGCAATTCAAGAAAAAATAATGGCCTGGTGTCTTTATAAAGTGCCTGATCCGAACTTTGTAAACTTATCCCTAAATCCAAGTATCATTTGAGCTGTCCAGGCAATGAGGAATCCTTGGTTGGGAATCAGCAAACTCTGAACATTCTGGTTGCCACCCAGGATGACTATTCCTTTGCATGATTCCCTGTGTGCCAGTGGGTCTCTCAGATACTTAGAATAGGAGTGGGCAAACTGTGGCCCTGCAGATGTTGTTGGACTCAACCTGCCCCCAACCAGTGTGGCCAGTGGTCAGGAATGGTGGCATCTGGAAGGCCACAGTTTCCCCATCTGGCTGGGGATCAAAGGCAGAGATCAGGAATGAAGGAGTGATGGGTTTAAGGGAAGTCCGCAGCAGGTCAGGTGCAGCTGCAACAAGGTTAGAGAGCGTGATTTGTGGGAACAGCTCCTGTTCAAATGCATCAGCTGCAGTTTCCCCCCAGCATGGAGGCTCAAGGTGGCATGAAAAGCTGGTGGAGGTACTGCCAGCAGCATCTTGAGGGAGTGATTGACGCGAAAGGGGCTTTCATTCTCTCTTCCCAATGCCTGTGCATGTGTTTCTCCCCCTGTCCACAGAGACCATCCCTAGACAGCAGGCTCACAGTTGGGTAAGAAGAGTTGGTGTGGGGAAAAGGTTGGAAGAAAAGCAAATGGAGGGTTGTGAATTTGTGGGGAAGGTCTATACTTAGCTTAGTCCCTGGTTCAATGTCCAGCATCTCGAGGTAGGACTGGGAGAGAACTCTGCCTGAAACCCTGGAAAGAGCTGCTGGCAGTCACTGTGGGCAATAGACCAAGGGTCTGGCTCACTTTAAGGCAGCTTTCCATGTCCTATGTTCTCCTATGACCGGGCAGAGCAGGCAGGCAAGGTCTCCCTTGTATGCACAAACAACCTGTCCCCTAAGCAGCACAGCAGTTCCTCTCCCACATTAAGCAATGCAGAATAACTGCTCCCTATTAGGCAAAATTGATCTGGACCTACTTTCCCATTTATCACAAAGCTGATCAGAATATTCACTTTTTCCCAGTTTTTAAAGGGTGGGGAAATGTTCTTCTCTTACACTTTTCAACCACTCTGCTTTTGAGCATGAAAGGTGTGACTAATTAATCAAAAATACTTAGCCTTTATTAACCACAACAATCACATTTATATAGTTGCTGTTTTCCCACCCTAGTAAGCTTATTTAGTTAGTTAGTTTCAATGTTCTGTCAGTTTATACATTAAAAATTGAATACACAACGTCCAAAAAATACACCTTAAATATAAAATCTAAAACCAGGAGAGGCGGCGGGGGACAGAGAATAGCATCGGTGCAACAGATCTAAAAAGTACTAAAATATTTAAGATGGAATTGCCTGGGGAAATAAAAAGGTCTTAGGTTGGCACAGAAAAAAAAAATAATGTAGGCACTAAACAGGCATCTCTGAAGAGGATGTTCCACAATTAGGCTACCCAAAATTCAAAGGGTCTGCCTTCTAAGTAGCCATTTCATTTGGCAGGGATACTTGGAAGATGATCTCAGAGTCCAGTATACATGGGAAGAGATAACCTGCCCCAAGCTGTCTTGAGCTTTGAAGCAAGGATGGCGAACCTATGGCCGTCCAGATGTTGTGACAGCCTCAGCAAGCATGGCCAGGGATGGTGGAAGCTGCAATCCACCAACATCTGGGGGACCGTATGTTCTCCATCCCTGCTTTAAAAGTTGATGCCAGGACTGGAGCTTTCAAAAAGGGTTGGACAAATTCATGGAGGACAAGTATTCTGGCCATGATGGCTATGCTCCACCATGCTGTCAGACACCATGCCTCTGAATACCAGCTGCTGGGAACTGCAGGGGGACAGTGCTGCTGCAACCATGTCCTGCTTGCAGTCTTCCTACAGGCATCTGGTTTGACTGTATCAGCAATCTTGCAGTCCTAGTCTGACCACCTGAAGTGTGTGGGTAGTTTTCAACAGCAGCTCTATGATATAATGCATCACAGTCATTGGACGAGAGGCTATCATTCATAATTGGGTGTGTTAGCCTAAGCGGATAAAAGGCACTTCATGCACACACTGCACAACATCCATTCACTAGTCATCATTGTTATTCCTGGGTCTGTATTGCAGGTGACAAATAGAGGATGAGAGAAATATGCCTTGCCTGTTGGTTATGGCTGTGGAGAAACTTGAACCAAGGTCTTCCTGGCTTGTAGCTCATACTCAGCTCCCACTCTTCCCTGGCAATCCAGAAGTGTTGAAGCAGTTAAAAGACTGGCCTTCCAGATGTTGGACTCCAACTCCCATCAGCCTCAACCAACATGATCAATGGGCAAAGATGAGGGGAGTTGTAGTTCATCAACAAATGGAGGGTTAGATGTTCCCCATCAGCATATTAAGTGGTATTATCTAGTTCAGGTTATGTTAAGTACTCTATGTTAAGTACCCTAACTCCACCTTCCCCATCCTGGTGCCTCCAGATGTTTGAACTACAACTCCCATCCCTACCCATTGGCCACAACAGCTGGGTCTGATGGGGGTTGGAGACACCAGGTCAGGCCAGGGAAGGCTGCTCTATCTGCTCAGAAGGAACTTCCACTGAGTTTACTGGGGCTTACTTTCAATGACTTTTTGCAAAGAATTATGGGAGCTGCAGTTTGTTGTGGGTACTGCAAATTGTAGCTCTGTTAAGGGGAAACTACAGTTCCCAGGATTCCTTGGGGGAAGCCATGTGCTTTAAACATGCGTTGGGTGTGCTATAAATGCATGGTGTGGATCTGGTTAGAAGGTCATCATGTGCTCTGTGAAGTGAGGATTAGAATCTTCTTTGGTGATTCTGAATAGAGAAATGGTAGTCAGTCTGGAGCATGCAGTATACATATATCTGTGTGACCTTAAAAACCTTTGCATATGGGCGAATCCCATGGAAGTCCTTCACATCAGGGATACCAACTTGAATAAAATATGGGGCGGGGCAGGTAAGCCTTGCCCTGCATAATGCGCACTCTTTGACTGGCAATGCCTATTAACTTTGGGAGGGGACAGCCCCCTCAAATATTTTATTGGAGGGTCGGAGGGACCTCAGCCCCATGGAGTTGGCTCCTATGCCTCACATATACCCAGTGCTTTTTTTTCGGGGGTACGCATACCCCTAAACATTTTGTGACTCTAAGTTGGGCCTCACTGAGTGGCAGTATTTCAATGAGAGTAGGAAAAAGAGTAACCCTAAATATTATTTTTATAGAAAAAAGCACTGCACCTATGCACGCACGCAGTCTTTTAATATGGAGCCTAGAATATTTTGCTTATGAGAAGTCATATTGAGATGGAAAAGGATAAAAGATCCCTGAGTACTGTACTAATATTTCCTTCCTAGCGCGCGGTTTACGCATCGCACAGTAACGCTGCAGAGAGGCGTGTGGCTTGTTTCATCAGATGAAATAAGCTAGCGAGAGAGGCTTTCTGCAACAGGCAGAAAAAAGACAGTACCTCAGCCCCACCCTGGCTGCTAAAAATAACTGCTTCATTCTCTTCTACTTTCACCTCCTTGGATAAACGTCCCAGCTCTCGGCGGCCGAAACTAGCTCCGCAGTTCAGATTATTAAACTTGCACCCAAATGTTGTTGCCCAATCGTAAAACGCGGCCGCCTGAGGACAAGTCGGGATCCCTTACTGTCAGAAGGGGGGAGAGGTCTGGATTCACCGCGGCAGACGGGAAAGCAGCCAAAGAAAAAACCCCTCCTCCCTCTCAACTATTGGTATAACCCTTTCAGGCACGCGGGACAGGTAAAAGTGAATGAAGCATCTCTCCCTCCCCCCGCACTCGACACCCCGGCGCGCCTGGTTCATTCACAATGAATTGGGCGAGCGAATCCCCTCGGTTCTGTTCAGTAAGCAGATTTCAAACCCATCCAATGCTTTTTGGCGAAATTCCACCTCTCCGCTGGTCGTCTCCACCCCAGCACGGAGAGCGGCCAACGGCTGGCAGAGGGAAATATGTGGCGTGACTCGAAGGGGCGGGATCCCGCCAGAGCATCTGCGGGAGAAACTCTGGAAGTCCGCCGAGCTTTCCCGGAGTAGACTTTTTAAAGTTCCCTTAGCAGCAAGGAAGGATTAGCAGGGGCGCTAAAGAAGGCAGCTAGGACAGTGTTGGGCTTCTTCCTGCATCTGTGGGCCACACAAGCTTTTACGTATTTATTACATACTAGTTCGGGCTCCCTTTAACAAAAACTTGCAGTCTACTGCACAGAAATTAAATGGGTTAAATAAAACAAAATTTTTAAAAAATGAAATAAATTTTTAAAAATTTAAATAAAATAAAAAAGCAATGAAATGCAATACAGTGGAGAATAAGAAGTAGGCTAAAACAGATTTAACTCGGTGAAACAAATTTAAAGGCCTGGGAAAATATAAAAGGGGTTTGGCTCACACTAATAACAAATTAGTGACATACTTTAGAGTGTAATTCTGAGACACAGCTGAATTAGACTCTGTGAAATTGGATAATGGTTGAATGCTGGGTTTTATTAATTAGTTACTACATTAATACCCCACATTTCCTTCAAGGAGATCACAGCAGTGTGTGTGGTTCTTCTCCTTCCAATTTGATCCTCACAACAGCCCTGTGAGCTTGCAGATAGTAACTGGCCCAAAGGCACCCAGTTCTCTACTGCGCCAGACTGGGAGAAGAAGTGATAAATCCACATTTGTCGCCTGCATTTTTACAGTTTAACAAATTGATTTGTGAATTCTGCTTAAGTCGTATGAGTTGTGCCAATGTGAGTGTGTCTGTGGCTGATTCATGCATTCCTTGCACTGTGTGATTTTATGCATGTTTGCTCAGAAGTAAATGCCACAGGTTTTTAGTAGACTTCCAGAGCAACTTAACCCACTCGTCCCTTATGCCGGTTTGTGTGCGGTGGGGTGAGGTTTGGCTTGATCTGAGGTGTCTCATCTTATTGGCTCTGCTGGCTGAACTGGCCTCCCAGGTCACTCCATGAGTGTGGAACCTCTGCCTTCCCACACCAAGCATGCAGGCAAGCAGAAGATCCACTGGCAATATTCCCACCAGTGGAAAGCCCCAAAACAGAGTTCCAAGGGCAAGGAGAGTGCCTGTCAAGGCTTGATCATTGCACCAGCCTGGAGCTGGTACAGGGATTAGGTCCAATCATCCTGCCTGCACTTCTGCTGCTGTTGCTGCTGCCATGAGAAACCAGGAGATGGAGAGGATTTAGGAGAACTGCCTAACTCCCAAATAAGTGTGCATAGGATTGCAGCCCAGTTTTCCCAAGAGTAATTTGTAATTTCCCCCTTGCTAGAGATGAACAGCTGAGTCGGTCAAACTCAAATGGTGACTGGGAAAATAGGAGGATGTTTTTTATACGTATAGCTTTTTTAAATCTGAAAGGGATATCCTTGTTAGTTTATCGCAGCAGAAATAACAAAGAAAGCATCTGAGAAAGTGGGCTCTGGGACACAGACACTTATGCCACTGTCGATGCCAAGCCACTCTAAGGGTATTTTGTGCCCTGGGTGAACTCTTGAGTGACCATCTCCCTTTTCAGTCTGGAACAATTGTTATGTTCATTCCAGAACAATTAGGCTGGGCCTCATTAGCTGCCTTGCCCACAACCCATTGAACATGGGAATGGAGTAAAGTGAGAAGGGGAGGAGACACACACACACACACACACACACACACACACAGCCTGCCACTTCAGACTTTGTCCTGTTTCTCTTTCCCACAGAAATAAAAAAAGGTAAAGGTAAAGGACCCCTGGACAGTTAAGTCTAGTCAAAGGTGACTATGGGGTTGCTGCTCTCAGCTCACTTTACAGGCCGAGGGAGCCAGCGTTTATCCACAGACAGCTTTCTGGGTCATGTGGCCAGCATGACTAAACCTCTACTGGTGCAACAGAGCACCATGACGGAAACCAGAATGCACGGAAATGCCGTTTACCTTCCCGCCGCAGGGGTATTTATTTATCTACTTGCACTGGCATGCTTTCAAACTGCTAGGTTGGCAGGAGCTGGGACAGAGCAACGGGAGCTCACCCCATCATGGTGATTCGAACCGCTGACCTTCTGATTGGCAAGCCCAAGAGGCTGAGTGGTTTAGACCACAGCGCCAGCCAGAATTGGGGGTGGAGTCAGTGCAAGGTGCTGGTACTTGGTCCTGTGTGACTGCTTTGGGTACTGTGTTTGTATTGTTGGTTGTCAATGAAAGGCTGGTTATCCACATGCACGGGGCACCGAGAGACTGATGCTGAGTCTGTCCCTAGTGGTGGACCTTGGTGTCTCAGTTTTCAGTGGCTCCCTGTGTGATGCCAAAATCCAGTGCTGCCCTGCCTCTCACCTTCCATTGGAGTAATTGTGGCAGAATCTGCTCCAGTGCTCCATAACCTCCGTGCCCTTAGAGCCACCTCTGCTGCCTGACCCCCCAAAAAACTCGAGTGGATGCAGACTAGCAACAGCTCAGGGTGCAGTGCATACAACTCTCCCATCCCATCACAATGAAGTGAAGTGAAAAGAGGAGCTGGAGCTGGTCCTGGTTCAGGCAAGCCAGCATGAGGGATGGTCTCCCTCTCTATGGGGTGGCTCACAACCCCCTCCCCAAAGAAACTGCTGGGCTGGCCAGGCTGAGACCATCAGCTGCGGTCACCTAAGCAGCCAAAAGCAAGTCTCGCTGAGTTCCAGAGGCTTCGCAGTGCAGTCACTCTAGTGAGCTGTCCCTGTTTCACATCAACAGTAAAAAGGCAGGATTTGTCCCCTCTAGGAGGCTGCAGCCCTAAGTATCCTTTATCTGGAAAGCACCATTGCCATAGGAATAATGGAGTTATTTCTGAATAGACAAGTGCAAGTCTGTCATGCGTCTCTCATAAGAGTCAATGGTGCCAGACTTTCTCCACTGAAGGGAAAGCAAAAAGGGGTGCAAGATTTATCAGGAAATCTACTTCCCGCCCACCACAATTCTGAGCCTTGACAACGGGAGGTCTGTTGCTGTTAGCGGAGAAGTTTCTCAAGTTCTCCAAGTGGCTTGCCCTCAAGAGATTTTGGACCACAACTCCTATCAGCCCTAGGGATCCCCACCCATTGCCTCTGCTCTTTGGGGCTGATGGAAGCTGTAGCCCGACAGCATTTTGGGATGTCGCCCAAACACTGAACACATCCTCCTCCTCAGCACCAGCCTCTTTGGCTCTGACAAGATCTCTGAAGCTGGAGCTGCTATTCTTCCTGCCAAGACCTGCTTGGGAGTTTTTCCCACAGAATAATGTGTGGTGGCACATTCTGGATAACAAAGACAACATGAAACTGACAGTTGCTTGCTCTTTTAGCACCACCATCACCATCAGTTGCTGCCTGTCACATTTTGCCACCCAATTATTATTTTTTGCCACCCAAGGTAACCACCTAGTTCACCTAGTGGTTGAACTGGTTCTGTTGTTGTTGTTTAATTGTGTCCGACTCTTCATGACCCCATGGACCAGAGCACACCAGGCACTCCTGTCTTCCACTGCCTCCCGCAGTTTGGTCAAACTCATGCTGGTAGCTTTGAGAACGCTGTCCAACCATCCCATCCTCTGTCATCCCCTTCTCCTTGTACCCTCCATCTTTAACCAACATCAGGGTCTTTTCCAGGGAGTCTTCTCTTCTCATGAGGTGGCCAAGGTATTGGAGCCTCAGCTTCAGGATCTATCCTTATAGTGAGCACTCAGGGCTGATCTCCTTCAGAATGGATAGGTTTGATCTTCTTGCAGTCCACGGGACTCTCAAGAGTCTCCTCCAGCACCATAATTCAAAAGCATCAATTCTTAGGCAATCAGCCTTCTTTATGGTCCAGCTCTCACTTCCATACATCACTACTGGAAAAACCATAGCTTTAACTATACGGACCTTTGTTGGCAAGGTGAACTGGCTCTAGTCACCATAAATAGATTAAGGAGAAATCTAACCCCCAGGCCAGCACCAAGGAGATTTGCATTGCTCTGCTAGTCTTTAACGTGTCACAACACTGCCTTTTTTCTTTATTTCAAAGATACCCAAAGGAGGCCTACACTTAAAGAGAATGATAAATAAATGCACATCAATAAAGCATTACAGTTCATGTCAGTGGGGCTTACATCCAAGAGGGAGAATTGTTGTCCTAAAAACGCCTAATGTTGGATGCCTCAAGCTGCAATTCGTTGGCAAAGTCTTAACAAAAAAATCACATTCGAGAGACAAACGGAGTTGAGCAAACTTTCTTGCTCAACTAAAGCAATTTCGTCACTCGCCTCTTTGGAGAACTGGCTTGGGATAATAATATCTTCGGAAGTCTTTCCCACTATTTGGCTTAATATATACTTTTTATTATGATATGTACATTCCATTGGTTTTCAAGGCTGCCTTCAGCATTTTTAATGGGAACATGGAGATTATGAGTAATTTTTCCATTGGCTTTTCTTACCCAAACCACACTGTGCCTTAGATTGGGAGAAATATCTGTGACTCAGACCGACCCCCAAATTGATTTTTTTTAAAAAAAAGATGGACTTGAAATAAGATGCTTTTGCTATATGTCTATGTTTCTTCAATGTGTGTGTTTTGCTTTTACCAGTATATAATTATAATGGGCTTCCCTCTTGGCTGGAAACCGTGATGTGCCATTAACTGATTGTACGCATATTCTCTCCAAACTCCTAGTTATGCCAGGGTTCTGTATCAGCGGAAACTCTCTGCAACATAGGAGCCAACAATAAAATAGTTGAGGGGACTGCTTCCCCCAGCTGATGTGCATTATCATTCAAATGATGTTTGTGCACCGTGTTATGTGATTGATTTTTCAGGGTGGGGCTTACCTGCCTCCCCCCCCCAATATTTTATTCAAGTTGGCACCCCTGCTCTGCAAGGTATATTCTTCCAAATCCAAGACCATCCGAGGCCTTATTCAGGGCCAGATATCCTTTGGCCCTCTGTCCCTGGCTATTGACCATGCTGGCTGGGTTGAGTCCAAAATCATCTCAAGGGCTGCAGTCCCTGGCATAATTCATACAGGATAAGAGTGGCATGATTGCAGCCTGAAAATGGTGCCACAGTGATGTCGTGCCTCATGGGAAGTTGTCGTCTGGTTGTTTGGCCATCTCTGTCAGGCCAATGTTATCTTACCTGCTTTCCATTTCAGACAGAAATCACTCTGGTGGATGTTGCAACCTTTAAAGAAAGGTAATATCAGAGGTTGGCATTATCAGGCCCCTGCCAAGGCTCACCCAAGCCACAATAAGGTAAAGGGACCCCTGACCATTAGGTCCAGTTGCGGCCGACTCTGGGGTTGCGGCACTCATCTCGCTTTATTGGCCAAGGGAGCCGGCGTACAGCTTCCGGGTCATGTGGCCAGCATGACTAAGCCACTTCTGGCGAACCAGAGCAGCACACGGAAACGCCGTTTACCTTCCTGCTGGAGCAGTACCTATTTATCTACTTGCACTTTGACGTGCTTTCAAACTGCTAGGTTGGCAGGAGCTGGGACCAAGCAATGGGAACTCACCCCGTCACGGGGATTCGAACCGCTGATCTTCTGATTGGCAAGTCCTAGGCTCTGTGGTTTAACCCACAGCACCACCTGCGTCCCCACAATAGGCTTGCTGCTAATGTCTGGAGCCAACTTTTGAAGTTTCTCCTCTTCCTTGTTGCTGCAGGTTCACCTGCCATCTCTAAGTGGCCAAGCAGTGAGGAGAGCAACAGATGGCTCAGGAAGCTTTGCATGCCTGGTCTCCTCCCTCTGGAAAATGGTGGATGTCAGCCCCTCAGGGAGGAGGGTACTCAGCACCACTTGTCCAATGGCCCTTAAAACCTGGAACTGGCACTGAAAAACCAGCTCCTAAAATCTGATTAATGAGAACTGTGCGGTTGGATGGGGTCAGAGGGCCATTAAGTTCAACCCGCACTGCTCCAAGGTACTATTTTCCACACAGCATGCCTCATATAAAGTTAACCCAGACCACCATGCAGAGAGCAGGTAATTCTGAGTGACTCAAGCAAGTGAGCCAAACCACAAAGGAAGTGTCACGTAGTCACAAGCCAATAGGCGTCAACTTAATTGTAATCCTTCGTATGGCAGTCAGCCTCAATTAATGGATTGCATTTTAGTATGATGAAATCAACTCAGCCATTTTGTGCACTGAGTATTTAGTTTGTTTCTCTTGTGTGATGGGAGGTAATAATAATAATAATAATATTTGCCAGACTTGATAAAAAACTAAAACTCACCACTAGAGGGCACATTCAAACAAAATATTCAAAATTATTGTATCACATGATTATCAGTTCAAAATGTGATAATTAGATATATGATTATGAGTGTGCAAACATAATTTTTATTAATTTACCTCCTAAGGAGCTATTATTGGGGTGTAACTATTCAGTGAATAGAAACTGGAGTCTTTTTCTTCATTGGTGATGGAAATATTGATGGAGCGCTAAGTATTATATTGAAAATAAGTATTCTGAACATAAACAATTATTTATTATTATTTCTTCGTTATATCGCAGCCTTCTTTGAAGGAATTCATATCAGTTTATATAACTCTCACCCACCTTGTGAGACAGGTTAAGCTGAGAGTGATGGACGCTGGTTGAAGGTCACTCACATCTTCATGACTGGGTGGCAATTTGAACCAGCATCTCCCTAGTCCTGGGCTGTGTAGACACTGTGCCTTTAAAGCACATTCAAAGCACAATCTTTCTCTCAAAGAACTCTGGGCAAAAAGAACACTGTGAGTTCCCCTCTCACAGAATTAAATTTCCCAGGACTGCTTAACCAACTACAGTGCCCAGAATTCTTTGAAAGAAAGAAGGTGCTTTGAATGAGCTTCAACGGTTTAGTGTGTGCACAGTCATGCTCTTACACTGACCTCTTCACCATGCTGGGTCTCAAGCAAATGTTTACATGCTTCATAACCAATCCTCTATCCTTAGTGTGTAATAGTGGAAGAAAAGCAGCACTAATTTTGACCCACTGGCTTTGCAAACATCAAAAAGTGTCTTGATGAACATGAAAGGCAATTATTGCTTAGTAATCAAAATGTTATCCTTGTACTTCAGTATTGTCTCATCTCCTAAGGGATTCTTTTGATACTCGTGCATGACGTAGTGCTAAAAATAGCATTGTGGGTGTTTAAAGTTGTGTGCATGGTTAATTCTGCATGAAATGAAGGAACTGCCTTTTAAAATATTTGAATATTTAACCTGATCATATCAGCGGGCCCATCTTTCTCCATCATAAAGGTGTACCTATATTACCTATCTTCAGTTATCATTTCTGTAGGGAATCTTAGCACCTGAGATCATATTCTAGCTTGGGGCTACATCCTAGGAAGTGTTGGGTGTGGTTTTGCTAAGTAGACAAGCACATTCAAAAAAAATTATATGCATGAAAATCAGTATGATTCATCATCATAAAGATACGGGAATGTTTAAGACCTAGTTTAAGTGCCTCTTGTGAAAAAGCCAGCAAACATGACAAGTCTGGTCTGTTTGCTGTCAGCATCTTCTTCCTCAATTCACATCACCCTTTACAGAGCAAAAATAAGGACAGGCCCTTGAACCCAAGGACCTTACAATCTGAATATTGGCAGTGGGTCAGAGGGCAGCAATAGAGAGCAGTAACAAACAGGAGGAAAAGGAACAAGGGCTGGCTGAGGATTATAGTGTTTTGCTGCTGTGGTACATGCTTGTCTCTAAGACATCTAGGGTTCCTCCATGCACTTGTCTTGGTGGAACTATAGACATGCATCTAACCATCCATACATGCATGTGTTTTAAGACTGCTGTGAAAATGAATGTGTCTTTTTTAAAAAAACCACAAGTAAGCTCAGAAGTCCTACCGCTAAAGTTTTATAGCTGCAGTCAAAACATGATTGTGTATGGAAGTACAGTAAGTGTGAAAGCACTATAAACGTTGGCTCGTTCTGTTGCTGTGCTTTGTTCCATTTCATTTTTACGATGCTGATTATGGGAGGCCATTCACAAATGTCATACAAATTATAAAGGGCTAGATTATTGCTGACTTGAAAGCCCTGGGATTTAAAAACACTTAAGATATTTAAGTGTGTGAATTGTCACTGTAAGATGGGCAGCCTTGTCATACTGTCCTTCAAGAGAGCTCATGCTGTGGCAAATTGTGGGCTAGGCTGGTTCCTGCCCCCGCCCTTGCCCACGTTTTCTGGTTCAGTGTTTGATGCGATAGTCAAATAAAATTCTGGAAGGAACCATTTCCCTCAAATCAATTCAAAGGCTTTTAAGAGGGACGCGGGTGGCGCTGTGGGTTAAACCACAGAGCCTAGGACTTGCCGATCAGAAGGTCAGGGGTCCGAGTCCCCACGACGGGGTGAGCTCCCGTTGCTCGGTCCCTGCTCCTTCCAACCTAGCAGTTCAAAAGCACATCAAAGTGCAAGTAGATAAATAGGTACCGCTCCGGCAGGAAGGTAAACAGCGTTTCCGTGCGCGCTGCTCTGGTTCGCCAGAAGCGGCTTAGTCATGCTGGCCACATGACCCGGAAGCTGTACGCCGGCTCCCTCGGCCAATAAAGCGAGATGAGCCCTGCAACCCCAGAGTCGGTCACGACTGGACCTAGTGGTCAGGGGCCCTAAGGCTTTTAAGAAAATGTAGCAGCTTTCTCCAGTCTCTTTTATACCAATATCAAGTCCTCTCTTAGTTCTCTGGTGCCCTCTGGTCCTCTCCTCTGGTCAACTGGACTGTACAAGCCACTCTAGGATTTGGTGAGAGTACACGTGAAACAACTGAAATGGCATGCCATTTGTCTACGATCATAGAATTGTAGAATTGGAAGGGACTCTGAGGAATTCTTTCCTGAGGATAATTTTATTGTTGTTGTTATTATTGTTATTAGTCCCCTTTTTCCCAGGAAAAAGAACTCAAAGTGACCTAGAAAAAAAAGTTATAAACAAGTGTAAAATCAGGGAGGAAACCAACCAAACCACACCAGTTTTTGCTGTTAAAACCTAAGGTATTTGAGGTATTGCGGTCCTCAGCTGCACAAGTCTTTACAGGTCAAAACCAGCACTTTGAATTGGGCCCAGATGCCAAGCCTTAGATCACGCACAGCAGCTCACCATGTCTTCCCAGCATCCTTTGTAATGTTGCAAGGGATTCTGGGAGCACATCTGGAATCACTCGTTCTGCCTTTCTAGTACTTCTGTACCTAATTTCACATAGAGATAGGCATGTGTAAGCCACACTGAGCCTGATTCACTCATAAAGGCAGCTTATAAAGAGTTTAAATAAATAAACGCATGAATATGCATGCTCTCATCTCCCATGTTTGTGTAAAGACATGGGGTGGAGTTTGAAGGCTGTTCCATAATGGTTGATATTTGATTTTTTGACAATTTGAGGTTATGATTTGTTTGTGTTGACACAACACACTGTCACACTAAGGCCAACTTTCCCATGTTTACCAGTTGTCCCCACTACCAGCACATACAAAGAAATTAAGGAAAAAATACAGCCACATGCTAAACACGGCTCTTGTGCCATTTAGCAGTTGCATGACAGGAACCAACCTCTGTCAGCGTACCTCCACACAGGGAAAAACTTCACCTGATGGATTTCTGCATCTCCAAAGGGGAAGGTGGGTGGCAATTCGACAGACGTGGGTGGCCAAACAAAAAGGAAAAGACAGGGCTCCTGCAGCTTTAATAGTTGTGTAGAAGATGGGATTTCGCCCAGTCTTGGCCCTGCAAAAGTGCCTGAGCCCTGCCTTCTGTGTCTAAGGCTATACTAGTCTTAATATTGCACACCACCAACAACTGCATGCTCCCCATGTCTTTAAAGTATGTTTCAGAGCACAATTCAAAGTGTTGGTGCTGACCTTTAAAGCCCCAAACGGCTCTGTATACCTGAAGGAGCATCTCCACCCCCGTTGTTCAGCCTGGACCCTGAGGTCCAGCTTCAACGGTCTTCTGGAGGTTCCCTCCCTGCGAGAAGTGAGGTTACAGGGAACCAGGCGGAGGAGGGCCTTTTTGGTGGTGGCGCCAACCCTTTGGAATGCCCTCCCATCAGATGTCAAGGAGATAAGTGACATACAACCTTCAGAAGACATCTGAATGTATAGGGAAGTTTTTAATGTTTCATGTTTTGCTATATAAGTTGAAAGCCACCCAGAGTGGCTGGGGCAACCAAGTCATATGGGTGGGGTACAAATAAAAAATAACAAAAACGATTAATGCAACCTCTTTTCCTCTGATTCAGTTCTCTACCCTCCACCCCCATTTCTCAGACCATCCTTCTCCAACCTGCTGCCCTGAAGATGTTTCGGACTACAGTGGTACCTCGGGTTAAGTACTTAATTCATTCCGGAGGTCCGTTCTTAACCTGAAACTGTTCTTAACCTGAAGCACCACTTTAGCTAATGGGGCCTCCTGCTGCCGCCGCGCCGCCGGAGCACGATTTCTGTTCTCATCCTGAAGCAAAGTTCTTAACCTGAAGCACTATTTCTGGGTTAGCGGAGTCTGTAACCTGAAGCGTCTGTAACCTGAAGCGTATGTAACCCAAGGTACCACTGTACAACTGCCATCGCGCCCCAGCCAGCGTGGCCTTGCCTGATGGCTGGCTGGGGCTGGCCGCGGAACTTGCGCTGCCGAGCATCCTCAGGGCACCAGGTTGGGGACAGCTGCCGACCTCCGCTCGAGGCTGGGGCGGCGGCTGCCTGCGCTCCTCCCGCCGCCGCCGCAGCCGCCCCTCGCCGGCTGGAGGCCGGTCCCGCCTCCCGGGCGCAGGTGGCCGCTGCGAGCAGGAAGTCCCTACTGTGCATCTCGCCGCCTTTGCGCTCTCGGTGTGCAGCGGCCGCGGCGCGCCAGGGTCCAGGAGCCGAGCTAGGGCGGGCCGGAGGTGGCTTCCCCGTTCGCCTTGCGAGCGCATCTTCGCTCACACGAGACCCGGGGCAGGAAGCTCGAAACTCGCTCCTGAGAGAGTCAAACGGGCTGAGCGGGTGGGAAATCCCAGACGCGTAAAGAGAACCTCGGACTCCACAGAGGAAGGGCTTTGCATTTGGGGAAGGGAGGCGCGGGACGCTTGGGGTTTTTCATTTCATTTTATTGTAGAGGGGAAAGCGAGAGTTTCCTTTCCCGCTTTCCTTTGGCCCCCTTTCCACAATAAAGAGGCCACCGACAGATCTCCTGATGGCTTCCGGTCCAAAAAGTTCCGAGCCGAACTCCCAGCCCGGAGACCCCGCTCCGAACCCCAACATCAGCCCTCAGGAAGAGCTGGACTTCTCCATTTTATTTGATTATGACTACACGAACCCGATAGCAGGTTTGTGGCTTCTCGCCTCTGTTCTTTATTTCATTTCATTAAGTCCTCCTCCCCTCAAAAGACCTTGCTGCGGCTGCAATGGATGCTACCTTGGTGAATTCATGGCTCCAAAGGGGCAGGGATAGCGCTACCTGCTATCATGGGCGGGTGCCTGGAATAAAACAATGTTTTTTTGGCACTTGGTCAGGGAACTGTCTGTATCTGTGAGAGAGGAAAGCTGTACTGCGCCGCACAGGAAAGAGTTGTTTTCTCCAGTTAGCACTAAAGAGGGCGACAGGGAAGCGTTAGGATGTTGGCTGGAGTTGGATGGGAATCACTTGTGGCAATGGAAGTTTTACCTTTCTGCCACCAGCCTTCCTCTGTGGCTACATTTTTCTTCATCTCTCCAAAGGGATGAATGACCCGAAGTTCTAATTGCGCAGGTTCTTATAAGGATGAGCAACGCGCTAGGGGTGTGTGCGTGCGGCAGAAGTAACTAAGAAAATAAACGATAAAATATACTGTCACTGCACTGCAGCAGATCAGAGGGCTGTTCTCTGCCCAAGTATTTAACTGTATTGATATATAATGTGATTGTCTTTCAGCTTGTGGATATCATAGTTTAATGGCACCTGTCAGTTGTATTGTAGTTATTAGGACTGTTACAATATACAGTACAGACCCAGAGTGAGCAATGCTGATTAGTCTGTAGAAATGGCAACAGTGCATACATTATTATTAGACCATGGCTTCTGTTGTTGTTTTTTTAAAATTTAGCTTGCTTTATGGTGTGGATTGAGTAGCTAAATGACGGCTGTACTGCTTTGTACAAAAGCACATGCAATTTAACATGTTATGTGTGTGAGAAGATGCCATGGATACTCAGATAACGTCTGTGCTAGGGCTATTTACTTATGTTTTTGGCGGTTCTTATTTTTTATCTCTAAGCTGCCTTGAGTCCCATCAGGGAATAAAGCAGGGTGTGTATATATATATATATATGTAGAAATAAAGAAAGAAAGAACAACAACAATAATAATCATACACGTTCTCCAAACAATTGGATGTCAGAAAATGCCCACATCTTTCCCACGTTTTGTGTCATCTAAGGTAAATATTGCCCACACACTTTTGAATCCACTGAGAGCTGTATTCTGCCTCCAGTGTGAAAGCATGCTAAACATGCATGACCCATGTGTTTCCTTCCTTCATGGTACATCTATGTTTGAAAAAATGTCATATATGAAATAGTACTGTAGGTACTTTTAAAGAATGTTAGAATCCAGTATCTGGCATGGAACTTGCCTGCTGATGCAGGGTGGTCATCAGTTAACCCATGGTCGACATAGTGGTCACCAGTGACTCCACACGTCACCACTTCATGCTGACACCCTGAATTTTTATTAAGCTTTCTTGAGCCAGGACTGCATATGTTCTGCACCATATTTTGTTAACAAAACTGGAACATGATAGTCCGATCCGAACACATGAAAAAGACAACATGTTGCACTATGGGCAACATCCAGTTATTTCCACCTGTTTGCAAAATGGAAATCTGCTTGCACAATGGGACTTCCAGTTTCTTTTCTTCAGCCCTCATGCACACACACCCCAAATCTGCTCCACAAGGTCCACCAAGCCTTTGGAGCATCTTTTGGGGGTGCATGGGGGAGGAGGAAAAGGAGCAGCCCCTTTACACAAGTGGTCATTTTTTCATTCTGCGTTGGGTCTCATCTGTATTATAGCAACCTGAAATGATAACATTATTTCCTATCATTGAGTAGTCACTTTTCTTTCAAGGATCAGGCTGCATGAATAGGTATTACACTGCAATCTGAAAAAAGTCCCATGGAGTTCAGTGTGGCGTTCTTCCAGGAAAATGGGTATAGGATTGCAGCCTTAATGACATTTTCCCCCTGAAACAGTGCAGCTCCACCTTACAGTGGAGTCTATGCTTCTTAGTGCTGCTGATCCAACTTACCACAGGTGAATTTGTGACCCAGTCCTACCAACTGGTACCCTAACCAATCTTGCCTTCCAAACAATGGGGATGGGGAAGAGTGTCCATCTAGGAACATTGGAAGCTGCCTTGTACCATGTCAGACCTTTGGTCCACCTAGCTCTGTATGGTCTACGCTGACTGGCAGCGCCCCTCCAGGATTTCAGGCAGGAGTCTCTCCCAACCCTATTGAGATGCTGGGGATTGAACTTGGGACATTTGCTTACAAGGCAGACATACTGAGCTATCACCCTTCCCCAAAAGAGGTGTGTGTGTTCATAAAGGAGGACTTTTATGACTTGGGCCCTAAGACCTTGAGCCTGAAATATAGCACCTCAATTGTGATTCAAATACAGACCACCAAACTCAGACAAGCAAGAACATGTAAGGAGATATTCTTTACTGTAGCCCCATTATCCTTTCCATAAACAATTAAATTAAAACTTGAACTTCCTCCAAGCCAATGTCTGGATCTGATATTTGGTGTGGCTTTCTGTGATTTCATTATTATTTCTCCACTTACCTTAGAATGGAACATGATATTACAACGTTCAATGGCCTGCTTGAATGTATAGCTTGAATGTATGCTTGTAGCAGAAGTTGAGGACATCCTATGCCGATCTTCATTGGATCCCAGCTTGTGGCTCAGTCAGTAGAGCATGAGACTCCTAATATCAGGGTTGTGGGTTTGAGCCCCACATTGGGCAAAGGATTCCTGCATTTCAGGGTGTTGGATCAGGGTCTCTTCCTACAATTCTATGATTCTATGACACAGCCAGTGGGAGATCTGGATTTATCACTGTAACAAGTGCAGTTCAACATAGCTTTGACTGTATCTTTTGAGTACGTAGTGACATCGATAGGATAAGTGAACTTTTACTATTTTCTTTTGTATGGAAACAGGAGGTAGCACAGCTGAATGTGCTTTACAGTAATTTAAAATACAATAAGTAGTATTGGGATTTCAATCTAAGACTGTTAAAGGTGCATTGTGGCTTTTGAACATGCTGCTTTAGTGAGTGTAGTGAAGGGTGCCTTTTGAATGAGTGAAGGCAATGAACGTGGCTAAGAATACTCTAAAATCATGTACTCTTACAGTGCCAAAACCGTGACTGAGAATATCTTTTCCAGTGCAATAAAAGCAACTGTAGCTGCTAATTTACATTTTCAGTGATGGGCCAAGAGAAATTAGCACATTTAAATTTTTATTTTTTTTTTTTTGCAGAAGCCTGTGAAGCTTGTGTGTGTAAATTCCTTTTATGTTTGTTGTAAGAAAAAGTAAAAACAAAAACAAAACAAAACACAACTGTGACTTTTTTAAAAGCAAAAGCAAAACCAAGGTTAAAGTCTGAAACGCACTTATTAGGGAGCCTGAAACTTCGTACTGGGTAAATCTGCGCAGGATTCTGTTGCAAATCCCTTCTACCTTGCTAGCTTTATACAGTACATCTGAGATATTTTTAATGTGTTGTAGTGAATTTTAGTTGAACTGGAAATGTGTGTGTGTGTGTGCATCTTTAATAGCACAGTGCTTGCGTAATGTACCAGGTATGGTGGTTTGTTTTTTATTTACTACGGGTTCTCATTTTGTATATGTTATGAACCACCCTGTAATCTTCAGGTGAAGGGTGATGTACTAATCAATCAATCAATCAATCAATCAATCAAATAGGTAAGAGACTGAGCTATGAGCTGAAAAGTCCCCTGTTCAAATCTCACCTCAACCACAAATCCACTGTCCTCCAGGACTAAGTCAGGCTTAGGAGTAAACCCTACTGACCTCAATGGGACTTACTTCTGAGAAAACATGCTTAGGGTTGGAATTACTGCGTCAAGCACACTAAGCCCTTAGAACAAGTGCAAAGCAAAGAGTAGTTGATGGGTAGGTCTGTTATTTGAACACACAGGAGTTTTAAAAGCACAAATCGGTCATTTCTCCCAGATGCACACAATGCATTTGTTCATGGTGATTCACACCTTTGCACTGCAGTGTCCTTGCATACATCCAACATACGGCACTTCAATCACACCCACACCTGTGGTATTGGGGCCAATGTGTTGGAGTTTGACCAGGGAGGCTTGGATTCAAATCCCTGCTTTAGTCACAATAAGCTGTATGAGTGACCAGCTTAACCTGCATTAAGGGGTTGTTCTGAGGATAAAATGGAGTGGGGACCATTTGTGTCACTCCCAAAGTTTCTTGGAGGAAGGAATTAACAGTTACACACCATTCTAATATTGCAATGATTGTGTGCAACTTCTTGCCCACACTTGATGTTGAGAAGAATATGCCGTTGTAGAGAGTAGGAAGAGCCCTCCAGAGACAGTTTTACTTGTACTGAATGCCTGGATACTGTGATTATTATTAATTTTGTATATTTTCAAGATGGAAATAATTAGTGTAAGGGAGATCACAACGAAACTTATAATCTGGAGGACATTTCTTGTCTTTCAAAAGACACCATTATGAGTCTGTAAGTAATCCTTTGTACATCAGTGATCTTTAATGTACTAAGATTAAAGCATGTTTACAAAGAGATGGAAATTAAAAGAAGAAGAAGAAGAAGCTTCGGTCCACATGTCTAAGTGTGCCTGGCAGTTCTGGAAGTTGACTGTTTCCTAACTGATGTTAGTTGCATCTGAACTGAAGCTGCTTACTTGCAGTTTTTGGATGTTCGCCAGAAACGTAACCATAGCAGAGGGTCATGAGCTCAGGCCTTTTCTTCTTCCTCTGAAAGTTCTCATACTGCATCCAAATGATATTTTCCAACTTGGATGGAGTGGAATCATTTAAGCCTCTTTGAATGCAACTTAAGGTTGGTTCACATGCGTGTGTTCGTCTGTTGAAGCCTGCAACAGCAGCAAATGACTTGCATGTGTGAATGGGTCTCTGCATATCAGACACTACAGACAGAATGGTCATGTTGTCTGAAGTCACCTTGAATTCACTGCTTCTCGGTAGAGTCAGTTCTCACATTCAGCAGCTGGCCAGGAACTTGAAACATCCAGTGATATATGCAGGGATGGGGAAAGCCCTAAGAAAAGACAGTTTAGCCTGCAACTCCCACCTTGTCTTGAGGCCAGGGAATAAACGTATTAAATTGCATCCCATTTGGTTGGACCAGTGTTTCCCAAACTTGGGTCTCCAGCTGTTTTCAGAGTACAATTCCCATCATCCATGACCACTGGCCTTGCTCACTAGGGATTATGGGAGTTGTCCAAAAACGGCTGGAGTCCCAAGTTTGGGAAACACTGGCTTAGAGTGCAAAGTTGGTTGTGTGTGAGAAATTCCTTGTCCCTCACCCTTCCCATTTCATCCCCTCAGAAGACTGTCCTGAGGGTTGGGAGACTCCCAAAAAGGACTGTGATAAGGAGTTGGGGGTGGGTGGGTAGAATTAGGCAGAGGCAGATTGTAGCCTTATCCCTCCCCCACTACTGCACTCCACATTCCAGGACTTTCCTTAGAGCCCTCCAATCGTTTCAAAAGTATTTTGGGAGGGCACAGGAATCTGCATTGGGAGGAATTGGTGGGGAATCCCATTTGCACGTATGCTTTAGTGAATACTGCATGGGATGTGGGTGGCGCTGTGGGTTAAACCACAGAGCCTAGGACTTGCCGATCAGAAGGTCGACGGTTCGAATCCCTGCAATGGGGTGAGCTCCCATTGCTCGGTCCCTGCTCCTGCCAACCTAGCAGTTCGAAAGCACGTCAAAGTGCAAGTAGATAAATAGGTACCGGTGGGAAGGTAAACGGCATTTCCGTGTGCTGCTCCGGTTCGCCAGAAGCGGCTTAGTCATGCTAGCCACATGACCCAGAAGCTGTACGCCAGCTCCCTCGGCCAATAAAGCAAGATGAGCGCCGCAACCCCAGAGTCGGTCATGACTGGACCTAATGGTCAGGGGTCCCTTAATCTTTTACAAGCTCCTGTACAGATATTCTCATGTGATTATGACAGGCATAGGATATCCCAAGACACACACCCAAGCTGCAGTGCCATAAAGTAGTTAAGGGAGCACTTATCTCCTACCTGTGCTTTCTATGGGAGGATTTCTTTGGATGTTCAGGATCATTCAGGACTACTACATGCTGGGAACAAGCAGCAGGCTATAAATCGCATCCTGTTCGTGAGCACGCAAAGGCATCTGGCGGACTACTGTTGGGAAGATCAGCCTTCCCCAACCTGATATCTTCCAGATGTTTTGTATTACAGCTCCCATCATCCTTTTCTGTTGGCTGTGCTCTCTAGGGCTGATGGGAATGGTTGTCCAACAATGTTCAGAGGTGCCATATTGGAGAAGGGTGGACTAGATGAACCTATGACATAGTCCAGTAGGACAATCCTTATGTTCCTATGACCTTTACTTTGAGGAAAGTTCACACCTCTGGTCCAGAATGCTTAGGCCAGTGAGTCGTAAGAACAGGGGATATTTTAAGATGGGGCTGTAGTTTCTCCAAGCCTAGTTCTCACTTGGCAGTGGACTGTACCATTTCAGGTGAAGGCTGTCATAACCGAATGGTCCTCTATAGCAATAAATAAATAATTTCACATAAGGTAACCAGCATGTCAGGGAGAAAACTAATGCATCTTCTCAACATCTAGTTCTGTGCATTGTATTTTGTATAAAGGAACAGCCAGCAATGCAAGCCCTCACTTGCCGCCTGAAGTGGTAGGGCCCAGCCATCGTGTGGCCCAAGTGATAAGGTTTCCTTTGATACGTTTATCTCCACTGATAATTTTTGTTCCTCTCATAAGAAACTATTCTCCACAACAGCTGATCAGTGCTAGCCATCTCATGCAACCAACTGTCCACGACGTTTTAATAGTGCTGGCCATCTCATGCAGCCAACTGTGGCAACATGATAAGAGATGGAATAGCATGATAGCAAAAAGCATTGAGCTGGAAGTCTGCACACCAAACCTCACAGCTGCCACAAACTCAATTAGGCAGGTCTCCAAGCCTGACCCCCTCACCTCCATATGCAACATGTGGAATAATGCTGGTCTGCCTTGCAGTGCTGTTGTAAGGATTACCTTGAAACTGTAAATGAGGGATGTTGAATACTGTATTTTTTGCTCTGTAAGACTCACTTTTCCCCTCCTAAAAAGTAAGGGCAAATGTGTGTGCGTCTTATGGAGCGAATGCAGGCTGCACAGCTATCCTAGAAGCTAGAACAGCAAGAGGGATCACTGCTTTCACTGCGCAGTGATCCCTCTTGCTGTTCTGGCTTCTGAGATTCAGAATATTTTTTTTCTTGTTTTCCTCCTCCAAAAACTAGGTGCGTCTTGTGATCTGGTGCATCTTATAGAGTGAAAAATACGGTACTTGAAATGGATGATGATACCTGCAGCTTCTTTCCTTATTAGTCTTAAAAAATTCCTGTTAGAGTTTCTGTAGTCTGGTGCTTATGATTACACTTCCCAGGATGCCTGGGGTGGGGAAAGCAGAGTGGGGAAAGAAGGATAGAGAAGTTGGTAGGGTCCGCAGAAATGTAATAATGATATATATTAAGTTTGGCAATCCAGCCTAGTGTTTTGACCTTGATGTGACAAAGCTACTGAAATCAATTCATAATGTAGATCTCTTAAGAAATACCACGTCCTTAATTCAAACTTAGACCTTTCCCTCAGTAATCAGACTCGCCCAACAGTTTGTGCAATCCCACCCCCTCTTTGTTCTTTAGAGTCTCAGGGTAGGGGGCTATTCTTGCTTGTAAATTGTAACTCTTCAGAATGGGCATGTGATAATTGTTATCTGATCTTAATCACTAGCCCATAGAATGGATGCAGGTGACATCTTGTAGCAAACAACCTTGTCAGAATAAATGACAAGGCAGAATGATGCCTGCTGGGCACTTTCTGTCTTCCCATGGTTTGTTGTTTGTGCTAGGATGTGAAGATCAGGACAGATTGTTCAAAAGGCAAAATCAGGAGCTGGGCGGCAGAAGGCTGGGTTTGCTAGATGTTAATTTCAAGTAGCATTTTGAAGATGTGGACACCTAGCTAGTTCTAGCTGAGATCTAGCTTGTGATTGGTAGCAGTGGTTATTGCAGGGAAGTGTCGCTTTCTGCTGAAATTGCATTTTGTGGGGGGTTTTTAAAAAGAAAATTACAGATAAGAGTAAGCATTTGTTCAATCAAACAAGAGCATCTTAGACTTCTTGGTTTATGTCCTTGGTTTTCTTCATGCTCCTCCCTCCAGATAGACAAAACGTGTGACATGAGGTTCTACTTTAAAGTAATAAATGCAGTGGAAATGCTAAGGCCTAAACAGAATGTTTTATTCAACAAAATTAAGGGCAGTGGGGTAATAAATATGCTGCAGGCACTTGTGGGTAAAGTGAGAATACTATTTTCACACATTTCTCAAAATGCTGCTTCCTCCCATCCCCACCTCCTAACGTCAATTTGGCTAATTGATTGCAAGTTAAACTATTAATTTTAAGAAAAGCAGAGCACACTTAAGTAGGCACTCTAATTTTAGAGTCTAAAATGAAGAGTGCTGGATTGTTTTAACTGTAGTATAATGCCAACAGCTACTGCATGTCTTCTTTTAGTTGCCTTTGTTCTCAAGAGTGCTATCTTTAGTTTGTGATTACAGCTAGATTATGGATTACAGAGATCCCATCATGGGAGTGGGTTGTGTCTCCAATTTCGTACTAAATTGTTTCATGCTAATTGGCAGAGGTGCTCTTAGCAGAATCTGCAGTTGCCATGTTACTCGAAGGAATAGCCTTCTAGAAAACCACCTTCTGCCTTGAATTAGGTTGGGCTGCTGGCTGGTTATGTAGTGCTTTCCAGAATTGCATTTAAAAATATAACAGCGGTAGCTCCCACAGAGCCAAGTCAGGTTGGCATGGCCAACAGCTGAGTGTTTGCTAATTACGTGCCCAGTCTTGGTGGCAATGAAGTATGGACTGGCTAATTAAATTGAAACCACATCAGGGGATTTAATCTTAAGGACAGGAACTGCTGTGTTCTAATCAGCCTCCTTTTCTTCCCACTCCACAGCAGAGTAACAAAGCTGAGCTTGTACCATCATAGCTGTTCCCATGGCTGCAGACTATGATGTCACAAACAGATGCATTATGGCCATAACAACTTGTACAACGATTCCATAATTTATTCTACACTTGTGGGATTTGGAGAGGTGATGTACCTCCAATACACATCTAAGAGCAGCAGCAAGAAGGCCAGCTGACGCCCTTCCTCCAAGTCAGAACTGGATCTGGGTAGATGAGTTTTGCCAGGGAGTTTATTGTATCACTGCCAACACCATATTCTACATTCAGCATGTCAAAAGGAGGCATTCATGGCTGGTCTGCAATCAACTGGAGAAGCCACTTCATGCAAAATTTCATTTGGGTTATAACCATTACTGTAGCAATTTGAACAATTTCCTTCTGGGTAGTGTAAAATAAAAACTGGATGTGATGTTTCACCCTAAGAGATGCTCCATCCCCAGGCTGTTTTAAATGTCGCAGTTACTTTTCCTGTACAAAAGTATTCACTCCTGTTTATGAAAATGAATAAAAGCTGTGTGCAGATAGTCAAACAGTAGGTGGCCCTTGATGGGAGTGGCTGATAGATGCTAAAGCATGAAAGGCTAAGCCATGGCCCTCCGGATTTTGTTGGACTCCTTGTCTCATCAGCCCCAACCAGCGTGGCCAATGGCTGGGGATGCTGGAATCTGTAGTCCAATGATATATAAGGACTGAAGTAAATCTGCCAAACAAACAAACAAACAACAAAACCCTCCAGTGTGAACAGAATCATGATTTGCATTAAATACATTTGTTTGAAGTTAGTCAGTGCAAAATGAATTGGTTTCTACCCCTTCGTTTGGCCTACCCAAATTTGTGTTCCCTAGAATTCAAAGGGAGTATTAAAAATGCTTTTTTAGAACTTTATTGTAGTCTTTCTCAGTATTATCCTTGTCCACATGAAGGAGAATTTTCCTGTCAAATTGAGGAAGGCAATAAGATTTTTAACTTAGATGAGATCTGAACACTTCCAAGAATGCACTTTTATATTGTCAATGTCTGCCTAGATAAAACTTTCACCTCTTATCTATTGGAATAAAATAAAGCTGTGTCCGAGATTAAATATGGAACTGTGTAATACTTGTTCTCATTAATTCTCTCCAGCCTTGGGGTGGGGTGGGAGGGCTAGAATGTATCTGCCAAGATTGTGTTGAGTTGAACATTTCCGAGTCTGTAAAATATTTGAAGCAAAATATGAGACTAGGGAAAAAGAGGCATATTTTGTCAATTCCAAAAGGGGTCCTCCCCACACCTCACAAAATAAATCCGAGGAGGAGGATTCCCTCTGTCCCCCATTTCTTGTTGGAAACATTTACAACATATGATCTTTAGAAGGTAAAACCATGGATTTTGCAGATTTTCAATTTGAAAGCCTACCATCCCCATTTTAAAGAATAAACATAACTGCAAACATGACTGCATGCATGAAACATACCTGTGATGGATAGACAGGAAATTAGCTGCCATGTCCCATAGTTCAAGGGAATAGAGTAATGGGGTACAGGTCTGTGTTCCAGGGCTGGGAAACCAGCTGTTTTTGGAATCCCTATTCCCACCAGTCCAACAGTGAGTTGCAGTCCAGAAACTTCTGGAGGGTTCAGTTCTACCACCTGTTTTGAATGTCAGAATTCAGGTTTGGATAACAATCAGTGATCCTAAAAGTACTGGTGCATACAAGTAGATACACACATCCTTCTGTCACTGAGTTTTTACAGGCAGGCTATAAAATAACCTGCTTCTGTTTCAGCTAGACTGCAGTTTTCAGCATTGTTTTGTGTTTGTTATTTTTAAAAAGTTCTGCATATTTAAAAGCTAGCAAGTTCTTGGAAATATCGGAAAACACAATTTTAAAATCTTCAGCTCAATTCAGCTAGGCAGACTGAGGGCCCAAGGCTTCTATGCATTTCATATTTGATTCATAATACAAAACAAAATGAGTTATATGCCCATGTCCTAGATAAGGCAACACCGGAAGGCATTTTTAAAACTTATGTTGGCACCAAAATGTGCTAACACAAATATATACCAGTTATAAAGCAGGGGTGTTCTGGATCTGGCCACTATATGGGAATGCTACAGGTTTAACAGAGTCTGGGCTAGTAGGGCCTCATTCTGAGAATTATCCAAGTGGTACCGGGAGTCAGGTGTGTGGGCTTAGTTGCCCTGGTTTGACTCTGCTGGTGCCTTACAGGATGTGGGTGGTCTCAGGATGGTGCTGCTGCTGTTTCCATTCTGAGAATGACCAACTTTGAAGCAGCTGATTGCAGCCTTCCATGTGCGATCGATATAAATATGCAATATCTTTACAACCTTTTCCTAACACACTGTTGCTAATGCCTTCTTGTTAACCCGTGATTGCTCAGCTTCTGCCGTGGTATGTCTAGTCTTAAAAGCCACCCTTCTTTTTCCAGAAGAACCGACTCCTTCACATAAAATCATCAGCCCACCCTCTGGAGTTACTTACCCTCATGATGATGTCTCGGATTATGGCCTCAAGCCATACACCCCCTTCGCTTTGTCTAGCCTTTCGGCAGATCACATGGGCAGATACGGACAGCCAGATAGCCTAGGGTCAAAATGCTACTTGGACCCGGGCAAGGCTGCCGGTCCCCCTACTTTGAGCCCTAGGATTGAGATAACACCATCTTATGAACTGATTCACTCGGGGGGTCCCTTCTGCAGCAGAGACACAGATCTATTGGTAGAGCATCAGTCCAACTCAGCTACTGCTAGCCCAAGGTTTACCCTGCCTGTCCCTGGCTTTGAGAGCTACCGAGAACCGCTGTGCCTGAGCCCTCCTAGCAGCGGCTCCTCTGCAAGCTTCATTTCAGAGACAAATTTCTCTCCTTATACCTCACCATGCGTTTCACCAAATAATGGCCCTAGTGATGACCTTTGTCCACAGTTTCAAAACACCCATGCTCATTATTCCCCTAGAACCTCGCCAATAATGTCCCCACAAGCAACCATCGTGGAGGATACCTGCTTGGGGCCACGTTCAACATCTCCACGTCCCAACTCAAGGTCGTCATCGCCAGGAGCAAAGCGGAAGTACCCTTGCCCCGAGCTCTACGGGAGTCAGCAACCTTGCACTTCTCCACGGCAATCGAGGACCCCCTCTCCGCAAGCCTCTCCCCAGGTCCCCTTGAGAGAAGACGGCTCTTCGATCACTTACACCCAGTTATCCACCTCTTCTAGCCTCATGGATGCAATGAGCAACCTCACTACCGATCCCTCTTGCGGAGTCCCGACAAAAATATGGAGAACCAGCCCGGAACCTTCGCCGATGTCTTCCCACAAAGCCAGCATGCCGTGTCACGTTCTTCAGCCTATTGAATACATTGGACCTTGCGAGCAGGATGATCGGAGGAACCCACCACCTGAGTCTATCTTATTAGTGCCGCCATCTTGGCCAAAGCAGCTGATGCCTGCAATACCTATCTGCAGGTAAGCTTGCATGTCTTGTGGTCACTCTTTCTAACAGGTCTGATAGAATTTGTTCCTGATAGCCCAAACCTCCATTATGCACATGTGTGGGATGGCCTGCCTTTGCCTACTTTCTAAACAATAACTACCACCGTGATACGCAAGGAAATTTTTTAAATAAAAGGCTCTTGCAATACAGGACCTCTTGTTTGGGTTGCCAGCCAGTTATTATGTTATGGATGCATCCAGAAAAATGCATTCTGATATGTAGCCAGTCATTGGGAGATGTCATGTCCACCAAACATGGGATGCTATCAAGCTAAATCACTCCAGGAGTAGACCCATTGAAATCATTGGTCCATATAGCTCCATACAGACTGAAATCTCCAAATCAGGAGACATGCCTAGTTTCATTTGTGGATGCTGAAGATTGAACCAGGGATCTTCTGTATGCAAAACAGATTCCCAGGCTTTTCCCAAGTAGGAATACAGTAGTACCTCTGGTTGCGAACAGGATCCGTTCCGGAGGCCTGGTTGCAACATGAAAAGAGTGCAGCCTGAAGTACCGTATCTGCGCAGGTGCGCAGTGCGATTTGGTGCTTGTGTGCATGCGCGAAGTGCGATTTAGCGCTTCTGCGCATGTGCAAGTGGCAAAACCCGGAAGTAACTCTTTCCGGTACTTCCGGGTTGCCACGGGACGCAACTTGAAAGAACATAACATGAAGCAAACGTAACATGAGGTATGACTGTACTTGATGCACCAATCATCTAACTTGGTATAAGGCAGTCTCATATCTCTCTAAACTGACAATAAGTGTACATTGCTGCTCTTGTTTGTCTTTGTGCACGTACCAGCCCACCTCCAAACAGTAGAAATAATTTGCTAGAGGTAAATTTTTACCAGGGACCTGTTTCAAAGGGTGGAGATATTAGCAAACATATGATTTTAATGAGATACTGAGAATGTGGGGATAGAGCACTTAGGCAGACATAAGAGAGGAGTTTGTAACTCTTTCTGTACCCACTAATTCTCCCTTTCAAGTGTTTCCCCCAGCTAGCATTCACTGAGCTGGACTTAATTGTTTTCAGAGGAAAAAAATCGTTTACGCATGTCCAGCGGAAGCATTTGCGAGGAACAAGGCTAAAGCATCTCTGCTTGCCCACTAATTTCTCCAGTCAGTGTTGTCTCTTCCCCCTCCCTGCATTAGTGCAGTCAAACATAAGAGAGGCCTTGCTGGATCAGATCAAAAGCCTATTTACTTCATCCAGCATCCTGTTTTCCACAGCAGCCAACCAGATGCCCCCAGGAACCCGTAACACAGGGCATGAAGTCAACAGTCCTTTTCCTACTGCCTCAAAATCTGGAGGCTCCATAAAGTAATTGTGATCCATAGTCATTGACAGACCCTGTGCTAATTCTCTGAGGGAAGGCGAACCCCTCCATTTATCTTAATGGAGGCTGTGCACCCTGACCTCTTTTGAAAGAAAGAGAAAAGCCAACCTGCGTTCCATAATGACGTTCTCCAACTTAATGTCCCTCTTTTCTGTCCAGCATTCCTGTCCACTCCCTCCCACCACTTGAATGGCCCCTCTCCAGTCATTCTGGCTCTTACGAGCTGCGGATTGAAGTGCAGCCCAAACCCCACCACCGTGCCCACTATGAGACGGAAGGGAGCCGAGGGGCAGTCAAAGCGCCAACAGGGGGGCACCCCGTGGTCCAGGTAAGATCTTGTTCTTGGAGAAGATGAACTGTGACGGCTTCTTGATAGCTCTGCGCCTCTTGGCAACCTGCCATAGCACCACATTGTTTGGGAAAACAAGGCTAGTGCAACATATTTATAAAAGGTGTTTATGGATAGCAGACAGTAGTCTCCTACTGGTCTGGGAAGATATAGTTCTATCCACTTTACAAATACTTGGAGGCCAGGCCATGGAGTCATTTTCCTGACTCTTGTTTTCATTTCATTGTTTGCACGTGTGTGTGTCTCTGTGTGAGTGTGTGTGTGTGTGTAGCACTTCAGTTTTTATAAACTGCTTGGAGACTGCTTTTATATTATGTGATATATATGAAATAAAGTTGTACTCTTGGCCCTTCCAGGACCCAAGGTACAGTACTTAGCTCTTCCCTATAAAACAGCCCTGGTCTAGAGACAGCTATAAGTCATTTTAAATCCCTGACTTTAAGAGAAGCCTTCACATTCAGGCATAACTAAGGTTGTTCCATGGTTTATTTTTTTCAACAATAACAAAGTTATTGTGAGAAGAAGAAATGGGTGCTTCTCAGGGATTGAGATGCTATAACAAGGTGTGAATAAAGCATTTTAAGTTTCACAAACAACTCAGTATGATTGCCTTGAAAATAACAGGTCTTGACTGATGTTTTAAGATGGAGCTGTATCAAGATACAATGGAGGAGGCCCAACTCTGCTGCTTCAGCCTTTGCTGAACTTCACAGATTTAATAATAATAATAATAATAATAATAATAATAATAATAAATTTTATTTATACCCCGCCCTCCCCAGCCAAGACCGGGCTCAGGGCGGCTAACACCAGGTGTAAAAACAACTAATTAAATTACAACTTGGAAACAAGATTAAAATACAACATTGAAATGCAGCCTCATTTCAGTAGAAACTCAAAAACTTTTTGGGGAGGAAAACGTCAAATCTTCACCAAGGCCAACTATCCAGACTGGTCCTACGTGGGCCAGAAAAAAGCCAGGGAAGTCCCCAAATAGGAGTTCCATCACAGAAGGAAAGAGGGAAAGGGGATCAAGTTGATTCCAAGCCAAAGGCCAGGCGGAACAACTCTGTCTTACAGGTCCTAAAGCACACCTTAAATGGAGTTAGTTCTGCATCCAACAACTTCTCCTCTGCCTTCGAACTAATAACATATATATACCTGTCCTGTTTCCTGTTGGGTTGGGATCACACCTTTTGCAGAAGGAGCAGCCGCTGCTTATTTGCATTAAAGCCCATTGCTGTCCTTCTCTGCTGAATTGTTTCTGACCTGCCACTGTCTTCATCTAACTGTGATGGGCTGTCGTGGTTATTGATCAAACAGTCCCAAGGAGTGCACGATAATAGGGTGGGGTTTTTTTGGCAGTATGATTGCCTTGAAAATAACAGGTCTTGACTGATGTTTTAAGATGGAGCTGTATCAAGATACAATGGAGGAGGCCCAACTCTGCTGCTTCAGCCTTTGCTGAACTTCACAGTGGCATAGAATCATTCTGTAGAGTTGGAATTCAGAAAGGCAGTTGGTAGTGAAGTCAACCTGCGTATATATGTTGCCCTTTGTAGGGCTTGGCAGTATAAATCAAGCTGACATATGGGTGGTTTGGAGTCACTTATCTCTCCTCCTTTTGCAATACCTTCTTTACGCCAGGAGGAGATTGTTTCATTGGCCAGGGTTAGAGTGTGATAAGAGGCGAAGCACTTCACAGAGCTGGCACTTAGTTCAATGAGGCATTTGATGGCCTACTGTAAAGTTTATGTAGTTGTAAAGTGATAGGGCCATGGGTTAATTGAGTTCATGCATTCATAGAAGAAAAGTCACTGAGTTCAGAGTAAGATTTTTTTTAATTATCTTTTTTGCAAGGTGGATTGAGGTTGCAGAAGTAGAGACGGGGTGTCATGGGGATAGTGAAGGATCAGGTGAACTCTCTTGAGTTTCATTGCAAGTGTACAAATCCAGGCTGCTTTTAATGGGAGAATTCCAGCTTGGCTAGTCTAAGTTTATGGAGGAATTAAATTAGGACCCCTTAGTACTAAATATGACATGTGTTGCTATGACAGGGATCTAAAGAAGAGGCATGAACATGGACATGTAAGAAGAGGCATGAACAGCTGTGTGGTCAGCTGGTCAGCTGGACTCTTATAGCTGCTTCCGGATAACCTGTTTATTGAGCGTTCTTCCTGATTTCTTTGCAAGGAGGTTAGATGATGTTGTGTCAAAGCTGGAGTTATCCCACACTTTGCATTTCCCACCAATTTCCTTATTGCCAAAGAATCTGATCTTTTGGGGAAGAAGCAGATTTGTTGCATAAAAGCTTGTTGCATATCACATTCGGCAGAGCATGAGACTCTTAATCTCAGGGTATTGGGATTGAGCCCCACATTGGGCAAAAGACTCCTGTATTGCAGGAGGTTCCACTAGATGACCCTCCTGGTCCCTTCCAAATCTACTGTTCTATGAATTGCACAATCTGAATTTGCCAGTATGTAGTTGAATCCCATCCGAAAATAGTGACAGTCTAGAATTGCCCTTGACTGTACTTTCTTGCCGCAGCAGTTCCTAGTGCATTAAAAACCAATCTGTGACTTGTCTCCTTAGCATTGCAAGTTGTTGAATGGTAAAACCAACAAGCCCGGTTCTGTGTTTCTTCTGTCCTGCTCACACATGCCTTTTTGGATCCTGGCCAACAGATGTTTTTATCCCCCAAAGTAGTCTAAGTTTCCAAGTGCAGGGAGATTTTTTTGGGGTGGGAGAGTATTTAGGTACCTCAATCTCCCATCTGCAGCACAGCACACCAAGAGCAGAAACATGCTTATTCTGGTGATAGTCTAGCATGGTTTTCAAGCTGTCCCTAATCAGATGTACTGAAAGGGGCACATTGAATCCCCATGGAAAAGGATGGCTGGATGCATCCTTTTTTATCTTTAAGGCTATATATTTGTTGCAAATGATTTAACACTGTGGTGTGGGGTATGACAGGATACTAGAAGGGTCATCTGTCAGAAAGTTCTTCCTGATGTTTAGTCGGAATCTCCTTTCTTGTAACTTGAATCCATTGGTTCAAGTCCTACGCTCCAGAGCAGGAGATAGCAAGCTCGCTCCATCTTCCATGTGCACAATTGGGGTCCCTGATTGCATGGGGCACTTAAGGGAAAGTTGTCAACTCATGCGCAGGCTCCCCCTTGCAGATATCCATGCTGAACATGTTCACAAGATAGCTCTACACATGTACACGATGCATGAAAAGGACAGATGTAAAGTATACACAGGATATAGGTTATTTACCTATTAAGTCAATTTGCATGGCCACCCAAAAACGTATGTTTTCCATATGGCATAAACACATCAAAAGACTAATATACAATGCTGAAAATAACACAAAAGGTTAAAGACGGCTACACATTCTCTCTAGCTCTGCTTTGCTTCTTTGACAACTGTACTTGGACAGAGAACCTTGTGGGCATGAATGAATATAATCAAAGATTAATAAATTCCAATCCAGCGATTTCATTGTGTGCTTGTTTGTGTTTCCCTGTTCCTGACATTACTTAAGAGTTTGAGGGAGGAGGTGCCCGTTCTGTTGAATGAATCTCTGAAATATGACTCTGCTTACTTTTTTCTTTCTTTTTTTTAAAGTCATCTTTATTTTTGTGGGAGCTGACTTTGGTCAGGGAAGGGAAGCTGCGCAGCAGTGGATCTCATATCCTCCCCAGCTCTATCTTGTGGTTTTGCCCTCTGAGGCCACTTCTTCTTCTTTGCATGCTTGGTCTCGGGAGTTTGGCACACGCCGTTGAGGAGTATGTGCTCACAGGGTGCTCCTAGAACACCAGAACAATTGTCTGCCTGTTAAAGTGAGAGCCTCTGGCAGGACAAGATGCATTCAGCGAGGACATGGGCTTTTGTGTGTTTAACATCTTGTTCGAGGGCCCAGAATAGCAACAACTGGCTCTGTGTTGAGGACAAAGGCTGGTGTTGACATGTCGCTTCCCCTCCCCTCCCCCCACCCAGGTTGGCACAGTCACCCAATTTGGAGAGGATGTGGCACACAGACACATCCTTTGCCTCTCGGTAAACTCCCGTCGAGTCCTACCAGCAGTTGTTTAGACGTTTGTACAAAGGGTAGCCCCGGGCAGCAAGCTGCTGTAAGCACAGAAAAGTAGAAGTGAACTATGAATGCTCAGCTGTGATAGATGCACTCGGCACATGCTCAGAGGCACCTGCTTTTGTATCAATGAATTCAGATGTGCCGGGGCTGGTCTTCATGCACTTTTAAAAGACCTGGGTCCTGAGGTTAAGGCCTGGCTCAAATTAAAGCCTAGAAAGACGCAGAGGAAAATAAAAAGCACACTTAACTTTTTCTACTGCGCCTCGAATTCTGCATCCGTAGCAAGCTGTTTATGAAAATAATCCTAGACACGGGTAGAGAGGAGAGGAGGGGGTGTTTAACTGTTTCCCCAAACCAGCCCTTTTCTGCTGCAATTGATTTAAAACTTTTATATGCCAGCCTCCCCCAGGACAGATTCGAGTGCAGTTTCTAAGCATCAGGCTGTAACAACCAGACGAAAATACAAAACATTAATAAGGCAGAACAGATCACATAACAGTACTTAAATACTACATGAAATGCTTTGGCCTGGGACCTGAAAACTAATAATGCTGGTGACAGGCAAGTCACAGGTGGGGGCCGCTGCTGAGAAGGGGCAGCAGCCAAGCTACTCTCTTTAGTTGCTGCATTAGTATTGCTTCTGATAGGAGAGAGACCCAGAAGAGGGCCTCATCAGATGATCTTAAACAGCATGGGCAGGATGATAGGGGGAAAGGCACTCTCCTGAGTCCCATACTTTGCAGGGCTTTTAAAGCATGCAACACCACATTGAATTCGGCCTGGAAGCAAACAGACAGCCAGTGAAGCTCTTTTGGGACCAGTGAAGTATAATTCGAATTGTTCTCTGCCTAGCAACAAAAATTACCCCCTCGTTCAGTGACTTTTCCATCCCTTGGGGTTCTGGATGGATATTTAGCCTTATAACCATGTTATCTAGAACTCTGCTGGATAAGAGTTGCCCCTGGAAAGTGGCAGGCTGGGGAAATTTTGTTTGGGGAGTTTTGTTAAGGTGGTTGGGGTTGTTGCTGGGGATTTTTTGTTGGTGGTATCTTTATTGTAGACCTTGCGATTTACGTGGAAGTGGTTCAGTTTGGCTGTGTATTTTCTGGTGTTTCTTTTACTGCCTCGGGCATGATTTGAACTGTGGAAAGGCGGCATACAAATAAAATTATGCGTGCATGTTAAGCACTCACACAGCTGCTCCCCCCCCCCCCCAGCACCATCCCTTCCAGAAGTGCTTTCCTCTAACATGAGTCACCATTGGGGATTTGTTCCATATGTTCCCATGTAACATGTAAGTAGAGGACTGGAGTCACAGTGACTGCAAAACACCAGCCACTGCAGACTGCATGCTGTATGTTGCATTACCCATGCGAGTCTCAGCACTCGGTTGCAGAGTGATGTGCATCGGTGCTTGTGTATTAAAAGAACAAGAGGAAGGAAGTGACAACAATTAGAAAAGACTAAGCCCCCCCCCGCTCCATGCACACACACACACACACACACACACACACACTTCACAAAACATTTCACAGCAGACACAGCCTTGATTCTTGCTTAGAACTAGTAACACATCATGCAGCTCCTATGTAAGTCCCAGTGTTTATTACTACAGGCTTCCTTCCCTGTAACTGTATTTGTCATGTGTCTTGCTGAGCCCTGAATTAATGCAGTAGACCAGAACTTTTGGTGCAAATTAGAGGCTGGACCGTGGGTATTATGCAGAAATGTTTACTCACAGGAACGCAATGAACTCTGGACTGTGTGAAATCCACATTTCTCGGTTCTCTGTGTGTGACTAAAGACTAGTGTGGAATGTAATACCCTGATTCTTTAACCCCTCCCCCCAGTAATTGAAAAAGTAAAGTTCTAGTCCTCATGGTTCCAGGGGCCAAAAAAGGACAAAAGAGGACATGAATTCGTGAAACTTATGTATATGGTCATTCAGATGCAATTATAGAAATCCATTATTGCGATTTAGATAGAAAGATGTAGTCTTCCCCACTATGGTAAAATGTGCTGAGACAGGTGACCTGTATCACTTTGCTACCCAGATGCTAACTGCTGATGGGCGACTTCAAGGCACCTTCTGTTCTTAGGGTTCTTTATCTTAAAGTTGGACAGATCGTCAAATAAAGGACTTCTTTAGATAGGCGACTATCTTCTGACAGCCCTTCAAACGACTATAGAAGAGGACATGAACACTTAATCTGGAGAAAAGTTTCGAAATGTGTCTTGCTGCCTCTTTATGAGAAGTGTGGGGATGGGCAGAACACACAGCCTTTGTGTTCAAGGATGGCCTTTCAGTATCCTGTACAATTCCCTACTGCTGTCAGACAGCTAGTGGTACCCTAGGGCCGGACTAAACATGACCTTAAATTTGTGAATGCATTCAGAAGCATCTGCTTTTGAACTTAAAAAATTAAAGCTGCATGGGAGGAGCTGGTTTCAGGATTGAGACTGCAGCACATGGGGAGGTGGATTAACCCTTTTTGCCCAAGCTGTGATTCTACCCTTGGAAGCTGCAAACAGGTGCCAAAACCAGCTTTCCTCCTACATAAAATAGCAGCTGGGAGGGGTGCTTTTCACTGGGACAGCACTGTGTAGGATAGATTAAACCCCTCCTCCCCCCATGCAGCAGAATCCTGATCTTGTCTCCATCATTATTACTTTGACAGGTAACAAGAAAAGACATGTTAAATGCATTCTAATCTTGCGAAGTTTGGCCCTTTGTCTCCAGAACAGACAGTCCTACTCCTTCTCAAAAATCCATATTCTCTGAAAATCTGAAGCTTGATGCAGAATGCATCTTCTTTTTTTCTGCTGAGGCTGTTCTGGCTCACTATACGGCTGCATACCAGAAGGGTCATGCCATTTTCTTGGGAGAAAATGTATTATGGCCTCTTGGGTCAACAACAGGTAGAATTTGGGTTTGGATTTAGAACAGGGATGAGCAGAAGGTGGATTGGGCTATACTACGGGATGTCAGGATAATTTGCAGAAGACCATCAAGGGTTTTTCTGACCCTCAAATGTTTAACAATAGCAACAAAATTGTTTCCCACCTAAATTAGGTTGCTGAAAGACTTTCATTGTGTGATAGGACTAGGAGCTCTTCTGGTGCTGAAAACGAATTCCTAAACGTAGAATATACCCAGAGGCACCCTGTTCTTAAATTCTAAGCATATGTCTTTTGCACCTGGCTCAGGTTGGCAAAACATACCCTAGTCAAAAAATAAATAAAGTGGATTTGACTGGACTGCCCTGCTTGCCCCAGATGTAGAAGAAATTTATATCCCTGTTTTATAAAGCAGAGTGGGCCAGTCTTTCCAAAGAATACGTGAAATAAAAATGACAAAGGGCTTCGTATGTTAAAAAGAGCGCTGGTGAAAACTTAGTGCTAATACGAGCCAGTGGCAGTCTTCTGCTTCAAGCTTTACCTGTTCCTTTGACACCAGAGGGAGAAAATGTCTCAAGTGCTTTCTTATCTACTGCTGTGCAGCAGGAAAAGGGAAGAGATGGGAGGAAGAGACTTCTCACTTAGCTTTGTATTTGCTTTTAATTAACTGTAGGCAGTGGGGATTCCATGTTCCAATTTATTTATTTATTTGACACAGAGGTCAACAAACGGGTCTCTGAACTACCACTGGCTTATTGGGAAAATCTGGCCACACAGTGTGTGTGCCCCATTTGGAGCGATGTTGTATTTTAAAGATTTCCACTAGAAATATGCCCAGTTCTAAGCAGAAGTGAGCAGGTGAGCTGCCAGTCTTGAATGGAGTTGGTCAAACGCAATAGGAAATGCCCCCAAGAGTATTGCATTGAAAACTGGTATATGCACACACCAGATGAATTAAGGCGGCCATTTGCCAAGTAATAAACATACAGAACTGCAGTGTACGTGTGTTGCTTGGTAAGGTGGTTCCTTATTGATCTGTGAAGGGTTTAGTTTCTGATCAGGGACTTGCAGAGAAATGGTGAGGTTTAGTCTTCTTATCACACGGCTGGGTGCTATAAATATATGAAATTGTCATGTACAGAACCAGACTGTTTATCCATTTAGCTTGTCAATGTCTCCCCTGAGTGGCTGTCCAACAGGCAGAGAAGGTCTTTCCTGGTCCTGCTGCCTAGAATCCTCTTAGCCAGAGACACCAAGAATTGAACTTGGGCATTCCATTCATTTCAGTGTGACGTATTACAAGAAAATATGTTATAAGACTGAAGCATTTGATGTACATACATCATCTGCCATGGTATCCTCTCCCACTCCAGCCACCCCAAACATCATATTGTTGACAGGGATTTATGAGCCACTGTCAACTTAATTTATCAACTGAAGGCCGAGTAAATCACTGGCTCCTGTGAATTCATTCATACACATTCCATTTTTCCTTCTGGAAGAGTGGTCTGTGTTGTCTAGACAGGAAGATGAGTGTGATCGTCATTGAAGATCCTGATTTATGAGAAAAAGCGTACCACTCCCTAGAAGCAAGTTCTCTGGAAGGAGGAAACAGGCCATCCCTTCCTAGCTCCTTCGCTATGATGCAGACCACTTCTGTTTTCACAAAGTGTGGTTTAAGCTGTACTTCCCATCTCAAATCCATCAAAACCTATCCTCAAATCCAACTTCCCATATTCTAGGGCTGCCATGCGTCCTACTCTGCAGAGGTCAGCCACCTGTTTTGAAAGGCTGGCAGTCCTCTATTTTAAGGTGACTTTTATTTGAGGGCTGTCTAGCCTCAAGTCTGGTTTAAAAGTAAGGAACCCTAAGAAAGGAGAGCAGGAGCCCTGAAGTTGCCCATCAACAGTTAAGAGCAGACTGAACTATTACCCATCACCTGTTGTCCCCTCACTAGGGTGAGCCATATTGCATTTCTCTTTAAATTATTGTCATTGTTGTTTAGTCGGCTTAGTAGTGTTCGACTCTCCGTGACCCCATGAACCAGAGCATGCCTTGGAAACTCTTACTTTCTTCTCAGAGCTTCTCCTTTTTTATGTCCATGGAGTTTTCTTGGCAAAATACTCGAGTGGTTTGCCAGTTCCTTCACCAGGTGGATCACATTTAGTCTAAACTCTTGGCTATGGCCTGTCCGTCCTAGGTGGCCCTGCACAGCATAGCTCATAGCTTCTTGGAGTTATTCAAGCCCCTTCGCCACGACATGAAGGGGTAAATTATTGTAACTGTTGCTAAATTTTGCAACTAGACAAATCAATTAGTGTATGGAAATGTTACGTAAATTTGTGTTACATCTTGTTCTGTTTTTTGGGCGATGCAAACCCTCTTTATAGGCGATACATAAGTGGCTATTCTGATATATGTTTCTTCATTGCAGGATATCACTTTATCTCAGTCACTATCCCAGTTCATCCATTGCTTGCTTGCGTTTTCTTTTTTTTACCCTTTTACACATGTGATAGAGAAGTTTTTGGCTTGATTTTTCTTCTCAGTTCAAAGCTACATCTGGTCAAGTTTGCATTTTTTAACTCCTTTCTATGGGGGTATAAGGACCTGTGGGTGTTTGGGAATCTGAGTCGTAATCTCAAAAAACAGAAAGGTATGAACAAAGTTTGTTGGCATGTGTTGTGAACTGTGTAGTTTGAGCTGCATGCCTAGCTATGCTATGTATACTGAGCTGGGATTTTTACCTAGGCTTTTTTATAAAACATAGCCATTTCTGCACATATGGTGCTAGGTGTTTGTGCAAAATAAGCATTCTTATGTATGCATGCATTTATCAACATAACTATAGTTCTGAAAGTGACCTCATTTTTGCACATCCTGATGAACAAATGAGAGAATGAAGCTCATTTTAAAAAATGGTGGGAGGATAAATTTAATCATGCACACGCACACACACAGACATTTGCATAATCAATCTTTGCAATAAAATCAACAAGAAAAGCCTCTCCTTGTTTGCTGAATGTTATTTATTCATCTGCCAAAGACCAATTACAGACCAATCCAAGTCTAGCTGTGTTAATATTATAACTGTTATGCAAAAGATGGGGAAAAAATACAGTAATCCATTTCTACCAAAAGAAAGAAATAAAATCCCAAAATAGAATATGGAAAGGTACACATCATGTCTGTCTTCTCTTTCCCTTTTTTGGTAAATGTGACTCAAATGAGTTGATTTTTCTTCAGTCTAGTCTATATATATTATACTTTGGGCAGGGGGTGGGGAGGCTTATTGTGAATAACTTACCTTAGGGTTCTTTTCAGGGTTACGATTTCTAATACACACACATATATATATATATATATATATATATATCCCACCTTTCCTTCTAGCTTTTTCATTTTCTCTGAAAATGGAAACAATGGGATGTTAAAAATACTTATCAAAATGCAAAAATAAAGTTATAAAAAATAAAGGTCAATGGCTTGACGTTCAGCAGTGATCTTTATTCCTAAAGGTGTGTGTCTATATTAACACTGCCAAAGTGGTCAGATGCAAAAACTTGACCTCTGTGCAAAAACGATAAACATTTTTGTGTGTGACTCAGAACACTTTCTTAGCAATGGTGACACCACATTGAGATGCTTTGGTGTGGGGGACACAGAAGACCCTGGTGACTGGTCTTCAACTCTCAAAGACATTTTTTTCTGAGGTCTGGTCTATTCATGCAGCAGAATAATGTGGGGATAGGATGGTAGAGCCGTAAGATGGCAGAACAGGCTAAACTGCCCCCCAGCCAAATATTTCATTACTTATCTCATTTTTTGTTTTCTGAAAACTTTTAATCTCCCCTCTGGGTGACTTACAAAAATAAGATGCAATATACAATTGCAATATAACAACAACCCCCCCAAAAAAGAACCCCCAAATGACAGCAATAGCCACAGATCAATAAGTGTTCTGATCTAGAACATGCTTCCATTCTAGATTGGAGACCCATGTCAGTTTCTTCCTGAAAATTGTCCCCTTCCAGTGGTTATTTGCCCCAGAAGGCAGGCATATTTGGAGTTAACAGCACTTTTAGAAGACGGATAGTAGCTAAGGGTAGGGGCCAAAGTATTTTTAGCAGGGGGAAGGGGGAGAGGACTATGTTCCAGATCGGGGTTCTGCAACTGCTTTTTCTTGAGAACGGAAGAGGCCATTTGAAGCAAACCTGAGTGATCGATAGACACAGAAATGACATTTATGAACCAGGAGCAACAAAGAGTCTTTTGGCACCTTAAAAACAAAATCAATGTACATGGCTTTAGTCTGTTGTTTTCAGCGGGTTTGCTTTGAGTATAACTTAACTGGAAGCAAGCTTAATAGGTGCATTGTGGGACAAGCTGCGGGAGCCTGGATCCCATCTCATCAGATGCACGAACTGTTGTTAACTAATGAGTAAAAAATGATGGGTGTTCTTCCCCACCACCACCACCGTCTGTATAAACATGTGAATAATAGGGAGCAGTTTTTGGCCTTTCTGCTTCACATAGTGCCATATATTTAGTGCTGTACGGGTGAAAGCAAGATGGATCTGAAGACTGTGTGTCTCGTGGGTTCCTCTTCATTTACCACATTGTGGGAAGGTTGCCAGCGATGCATAGATGTTGCATGTGGTCTCATGGGGGGACGGATTAATTCTTACTATGCAAGGATACCTCCTGCTGACTTTTGAAAGGGAGAACAAACAAAGAGGAACTCTTTTGACCATGGATGCTATTAGCTTAATGTTTCTGTTCTCTGATCTTCCTGTCCTGTTTGCTTTGTACGGCTTAATCAAGTTTTTTTTTTTTTTTTTGGTATATAATGTGGACCAAGTAATTGAAAACAAATTTAGCATGTCTCAGACCATCAAGTTCCCTTTCAGCTGGATTGCTGGCTTCGCGGTAGACATGTCTGCTTTCAATTTTCAGTGATGTGAGAAACATAGAATGAATGGCTTGATTTGTAATTGTGAATGTTAATAATGAAAGAGATATTCCCTGGTCTCAAGCCTACATAGAAATTCTGTCTCCGTTATGCTTCATATAACAAACCCCAATTCAAAACTCCACTGCTATTCTTTACTGAACATTTTCATTCTCTGCTATGTGGTTGGGTTGTTTTTTGCTCTCGAAGTGCCCAATTTATTTCATGAAAACATGTGTTGTACATAGAGCACACAAATATTTGTACAGAGAAAGATTACCATGAAAATGTCAAAACCTGCTTGTTTAAATAAACTCCTATTTTAGCTGGCAATGATATTTTTTTTTGACCTGTGTGCCACTACCTCTGTCAAAACCTGTCCACAGAAGATGGCAGAAATCTGGTTTATAACACAAACTTGCATGTTTCACAGTGTTCTCCTTTCATTTGTGAGTGTTTGGTTTTCACCTTGAAAGCAGAGAAATGCTTTCAGGTTTCATGTAATTCAACAATATGCAAATATTTGAGAAGCGAGTACCATATCTTGAATTACATGAAACCTGAAAGCATTTCTCTGCTTTGGCAGTTGTGTGCAAGCAACCCCAAATATCAAGTCTTTAAAGCTTTTTGGCAACTGTGGGCTCCCAAGCCAAGAGAACAAGGGAATTGTTCATCAAACTGACTTGAGCTAATCTTTAGGCATGGCTGTTAACAATAACATAGGAGCCCCAGAGCTCTTCCGTTCTTAGCTAGACAAACTAGGGATTTGCATAATAACATATGTGTTGCTAAGGCCAGGGACCTCCGAAGGGTGGTTTGTTGGTTTGTTGGTTTGTTTATATATGTGTGTTTCCTTCTAGTATCCAGGTTAAAAAAGCAGACAAAGTTTTAAGGAGTAGTCAAAAGGAAATGTCATGCTTTTGGGTGATAGCCATGATGATGATGATGATGATGATATTATGAAATAAAAGCAGGGTTTGTGGGGATCACTCTTGAATTCCTTGGAAGAAGAGCAAGATGGATGGATGGATCCACAAAGAGGGGATGGGAATGTGGAATTTCACATGTTTGAGATAAGAAGGTCCCAGGTTTCCAGGTACACTTGGGGAAATCAAGAAGAGCTGCTGTTTGTCCCTATAGAACAGCCTTTCCCAATCTACTGCCCTCCAGATATTTCTGGACTACAACTCTCAACAACTCTAGGTCAGAGATGATGGAAGCTGTAATGGTCCAAACCACCTGGAGGACACTAGTTAGTTAGTGAAGGCTAGTTAGCTACTTCTAAGCTTTATGGACCAGTGTATTTCAGCATAAGGCAACTTCATATGTTCATAGCTCTAGTTTAACTCTCCTAATTGTGAACCTAATATGCTGTTTCCTAACTGGAAGCCTTCAGTTTTTATTTTAATGCATTCCCTACAGTAGCAAATGGGGATGTGGGTGGCGCTGTGGGTTAAACCACAGAGCCTAGGACTTGCCGATCAGAAGGTTGGCGGTTCATATCCCCACGATGGGGTGAGCTCCCGTTGCTCGGTCCCTGCTCCTGACAACCTAGCAGTTCGAAAGCATGTCAAAGTGCAAGTAGAGAAATAGGTACCGCTCCGGCGGGAAGGTAAACGGCATTTCCGTGCACTTCTCTGGTTCGCCAGAAGTGGCTTAGTCATGCTGGCCACATGAACCGGAAGCTGTACGCCGGCTCCCTCGGCCAATAAAGTAAGTGAGATGAGCGCCACAACCCCAGAGTCGGCCACGACTGGACCTAATGGTCAGGGGTCCCTTTACCTATACCTTTACAGTAGCAATGTGTTTTATTGCTTGTGGGTCATGCAAACTGTCTCAACTAAAGAGATGACATCAGAAATATGAGATTCTTGCTGGGCATCTGCCTTCTCCTAGGTGGGGTTGTCCAAGCCATTGCTAATCTGCCCACACAACATTGCCCAAAGCGAGCGAGCTCGGGGCAAACCACTCCTTCCCAGCATGTGGTCATGTATGATAGCTGCTGGAGAACATCACTCACAAATGTCATGGCATAGTTTTCCTCTTCCGCTGCATCTGAGCCTTGTGCAAAAGAAAATTGTGAGCATGTCCAGTCTTTTCTCAATATGTGGGATGGGGAGGGAGAGAAAGTAGTGAGCCGCTTGTGCATTTCATTTTGCTGCCTCTATGGAATCGCAAAGCGGCAAAGGAGCCTTCTTTGTGGAAAAATATATATTCTGTTTTGTTATTTTATTCTCTGTCTCTGGAGATTGTGTGTGTACAGCACACACACACTTCCTTGGATTTAGTATAATCATGACTGCAGATTATTTCTTCTACTGCTAGATTATTTCCAGCTATTCAGAAGCAGGAAATGCTTTGTCAGCTGGCAATCTAAACCACCAAAGACTTTGGCTAAACTTTTGACTTGATGCCTCACCTATTGAAATTAATCCTTTGGGTTTAGCTTTGAAGTTTATCCTTGGTTAGAATATCCATGCACCCAAAAGAGCCAAGAGACAGAATTCCCCAAATATTCAGTTCTCAAAACGAAGACACAGATTGCTGATGTTCTTCTGTAGGCACTCTCTTTTCAAAGTGACTGAAGTCTGGGATTTGCTGGGACTCATAGGAGAATTTTGTCATGCAGACTTATTAGGCTGCTATAACAGAGCACTCGTCAAGCCTTCTCTAGTGAGGAGTACCACAAATATCTAGTCCTGTTGTGTATAAAAATAAAAAGCAACTTTCCTAAAGATGTACAGGCTCCCTACCCTATTCCTTCCACCTTTTTTTTTTTGGTAGGATTGCAACCCAGTAGAGAAAACGTTTGCCGAGTAATTGTACGAGTTATAGTCAATTAACCAATTAAATCGGGGTAAATTTGCATATGAGGAAAATAGTTCTAAAGTAAAATAAAGAACATGCTTTATTTTACACATATGTGCTGAAACAAGCATCATCTGGGAAGAGGCATTCATTCTCCCATCTCTTGCATGCCTCTTTTATTATGGTGCATGCTACTGACACTTTTTAGAGGGACGCGGGTGGTGCTGTGGGTTAAACCACAGAGCCTAGGACCTGCCGATCAGAAGGTCAGCGGTTCGAATCCCCGTGACGGGGTGAGCTCCCGTTGCTCGGTCCCTGCTCCTGCCAACCTAGCGGTTCGAAAGCATGTCAAAGTGCAAGTAGATAAATAGGTACCACTCCGGCGGGAAGGTAAACGGTGTTTCCATGTGCTGCTCTGGTTCACCAGAAGCGGCTTAGTCATGCTGGCCACATGACCCGGAAGCTGTACGCCGGCTCCCTCGGCCAGTAATGCGAGATGAGCGTCGCAACCCCACGACTGGACCTAATGGTCAGGGGTCCCTTTACCTTTACCTTACTGACACTTTTTATAAGTGCTTACTTAAAACAACAACAACAACCAAAACTTTAAAATATAAAATTTGCTGCCTAATTAATCAGTGTCACCTCTTTAGTCAGTTTTAATGATAATAGTTTTAATGATTAAACTAACTCATTGACTATGTCTTTGGAATGGACCAGAAGTAGCCTAGACCCACTCCTATCTATTCATTCATGCAAATGTCATTTGCTTTGATTAGGAAGAGCTAAGCTGAGCTGCTTATTTTAAAGTATTTATTGTTTTCATTATATTTATATCTTTCCCTTCCTCCCAAATAAACCTAGGGAGGCAAACAATAAGTAATAAAACAACAAAAACACCCTGAAAATGATTCCAATTCAGATGCAGACTGTATGATGAAAGGTTCAAACAACTCCCCCTATGCCATCTCCTAATTATGTAATTTGAGGATTTGTAAAATGCTTTTACAAAAGTCGCTTTAGATTTGTTTTGCACAAGAGCAACAGGTAACAGTCCTGTGAAGAAGGTTAGGATAAGAATGTGTGACTTGCCGAAAGCTACCCAAGGAGCATCATACTTGAGGAAAGATTAGAACATGGATCTCCAAAATAAACTACTCCCAATGCCTGCACTGTTAACCACCCATGAGAAGTGTCAGAGGTTTCTAGGAAACAGTTGGGGATTTCACAAGGGAGCCTTTGGCTGGTTAAATGATGGCTTTTTAAATGTGTTAGGTGTTTGTGTTTTTGTTGTAGTTATGTATTTTGTGTTTTACATTGTAGACCAACCTGTGATCTTTGGATGAGGAGAGTAATAATAATAATAATAATAATAATAATAATAATAATAGATTCAACATTCTGAACCTGAATTTATTCTAGCCTTGCTAAGTTAGACCACAAAAGTTAATAACTTCTAAATATTTTTCACTAGCCAGCATGCTCTTGGTCATTGGTAGCACATCAATAAACTGAAGGAAAGACACACACACACACACACACACACACACACACGTTTTTTATAAAAGCTTCATGTCTAGTCATCTAGAGGTGATCCTCATTTGCTCAAGGTGATCAAACAAGTTACTACTGTACTTATATATATATATCTCTTTCTGATACTATTTTTATTTTGATTTATCTACTCCATTTGTCATTGAAATGATGAAGTAATGATTTGGTCTTTTGCCAGCTTCATGGATACATGGACAACAAGCCCCTAGGTCTTCAGATCTTCATTGGGACAGCAGACGAGCGGATTCTTAAACCACATGCTTTCTACCAAGTCCATCGCATTACAGGGAAAACCGTCACCACCACCAGCTATGAGAAAATAATTGGCAACACCAAAGTGCTGGAGATTCCCCTGGAGCCAAAAAACAACATGAAAGCAACGTAAGAGTGCTATTATGAAAAGTGTCTTGTTACAAGATATTAATGGAACAAAACTGGAGACTTAATGTTAATGCAGAAGGCACCTGCATTTAGCTTGAACAAAAAAATACTCAAGGGCGAAAGACTTACAGTGACCCAGGCTTGATTCACAGTGTATGTGATCTGTTTGAAAAAGCTGCCTGGTTCCATCCCTTGCATCTCTGTTGAAAGGATCAGGTAGCAGATGACGAGGAAGACTTCTTTCTGGCCTGAGACTCTGGAGGTCTCCTGTCATTTAGAGTAGATGAACAAGTGGCAAGGTAGATGAACCATTGATCTCACCTGTTTATGAGGCAGCTTCCTTCTGAGCCTTTTCCAAAAGGGACAGACTTCTGCAGGATCATTGTGGGTGATGATACTGGGCCCTGGGAATGATTTAATACCTGTTGGAGGCAGAAATGCTTCTGAATACTATTTGCCTGAAACCATAGGAGGGGAGAGTGCTCTTCTGCTTGAATCCTGCTTTTGGATTTCCCACAGCCGTCTGGTTGGCCACTGTGAGAACAGGATGCTAAGCTACATGGGCCAGTAGCCTGCTCCACCAGGCTCTTCTTTCGTTGCTATGTTCATGTCTCAGTGCGCATTAGAATTTCAGTCCTACTCTAACGACTACACCACACTGATTCTTTAATTTTAAATGTATCTTTTAGAACATGGCACCATTGGGGCGATGTTTGGGGAGTCAAAAAGCCCTGTTCTCCCAGGCCTTTTAAATAAGTAGGTCGGGGCAGTCTGTTTTTAATCATGTTTTTTTTAAGTGCAGTGAGGTGGTGGTTGTTGTTGTTGTACTTAGGCAGTTCCTGATTTTATGTTTTATTTTCCAATGAAAAGTGACCTTTAACTCCATCGTTGTAATCAGTGAGGTAAAAACAAAATTCTGCGTGAACCATATCTTTCCCACCTTGCAAATGTGTTCAGGAATCATTGGGTTGTTAATTCTGTGGTTGCGTATTAACTAAGGTTTTGGCTTGTTCCGCAGCATTGACTGTGCAGGGATCCTCAAGCTGAGAAATGCAGACATTGAACTGCGGAAAGGGGAGACGGACATCGGCCGGAAGAACACCCGCGTGCGACTGGTCTTCCGTGTACACATCCCCGAATCCAGTGGCAGGATTGTTTCCTTGCAAGTGGCATCCAACCCCATTGAATGCTGTAAGTTGCATTTTCTCTTTAATTTCACTATTTTCTGATCAGCGGCGATATTTTCCATGCTGCAACCTCTCTGTATCCTGTGCGTCGATCCTTAATTAGCTGAAGAAAGCATGTCTCGAAACCTGTGCATAATTACCTGGGGGTAAGTCCCATTGAAATCAGGAGGACTCACAGTCAAATTACACATTATGTTAGCTATTCAGATATGCTGTTAAGTGCAAGGGTTTTCTTTATGTATATAAATGCTAGTGATTCTGGGATCTTAGCATGGTGGTGAAATGACTTAGCACCTCTACCCACTGTAGTCTTGAGGCAGTATTCAACTAAATAGTTGCACTAGCACATGAATTGACACTAGTAGAAGGGGGTTTGTAGTTTGGCCCTTACCACCACCTTCTGAGGAAATCTGTTCCACTGTTGCTCTTACTGTCACAAAGTTCTTCTTGATGTTTAGTTGGAATCTCGTTTCTTGTAACTTGAAGCCATTGGTTTGGGTCCTACCCTCTGGAGCAGGAGAAAACAAGCTTGCCCTTAAGATATTTGAAGATGGCTATCGTATCTCCTCTCAGTCTCCTCTTTTCCAGGCTAAATGTACCCAGCTCCCTCAACTGTTCCTCATAAGTCTTGGTTTCCAGACCCTTGATCATCTTGGTTGCCCTCCTGCACACGTTCCAACTTCTCAATAGCCTTCTTAAATTGTGGCACCTAGAACTGGACACCGTACTCCAAATGTGGTGTGACCAATGCAGAATTGAGTGGTCCTATTACTTCCCTTGACCTCGACACTATACTTCTGTTGATGCAATCTAGAACAGCATTAACTTTTTTTACTGCTGCACCACACTGTTGATTCACGTTAACCTTGTGGGTCCACTAAGATCTCTAGATTATTTTCACATGTCCTACTGTTTAGAATTAGACAGTGCAGCTTTAATACAAATTGATAACAGAAAGATGCTGCTAATCCCTTGACTCATTAGAGTACAATTGAAATTATGGAGGTACTTCCAGAACAGATAGAAATCTGAGATTTGGTACACAAGTTGCCAAAGATCTCCTGATTATCTGAAAAGTCTGAAAATGAGACAATTGTTATGACTCTCACTCTGAACACATCATATTCAGACTGTTTTTGGGCAGTACTCCAATAGACAGCAGGACAAGCAGCGCATGAGATCGACGAGAGGGGTGTGGGAGTTTCCCTTTTGCACTCTTCGATAAGCCCCACATTGGAGAAGAGGGGATTTCCACTGGATGTCTCAGTGACTGCCGAATGTGGGCTATACTCTCTCAGCAGATCTCCCATGGAGAAAATATTCTTGGCCCTCTAGCATATGTTCATCCCACCAGAGATCTCATTTCCAGCTATCATCCTTTCAGTGTAGGAGGTTTGCATCAGGAACGAAGGGTGCTCGGTGTCTTCACAGGATAGGACCTGTGGAAGGGCCTCCATTCTGGCACATCCAGAGATTCTTAGTCATTTTTGGAGGGCTTGCGCTTCCTTTGCTCATCCGGTGATGCTTTATTGTTAGTAACCTGAGCTTTCTCAGTGGTTTGGGGATTTCACAGAATCATAACGAACCATTTTCACTTCTTTTATTGTGTGACTCACAGTAGTGTACAAAACCATGCTGCAGCAATAAACTGCCTGAGAAAGTTTACTTAAAAGACCCACTCTGTGGCTTTTGATTGTAATGTAATCCTTCCCCTAAGGGAGAAGTGGGGAACCTGCAGCCTCTCAATGTAACTAGGCTGTAACTCTTATCGTTTTCCACCACTGGCCTTCTTGGCTAGGACTAATGAGAGCTGGAGTCCAGCAACATTTTATGGCCACAGGCTCCCCATCCCTGCCCTGAGACACATCTGCACTGGAGATGCTCCCTGTTTCAACATGTTGTTTAAGCTGCAATCTGAATCTCTAAAAAACATGTCCTTTTGAGAATCCCCAGTCCCATGGCAGGGCGAAATGTCTTTGCCCTGTGCACCCTTTGATGATTGCCAGGGTGCCTTCCTGGAAGGCGTTTTGGCGATCTCTGCCAGGAACACGGCAGGGCGAAGCATCTGCGGCATGTCTTTGCCCTGCCAGGTCCCTTTCACAAAGGTAAGGCGGCTGGTGGTGTGTGGAGAGATGGCAGGCCAAGTCAACCTGGCTGGGTTGGAGGGGTGTTGCACATGTGACGTCATGCACGCAAGATGCCCCCCGCCACCACCACTGGCGCAATTCGGCAGATGCTCTATCACTGAGATATACCATTTCTCTTAATGGCACCACTCACTTAGAAGAGGAAGCTCCAAGGCTTGTGAAAGAATAAAAATCTTTTTTGGGGGGGGAAACCCTAAGTGACTCGGACATTCCAAAGCAGCTTAATGGGGACTGTGCATGCTTAAGGGACACAAAATATTAATATTAATTGGAGAAAATTAAGAAAATTCAGGGCTGCATCCAACTAAGTCATACTCAGACTCATGGCTAACTTAACGTCATTTGTTTCAGTGGGTCTGTTCTGAGCATGGCTTCGTCCGATGCGACTACAGTGGTACCTCCGGTTGTGCACAGGATCCGTTCTGGAGCTCTGGGCGGATCCTGAGGGATTCGCAACCGGACGTGCCTGTTCTGCGCATGCACGTGGCACGGTAGAGCGCTTCTGCACATGCGTGTGCAGCAAAACCCGGAAAAATACTTCCGGGTTTGCCGCGTGTGTAATCTGAAGGATATGCAACCAGAGGTGTGCTTATCCAGAGGTACCACTGTATATGGGCAGAATTTGATATGGTGCTATATTGGATGTTTCCATCAGCGCAAGCGAGTCAGCTTGGCAGACAGAGCAAACCTCCCACCCATCTTGCCATGCACTGTTGTGGGGGTTCTCCTGACATCCTCCCCAAGCAAGTTTTAGGGAGCATGAGGGCACATGGAGGTAGAAGAGGGGAGAAAAGCCGTGTTGCAGAAGTAGAAGCCCTTTAAGGCAATAAACCAGCTGTTGTTGCTTTATTCTCTCCTGTAAACCTGTTCTCATTATAAATATTATTTTGGCAAAATTATATTTACTTCCGAAAAGGTGTCCATTTGAGTGATTTAGATGTTTCTCCAGTCTTCAGAAAGTTGGTTTATGCCAATGAATTTTGGTCAAGTATTTTGTTTCCTTTTAATTAGCTTCCTTGGAAGTTTCCTCTTTTTTTGTTTCTTTCCTCCTCTCCAACTCAGTTTCCCCATAAAATTAGATATTCCGCATTAACGATATGTGGCGCAGTTGTAAATTCAGTGGAAAGAAATAGTCAGTTTAAAGAATGTATTCATCTTGGCAGGCTTTCTATGGCTTTCTTGCTAGCGGATAGATTATCAACAGTAGGCTAGCGGCTAGTTTAAGCGTAGCAAAGAACCATACTTGTGACTCCCAGGAGATTAATCTGCCTGCCGTTTTCAGGCAGCATGCTATGAACACTCTGCATTTTCAGTAGCTTCTCCAGTGAACTCTGAAAAGCGTACCTCTCGCTTTAAAAAAATGCATTATTTTAATGTTACAGCTGCTCTAATAAAACCTTTGTTATGGCTACGCTCATAAAGACTTTGTATCTAGGAACCTATGCTGAAAACCAATGATGCAGATCGGTGGAATAAATGCAAATAGGCTTACATTTCACAAACACATTTTGTTTTCATGGTTCTTTCTGAACTCAGTCTTTAATCTCTTGTGATAGGGAGAGTTGTAAAGACTGGCATAGTGGCAGGAAGAGTAGTATAGTCTTAGTCCCATCAGGGAAAAAGGCAGGGTATGAATTAGTATAATATTAACAATGACAGTAACAATAGCAATAACAGTAACTAAGTAAGTAAGTAAATAATAAAATAACTGAATAATATTCTAGGAAAACTAAGTAATATTCTAGGAAAAGCTTCTTCAGGAACTTTGCTTTTACTATTAAAATGAATATTTCTAGCTTGTCTGGTACCAGTGGTGGCCAGAGTGAGGTGGAGTTTAGAAGAGGCATTTCCCAAAGATTCAGAAATAAAAGTAGATCTTGGTTAAGCCTTTCACTAGTCTTTCCAAAGCCATTTGCACACTGCCTTCTTCTAAAAATGCATCTTATTAGAACTAGAAACGATAATAGCTTTCATTTATGCATTTTAAATAGTTGGACAGTCATCTGGCTAACAGAAGATGCAAAGACCTTTGGGTCTCGTTGGGCTTCTTTCCCCCTTTGAGTTTAGAATGAGCAGGAAGTGGGAGGGATAAAAAAAAGTCTGACATGAACTACAAAGTTATTTTGGGTTTATTCTGGTGTGATTGCCTACACAGGAATCAAGGGTTGGGTACGGCACATAGTGAAATACAAGGCTGCATTTTGCTTGCTGGTCATCCTGTTTGAGGAGTTGCCGGGGTTCTGTCTCTTCCATTAATTGCTATCGCCAAGGAATTCAAGCAGAATAAAACTTAAAAACCCAAGGTGGCTCATGGTTAAAGCACAGTGGGTTTTAATCTCAAGAGATCACTTCCATGAAGGTTTAAGAGGAGGTACTTTATTGAGTCTGCTAAGACATTCTGATAGTTAAAATGCCTGCCATTAATCTCCTTCTTGGTAGGGTTGGTGTTCTGCAAGCATTATTCTTAAAAAATAATAATAATACCAGGTTTAGTGATCCCTTCTTATCTATCTTTACTGCTACTTACATGTCTTCCTCAGAAAGACTGAAGAGAGATATTGGTTTTAGATTTTTGTGATGTTACAGTTAGGGTGTCAGCAATATCTTCAGGAAGGGCACCCAAATTCTGCTTGGAATAAGTGAAGCAAATGCCTACCCATTTTATTATTTGCATAATTTATTACAGTTGCAATATTTGGGCTCTTGCAGAAACCAAAAGAAGGAAAGAAAGGTTTCCAGTTGGTGAGAAAGTGGTGTCCAGGTGGATTTTTCATAAAGCGGGCAAAATGTCTGAGAAAATGTCCGAATTTTCTTTTGGAGACTTTGTCCAAAAAGCTCAACAACTTTTTGAAATTTGGCAACCCTAGGATAGAGCAACTGCCCTTGGCAATATGGAATTCACAGCCACAAAATGTGGCAATGACTCACACAATCTCAGTCTAACCATACCTGTCACTGAACATGTTGCATAGGGTAAGGCTGGGATTAAAATAATAATAATAAAACCAAGCAAAGGGGGGGCATGATACAGACTGAGACTGCAGCTGTAGCCATCCCTAAATCCATGTATAATCTAAATCCTGGTAGATCACTGGTTAGTGTGTAATGCTAGGGACATCTTTCTTGACCTAAAGCAGCTTGCAATACAAGAACAAGACTATATATTGATGCATTATTACAATCAACAGTCTAACACCAGTTCATTTCAAAGCAAATAATAATGCTCCAAATATAAGAATTGATTTCAGTAGTGGTAACGTTGTAACATTTTAAATGTATTGAGATATATGTCATTAAAACGCAATACAAATTGATAGGTTTTATCAGTCATTGCAATACAGAAGCCAGAGTCGGATTGCCATAAAAATTTCCAGTCCACTGCAGTCAGGTATGAATAAATAATATCACCAGCAGCCAGTTTCTCTAAAGTGCCAAGAGCAGGAAATAGCAACCAGATTTTTTTGCAGCTGGCAGTGCAGTAGCTTAAATGGAAGCTCCGTGTGTCTGCTGCTTCTGAATGTCAGGAGTTGGAGGGGCGTGCGGCGGATGACAACCCCAGGAGGCTCTTCTTGCCTTCATGTTCTTGCCATTTCTTGGAAGCATCTGAGTAGCCACTGCTGAAAATAGGATGTTGAATGAGATGACCTTCGGTCTGATCCAATAGGGTTCTCATTCTCTTCTTAGTACACACCAGTTACAATTTCCAGTCCTTCACCAACTAATGTTGACAAACCCTCTCTTCACTTCTAGATGTGGGCTAGATGTTCCATTTACAAACTGGAGAGACTCTGCTTCCAGAAGCCAAATTCAATGCCAGATTCAATAGCTTTGTGGCACCCTACTTCCATGTTAAGAATTTCTCCTACTCCATCAAGCCTCAGGATCATTGAGAGCTGCTACTAGTAATAATATCCAGAAATGCAGCCTTCGTGATGGCTGCCCTTCCCTATTAGATTTTGCTACTACCAACTTTAGCAGCATCAGATGGGTATTGCCAGGGCTTTGGGCGTGCTATGAGAATGCAAAATGTGCAACATTGGATACGGAAACTACTTCCCTGAGAATCTAAATCTTTACCTGTTTGTTTTTAAAGCACATTTCTAATCTTTAAGGGTAAGGATGTGCTTTAAAGTATGTGGGCAATGCCTGATGAAATCTCAGAAACCAGAACGGTACCCATAAGGGTAGCCAGAGATAGGAATGTAAAGATCGGTCCATTTTGGCTATCTCAGTTTCTCATTTTTCCAATCTTAAATTCAGGTTTCTACTGGCATTTTTAATGCAAGTTTCTCCTAATAATACATTTTTGTCTGCAGTTTTGACTAATCTACTCTTTTTTGTAAGCACTTTCTCATAACATATTCATTGCTATACACATTTCCCTGTTATATATTCATTTTTGTAAACGTTGATTGGAGAACTGCATCGCAAAACGTAGATAAGTGTGACTTCTGAAAGTTGGTTGAGCTTTGGTTCTCATGTTGCTTTGGAAACAAGAAGCTCAATAAATGCAACCTTAAATGTGAACTGAATTGCATTTTTCCTCCATCCCTGCTTGAGACACATAGCTCTTTCCCTGTTTCTGTGAGAAGAATACAAAAGAGGAGGGATCGTGTAAATTTGTATAAATGTGCGCAGGCTGCATAAATGTATACTGTCTACTTGTTGCTTCAGTTATACCAAGCCCTGGGCTTTGCCATCACACTGAGCATGTGAACTTCCCTATGGCATTTCCTTGACACAGAGTCAAAAATATTGCTGGTGAACTTGGTCTTGAAGCAGCCTAGCAGGTTGACTGGCTTATGTGTCCTAGCCGTCCTGGTTCTCCCCACGTTAAGCCAAATTATTTTGCTTCCCTATTTTGGCCCCTTGCTCTTGCAATTCCGAGGCTCAGGAAACAAAACTCAGCAGAGATCCTGATAACCGCAGTTCCCTTTTTTGTTTCTCTTCCACTGCTGGCCATAATGTAATTTTTGGCACGAACGACCCGTAACATCTTGATTTGCAGGCGGTCAAATAAAATACAGAAAGAAAACCCCCCTCACGCCCCCAGTGCCATTAGCAGAGTTGACATGCTGTTTCAAGGCAAAAGTGAGTGTTTCGCCTAGCATTTGCTTTCCTGCATTATGTCAGTGGCTGTTGCTATTGAAAGTAAACACCCCAACGGGATAAGTCAACAGTGTTATGTTTATACAGAGCTCATAAACTACAGTAGCTGTTGGTCTGCTTTATGGAGTGCCAGCCCCTGAGGGGAAGAGAAGGAGCAGTGTGAAATTACTGCCTACATTTCACCTATCCTGGGCTTTAGAAACGGTGAATTTACTGGGGATTAATTTAATAGAGCATACAAAAGAAAACAAGCTTGGTCCGAATGATACCAAGGTATCTGTTTGTGTTACTCCCTTCCGTACACGAGAACGCCAAGGAGGCTAACGACAGACTCTCATTCCTTTTCATATCTTTCCGTCCGTCCAAATTTGGAATCTAAAAATACAGTTTAAAATAGAAGCTACAGGGTGGGTGGCCCTCATTTTTTTTCCAAACAAGACACATAAAACCAAATTTAAATGCACATCAACAACCAGAAGGCAATTTCCACAACACATTGTCAACAGATAAGATTTAACAAACACATAACACACACATACCCGCTCCAACAACCGCAGTTAGACACTCCCTGTGATAGCAGATTAAGACATAATGCTTACAGGTAACAGTGGCAACAAAATGGACAAGTTCCTCCTGCATTCATGGAGCTTCCAGCTACTTTGGGCTGGTACTCATGGTAGTTTAAAGTGGATTTTATGCATCTGATGGGTAAATGTTCTTTGCGACATCTACACATTGTCCTAATCCAAGTGGCAGTCCGCATTTCCTCTCATTTAACTAATATTTTCCTTCCAGTAGCACCTTAGAGACCAACTAAGTTTGCTATTGGTATGAGCTTTCGTGTGCATACACACTTCTTCAGATACAATAACAAACTTAGTTGTTCTCTAAGGTGCTACTGGAAGGAATTTTTTTTTAATTTTGTTTCGACTACGGCAGACCAACACGGCTACCTACCTGTAACTAATATTTTCCTGATCCACTGATACTGGAGTAAGGGAGGGGGTGGAATCATAAAATCTCAAATTACCGGAATGGATGTTCTGTTGTGTGACTCGACTTTCTTTTTAAACAGGGAAACAGATGCCTGTGCACACGCCCACAATAGAGCTCATGTTTCTGTAACTCAGAAGGTAGAGAACTAGTAGGGTTGCCATACGTCTGGGATTCGTCGGTCGAAAATAATGTCCAGGCGGAATTTCCAAAATTCAGTAAAAATGTCCGGGGAAACCCGGGCGTATGGCAACCCAAGTCGGAAGTGTTGGTTTTTTTGCCGATTTCCCTCAACAATAGCTCAAAAACTTCATTTAAAAAAAGAGATTTTGAGAGATAAAAAACTCATCAAATTTGCTAAAAAAAACCTCAACAACTTTTTGAAATTTGGCAACCCTAGAACTAGTAACTGAGGGAAAGGAACATAGCACAAATACATGTGGTGTAGTGGTTAAGAGCGGTAGTCTCGTAATTTGGGGAGCCGGGTTCGCGTCTCCGCTCCTCCACATGCAGCTGCTGAGTGACCTTAGGCCAGTCACACTTCTTTGAAGTCTCTCAGCCCCACTCACCTCACAGAGTGTTTTGTTGTGGGGGAGGAAGGGAAAGGAGAATGTTAGCCACTTTGAGACTCCTGAAGGGGAGTGAAAGGCGGGATATCAAATCCAATTTTTATTTTATTTTTATTTTTATTGTCCACCATTCTGGATGGGAAGCACTGAGATAGAGTTCAATTGAAAGTGCTTATGTGTGGATGAATGAGTACAAAGGCACACATGGAAAAATCAGATTTGTGCGAGCCACGTGCACAGTAACACTCTGGTGTGTACACAGCCTCAGGATTTGTGGCCTTCAGGAAGTAAAGGATTTTGTTCACAATCTGTTGCACTTTCCCACACAAGGTTTTTAAGCAGAATTTCCAGACAGGAATTCCCAACACTGGAAAGGTAGTGGAAGAGTGTTCCCTTCTTATGGGTAGGGACACATGTGACTCATGAAGTAGCTCTCTTTGTGTTGGCAGTGCAAAAGAGTAGAAATAAATTGGTTGCACATAATGTGGTTAGGTATTACAGCTCATCACCTTTCATTATATTTTTTCATTTGCTTGTTTTACACACTGTAAACATTTATAGCTGGTTTTATGCTTTCGTTTGTAGATTATACATTGTTTGCAGTATTGCAAGGCTGAGATTTATTCCCTTGTTTGACAATGAATGATGGGCCCAAACAAATAAATGAGACTGGCTGACTAATTGGCTTTAGGGGAGAGTGCAGAAACCCAGCCCTTGGTATTCTGTATTCTCATTTTGTATTTTTCTGTTGTGATCTGCCCTGGGATCTTTGGATAAAGGACAGCATACACATTTAATTTAATAATGATGATGATAATAATACAAGAAGTGAGAACAGCACCTTAGACCAGGCATAGGCAAACTCGGCCCTCCAGATGTTTTGGGACTACAACTCCTATCATCCCTATCTATCAGGACCAGTGGTCAGGGATGATGGGAGTTGTAGTCTCAAAACTTCTGGAGGGCCGAGTTTCCCTATGCCTTCCTTGGACTAAGGCAGTTTAGAAATGCCCACAATGTTGTTTGTCCCTTTTTTACTAGATATTTTAAAAAACAAATGTGTTTCTATTTTGAAGATTTCAGAGAAGTTGAATAAATCATTTGCCTTGGTTGGACCTCTTAAGTTTATCTTATATTCTCAAAGAGGCTGTGACTCAGTGGTAGAGATGTACTTTGCCTAGAAAAGACCCCAGGTCCAGTCTCTTGCATCTCATGCTCAAAGAGGTTTCAGGTAGAACCACCTCTAATTTAATCCATCAGGGATGTTGCTGGTCAACATAGTCAATACTGGGCCAGTCAACCAATAGTCTGACTTGGTCAGTGGAGGCAATCTCAGATTAGGCTGTAATATTGAAGAAGTAATAATATTTACTTCATGGTAAACAATGATATGTTGTGCCATAAGGCATATTCACTTAGTCACCTGCTTTTTGTTGTAGCTCGCAGGCTCCGCACATATTTTAATTTATTAAGCATATGTTTATATGCTGCTATTGATCATATTTTTGTATGTTGCTGTTCTTGGAATGATCTATTTGGCATACTTTTGGAATATATGTGTTTCCTATACAGTGGTAATTCAGAATACAGACGCTTCAGGTTACAGACGCTTCAGGTTACAAACTCCGCTAACCCAGAAATAGTACCTCAGGTTAAGAACTTTGCTTCAGGATGAGAACAGAAATCGTTCTCCGGCGGCGCAGCAGCAGCAGCTGGAGGCCCCATTAGCTAAAGTGGTGCTTCAGGTAAAGAACAGTTTCAGGTTAAGAATGGACCTCCGGAACTAATTAAGTTCTTAACCCGAGGTACCACTGTAATGCCATTCTTCATAAGACACTAAAATACTTAACATTAATAAAACTATAATGCAAAAATCATAATAATACAAAGGAATACCTGAATAAGGGTGCAGTCCTTTGTGTGTCTACTAAGAAGCAAGTCTCAGTGAGTTCAATGGAAGCTTACTCTCAGATAAGTGTGTGTTGGATTGCAGCCTAAAATATTCAAACTTTTGGTTGTGGTCCTCCATTTTGGAACTCTCTCTGCATAAGGTGGCCCACAACTGCCCATGCTGCTATCTTTTCTGCATAAAAGGAACTCTTTAGAACCCCAGGCAGATTTTGTTTGAGTACCTGGGTGTCAAGCCATTTAGGGCTTTACAGATAAAGGTAAAGGGACCCCTGACCATTAGGTCCAGTCATGGCCAACTCTGGGGTTGCGGCGCTCATCTCGCTTTATTGGCCGAGGGAGCCGGCGTACAGCTTCCGGGTCATGTGGCCAGCATGACTAAGCTGCTTCTGGCAAACCAGAGCAGCGCACGGAAAAGCCGTTTACTTTCCCGCTGGAGCGGTACCTATTTATCTACTTGCACTTTGACGTGCTTTCGAACTGCTAGGTTGTCAGGAGCAGGGACCAAACAATGGGAGCTCACCCCATCACGGGGATTCGCACCTCCAACTTTCTGATCGGCAAGCCCTAGGCTCTGTGGTTTAAACCACAGCACCACCTGCATCCCTTCACAGATAAATACCAGCACCTTAAATTAAGGGAATCAAGGGAAGTAATAGTGCCACTGTATTCTGCTCTGGTCAGACCTCACCTGGAGTACTGTGTCCAGTTCTGGGCACCACAGTTCAAGAAGGACACTGACAAACTGGAACGTGTCCAGAGGAGGGCAACCAAAATGGTCAAAGGCCTGGAAACGAGGCCTTATGAGGAACGGCTAAGGGAGCTGGGCATGTTTAGCCTGGAGAAGAGGAGGTTAAGGGGTGATATGATAGCCATGTTCAAATATATAAAAGGATGTCACATAGAGGAGGGAGAAAGGTTGTTTTCTGCTGCCCCAGAGAAGCGGTCACGGAGCAATGGATCCAAACTACAAGAAAGAAGATTCCACCTAAACATTAGGAAGAACTTCCTGACAGTAAGAGCTGTTCGACAGTGGAATTTGCTGCCAAGGAGTGTGGTGGAGTCTCCTTCTTTGGAGGTCTTTAAGCAGAGGCTTGACAACCATATGTCAGGAGTGCTCTGATGGTGTTTCCTGCTTGGCAGGGGGTTGGACTCGATGGCCCTTGTGGTCTCTTCCAACTCTATGATTCTATGATTCTATGATTCTATGAAGCCTGGTAGCAGAGAGCTGTGGAGCTCTTTCAAAGGTGGGGTGATTCATTATTAACTAGCTGTCTTCAAGGGCAGTTCCACATACAGTTCTCAAAAGTAATCCTTTCCGAAAGTACCGTTTGACTTCTGAAACGTTCAAAAACCAAGGCGCGACTTCCGATTGGCTGCAGGAGCTTCCTGCACTCAAGCGGAAGCCGTGTTGGATGTTCACTTCTGAAAAATGTTAAAAAACCGGAACACTTACTTCTGGGTTTTTGGTGTTCAGGAGCCAATTTGTTCGTCAACTAAGCCGTTCGAGAACCAAGGTACCACCGTATAATGTATTGCAGTATTCTGGATGGGAGGTCACTACTTCATGATAGCTGTGGTCCCCATCCAAGAGAGATTGTAACTGACATACTAGCCCAAGGTGAAAATACTTGGCTCTCTAGGGACAAAGCTGAATCCAGGAATATTCCCAGGTGCAAAGCTGATCCTTCAGGGAAGCGCAATTCCATCCAAAATAGGTTGAACACCATCTCCTTGAATGGAAGGAATTCTGGATAAACTGTAAGCTGGAATCTGGGAACTATTCTATTAGCTAAACTGAAGGCTTTGTAGCAGAATGTATATATTCAAAGCACATTTGTCAAGCTACATTGAAACTCCCTTTGGAAATGTCCACTCTCAGGACCAATACAGCTGAAATGCTCTCAAAGACAACCTTTAAGCTTGTTTTCTTTTGAATGCTGTAGTTGGGTTTATTTATTTATTGCTAGATATCATTTACTCTTGAGTTTTCAGAACCATAAATCTCCTGTTAGTGGTAAATCCAATTATGAACTCATCAGGATCTCGACTGTTTACAAAGAGTGATTAATCATATAAGCCATGTGGAAGAAATAAGCAACTTCTGTGAAAGTAATCTCAATGTATGCTCTTAACTGGCAGCCTTGTGAGCCAGCTGGGTGAATAATAAACTGTGAGCTCCTCGATTTTTAATTTATTTTATTTAAAAAAACACACCTAAAATTGCATGAATGATTAATTGTGATAAGTGCAGAACTCTGCTTTGAAAAGTACTGTTAGAAGTAATTTTTTAATGATCCAGTGAATGGCTCTTAGAAATCCACAACCCACTGAGAATTAATAGACATTCTGCTAGTTTTCTGAAAGTCAGTTTACAGGGGAGCAGAGCTCCATAATTTTTTTTTTCAGATCAGAAGCAATGACATAATTGGCCAGATCTTCGGGGTAACTGATGGACGCATAGTCTCTGGCAAGCGACAGAGGCAATAACAAGGCTTTCAAGTTTCTTTGTGACAGTTTAGCACAGAGGAAGTCGGAGAATGAGAAAAATAATCAAGCAGAGGCCGCATACTTCTTTCCTTTCCTTTGATAGAGTTTCTACTTCATGCCAGCCATTTGTTATGCTTTGTATTGCTGCTGTTTGTTCTCTATGTGAATCTAATCTATAGAGGGGATGGATATTTTATATTGAAATTGTATGTTGTGAACCTCCCTGTGATCTACAGACAAAGGACAGTACAGTGGTACCTCGGGTTACATACGCTTCAGGTTACATATGCTTCAGGTTACAGACTCCACTAACCCAGAAAAAGTGCTTCAGGTTAAGAACTTTGCTTCAGGATGAGAACAGAAATCGTGCTCCAGCTGTGCGGCGGCAGCAGCAGGCCCCATTAGCTAAAGTGGTGCTTCAGGTTAAGAACAGTTTCAGGTTAAGAACGGATTTCCAGAATGAATTAAGTACTTAACCTGAGGTACCACTGTATACATCATCACCGTCATAATAGCTGCCAGTATTTTTGGTCTCTCCTTGGGGCTGCCATGATGAACCTCCACTCTTCAAAGTTCACCTCTAGATTATTGTTGGCAGAATTTTATCTCTTAAGGTCTAATCTTTGGAAGGCTTCTTTGTGTTCAAGCTTATAGAATTGCAGCAAGATTGTTTCAGCAGACACAGATGAGTAGGGTAGCTCAGTGGTTGTACAGGTGCCTTGCATGAGGAAGGCTTGATCCCTGGTTTTCCCTGTTAAAAATATCTCAGGCAGCTGGGTTGGAGGACCTCTGCCTGCGATCTTTGGAAAGGTGGTGCCGTTCAGAGGAAGCCATGGTCTAGACCAGGAGTAGGGAACCTGTGCCCTTCAAGATGTTGTTGAACTCCAAATCCCATCAGCCCTATCCAGAATGGTCAGGAATGATGGGACTTCTTCTCCAGCAATGTTCAGAGGGCCACCAGTTCCCCTCCCCATCTGTAGGTGGACCAGTCGTATCAGCTTCCAAACAGAATATGCACCATTGTCACATTAATTTGGGGGTCAACCCTCAAAGTGTATAGCCTATTGTAGTTTTTTTCATTAGCCACTGAAAGTAGCTTGAAACCCATCAACTCCACCGCTCTGCGTACAGCCTAGTCTTCATTTCCTGCGTATGGTTTGGCTTGCTTGCTGCTGCTTCTTCTTTTAAAAAAAGCTCTTTATGAAAAGGTAGGCCATATGACTTGTTAACCGCAAAGGCAAGCCACATTTTTTACACACCACTATGAATCTGTGAAATGTGGACTGAGTGTTGGTGTGCCCAGTGGGAAGACTCCTCATGCCAAAGGTAGCCAGATGTGTTGGACTCCATCTCCCATGAGTCCCAGCCAACACATGGCCAGTGGTCAGGGATGACGGGAGTGGAACCCATAACAGCTGGATGGCATCATGTTGGCTACAGGAGAGGCCATGCACAGATAATTGTTTGATACAAGCAGGAGGAAATAAAAGATCCACCCACAAGCAGAGAGACTGTGTGAATTGGCTGTCAGGTAAAGGTTAATCACCCTTCAGAATAAATCTTTTCTCTCCACCCCCCACCTCCGCCCACCCCCAAAAGCACAAGCAGTTAGGATGAAGAGATGTTAAACTGCAGAACAAAACCCTCCAGAGGCCTTCAGTGTAGGATGGGACAGATGTGGAGGAGTTTGAATTCAGGTCCTGAACTCCTGGGTCACTTAGTTGCCCTAGAGATGCATCTGGACCAGTCAAAGACGGGAGTACTTGATCCTTCCCAGCTGTTGCAGTTGTGGAGGAGATTTCTCAGATGGCAGCTCTCTTGCATTATTCTGCTTCTGATGACAAGGGAACTTGGTTATGTGGACGGATGCTGTGTGCTTCTACTGAGTCTTGTGCATTGATTTAACACATTCTTATGAAACTGTGGTTCCCAGTGCTGAGCTTGGTGTCCCCAAGAAAGCAGGGCAGTTGCTAAGGGAACAATATGTGCCTCCCCACCACCCCTCCAACTCTATACTGAATCGGGAGGTAGGATGAGGAGAAGGTTGGAGGTCTTCTTGTGTTTTTTTGTGGTGTGTACTTTTGTGTTTTGGTATTGTAAATGGCCCTGTGATCTTCGCATGAAGGGAGGCACAGAAAATAACAACAACAACAACAATAATAACAACAACAATAATAACAATAATAACAATGTGAAATTCTTAATTACTGAGGGGTGAGAATAAGACGGGAATGTAATTTTGAAGGTCATGGTTCTCATGGGTATACCTAATAATTTGGATTGTTGTGTGCAGATGTGTTTTGCTTCCAAAATGATTGGCATGGCACCACCATGGTTCCAGTATTAGAGGGAATGGTGCATATGCATACACACACACACACACACACACACACACACACACACGTGTACATAAGCTGGAGGACAAAGTAATGAGCAGTGGACACTTTCCTGCTGCCTAGATGGCTCCAAGGCCTTCATATTTCAGCTTGGAACGAGTTACGCTTCAGTTCTTTTTAAAGGAATTCAGGGCTATCCACTGGAATCCAATCTGCAGGTGGTATATTGAAAGTTCCAGGGTTGTAGAGTACTTGCACTTGAATATTTGGCCATTGACTTGGAAATAGACATGGGCTGACTCCAGCTCATTCAGCCGAGTTCTCCTTTGTCAGGGACAAGGAGTAAGGCCAGTGCAGCTGAGGCACTGGAGCCAGCTCCTGATTATTTCCATATAAAAATGCTTTGAGTATAAATTTATTTTTCCTCCTCTCTTTTTTCTTGTCAGCCCTAAATTTAGACTCGTGGAGAAGTTCCTTTGGCAGGGAGGGGATGGCAACCGTGACAAAATAGACCTTGTTGGTAGTTTTGAAAGTTCCTAGCAAAAAAGAAAGAAAAGAAAGAACTGGTTTCATTCATGTCTCTGTTTTGTCCACAGCCCAACGCTCTGCTCATGAACTTCCGATGGTCGAGACTCAAGATGTTGACAGTTGCTTAGTATATGGTGGACAACAGATGATCCTGACGGGCCAGAATTTTACTGCAGAATCTAAGGTTATATTCACAGAGAAGACACCAGGTATGCTGTTCGTTGTATTATTTTTCTAATTAGGCTGGTCAAGGAGAACCATGTCTTATAGGATTGGGTCCTACAAACGGTCATTCAAACAGGGCCAGCATAACCAGAAATGAATTACCTTATTGGAACACAGCAACGCTTTGATTTCTGACCTGAATCATACCTGACCTCAAAAAACAAAACAAAAATCTTGAGCGTGGACTCATTGTTTTCCCTAGCCAAACATCACACAGGTTCAAACAATGGTGATGACTAATAAGAATACAGCACATTTCACTCACATGCAATTATAAAGCAGTTAAGGCTGACCCTTAAAGCTCTGACTCATTTTGGAGCTAGTTAGTAATAGCTGCCACCCGCTTTGCAATCTCTCAGGGACCGGCTTCCCCTTCAGAGACGTGCCACAAGCACCTCATGCAATTGGTGCTTTTAACCTTCTTTTGTCATTATTGTTTGAAGCAGCAGCCAGCCATCCCCGGTTGGCTACATTGTAAGCTGGTTCTGAAACTTGCAAGAAGAAGCCTCCAGGGCTGCACAGGAGCTGCTATTTGGTGGTGGTGGTGGGAGTTGAAAGCCTCATTGTGCCTGTGTTGGCCAGTGTGCATGCACAGAAGTGCACACATAATGGAGGCTGCTGGCTTTCTTGCCTGAATTAGGAGGTCCCTTATAGTGTTTGCTTAAGGTGGCTTTGCAAAGGTCCACAAAGTCTGTTAGCCCACAGTAAAGTAGCCTGCCTGCCCATGCATACTCATCTTAGCCATTTGTGGAATACTGAGGGTCAGGGAGGGAGAAGTGAGGAAGAACCAGCTCTCATCTGCTTCCCTCTATTTGGTGCCTTGGAGTTGATTTTTACTCACCACAAGTGACCAGCAGTTTGCAAACATGAATTAATTGAGCTACAAGGCGGAGCTAAGCCTAAGCCTTGCCCCTCAATATGCCGCAATGCCCTGGTCCTTTATGGAACACCACACTATTAAAGCATTACAGAAAGTTCAGTTCGGTTCAGTTTATTGTGTTTTAGCAAACAGCCATTACACACATAGAAATAAGAAGAACCACAATTGCTACTAATTGTGGTTTACATTTCTACTCCCTGACCTTTAGAGGATAAATCATTTCCTATACCCCCTTTAAGTTTCGTTACATGAATTTGTAGAATTTCTTAGCAAGAAATTTGGATGTTCTAAAGGATATATACGTCTCTGCATCAGACAACAGAAAGCAGGGCTATGCAGGAGATAGCCTTCCCTTCTGCGATCTTAACAGTGGGTGGATGTAGTTGTTTCTAAGATAAAGAGGGCATTCAAGGAGTACATGAGTTGTGACTTCTATTGACATAGAATTGCAGCCACAAACTCTGTTCTCCTTAGAATCTCCTTTATGTCAGCCCATCCAATCTTCTCATGGAAGGAGGTTTAGTCTTGCCGGCGTATAGGCTACCCTCCTTTTAACATCAACCAGATAGCTTGGCAGGGATTAATAGAGTGGTACCTCGGGTTACATACGCTTCAGGTTACAGACTCTGCTAACCCAGAAATAGTACCTCGGGTTAAGAACTTTGCTTCAGGATGAGAACAGAAATCGTGCTCCAGCAGCGCAGCGGCAGCAGGAGGCCCCATTAGCTAAAGTGGTGCTTCAGGTTAAGAACAGTTTCAGGTTAAGAACAGACCTCCGGAACGAATTAAGTACTTAACCCAAGGTACCACTGTACAGTGAAATGAAGGAAGCATACAATTTATTAGATTGACAAGTCTTGATCTCAGCAGTCGATGATTGCCTCTTGGTATCTCTCAGCCTTTGGAGTGTTAGTTCTTTAGCTCTCTCAAAATCCTGCATCACAGAAGCAGAAAGATGTGCTGCTGCTGCTGCTGCTGCTGCAGAAGCAATATACTACAGGCATCGACCATTTCACACGGGGGGTTCCATGCCTAGCCCCCATGTGCATCAGCGGAACGTGTTCCATTCCATTCCATCTCCATTCCTCCCTCTTTTGGGTCCAAAAGGACCTGCATGTCAGCATCCACACATCAATTGGATGCACCCATAATGATCGCCTCCTGTACTCAACACCAGCTTTTGGAGAGCAACAGCAGGATATGGCAGTTGCCTTCAAGCCCTTCTTGTGTGCTTCCTGAAGGCTTCTGACTGATGATCTAGCAGGGCTCTTCTTATGCTCTTAGGGATGCCTTCTCAAGTGGTGTCCTTCACATCATCCAGAGTGACCATCCCTAAGAAGCAGCCATTCCTTTAGGCACTTCTGTATCTTTGTGTTCAGGAAAGAATGTGTCATGCTCTAAGATGACCTACCCACCACCCTTCTCCTTCGCCAGACTAGATGCATAATATGAGGTGTGTCTTGTTTGCAAACCCTGGCGGCAGAAGGATGTCCTTTATACTTGGAAGCACCATTTTCAAACGTCTTACAATTGGAGGTCCTGCACAGGTGGAGCACTTAATGCTAGTTCATTCAAATATAGGCAGATTTAGAGCTGTCCATGGCAACTTTTCTTAACAGCGCAGTTTGACTTAGCTTGCATGTTTCCTACCAGAATGCTGATGAGCAGCTCTGAGGGCAAGCAAAGCCACAATAAACCCACTGTGAGTGGATTGTGCATCCTCCTTCTCGGTGACACTGTCACTGCTAATTTCCTCTTTCAGATGGCTGAGGCTAAGAAAAGGCCCACATTTTTATGAAAGAAAGAAGAAAGTATGCCAGCACTTGGAGGGGAAAGCATGCTTGCTTATCTCTCCATTTCACTTTGATGACTCATGGGGACATGTACACCCTAGCTGTACTTTCACTCATCACAAGACCAGACCAGCCACACTGCTTAGTTAACACTAAGCAAAAAGGGAAAAAGCAGTGATTATGATGTGGGCAGTGGTCTTATATACTGCATCCCCCTCTGGGGGATGCTGCATATTTTTGAACGAAGTACATTGCATGCCTTGCAGCCTCCCTCCCCAAGGGTCAGGCCACTATTACCAGAGCTAGGCTGCACAATTTACCCTTGATTGTGAATTCAAGTTATATCCCCTTATAGGATTGTATGTTAATTTATGTGGGAGGAAGTAAAGAGGTGCATGTGGGAATACTGCAGGTGTGAGGATCAATGCCTGCTGCTTCCCTCTGGTGACCCAGAATATTATTGAGAATAAACAGGGCTGGCATTGGTATTCAGCATCGCCAGGCATCTGGGCAGGGCCCCAGCAGCCCAGCAAGAGCTGTGGTGGCAGCTGGATCTTGGAACTCCCCATGCTCATTTATTCTCAGTGACCTCATTGCTCTAGGGAAGTGGCAGCCCACAAAGACCTGGAATGGTGTTGCATCAGAGGCATGATGGGCAGTGCAGGATTTACGTATAAGCTAAACAAGCTATAGCTTAGGGCCCCACTCTCTTGGGAGCCCCCCAAAAAATTAAAGGAAAAAAACCTGGATGTACATTTCCAAAGTAAAAAACAAATAAAATAAAACCTACATACAGCAACCGTGTTTGGTGTTGTGTAGGCTCCTATTTGTTATGTGCAAATGGCTTTAGATACCTATTAGGTCCATAAATTACCATATATATTCAACACACAAAAAACCAGTGAAAATTTGTTGTTGACAAAGGACAGCTGGACATATAAAGGGCCCCATTACTTTCAGTAGCTTAGGGCCTCATCAAACCTAAATCCAGCCCTGATGTTGGACAGTCACAATGGTAGGCAGTTTGCAGCTACAAAAGTACCTCGGTTTTTGAACGTCTCTGTTGACGAACATTTGGGTTTTTGAACACCGTAAACCTGGAAGTAAATGCTTCAGTTTTCAAACATGCCTTGGAAGTTGAACATGCCACACGGCTTCTGCTGAGTGCAAGATCCCGAGGCCTAGCTGTCAGCTATTGAGTTTTCTGGTTTTCAAAAGTTTCAGAACTCGAACGGTCTTCCGGAACGGATTATGTTCAAAAACAGAGGTACCACTGTGCTTGGCACATCTCACAGCACTGATCCTCTATTGCAAGCAGGTTGGCCAACCGAAAGGCCCACCAGTGTAGACACAGCAGAGAACACTGTGCTGGCATGGGTCTCAAACCTGGAGCCAGCCTTGAGAACTGAGTCTTCTCCTATCTGCACAGCTCTATCCTGGGTTTTGTTTCTTGGACTCGCAGGAAAGTGACAGAACGTTGCCAACAGGCTTCTATGTAAGTGGATAGCTTAGTTATGGAAAAGTCATATGGGTAGTGGAAATCTCAAATGAATTCAATCTTCATTCCACACCACACAGATGTTGAGAGTTGATGCAGTGCCCCAGCTAAGAGGGTGAGCTTTGCAAGTCCATAGTCAGAATCTCAGCTCAGCCTTAAATTTACTGGGTGACCACAGGCAGTCCATTATCGTTCAACATCAACCCTCTTCCTTGTCCTCTGTAATGGGGGATAATATTGTCTGTCTGTCTTATAGGGTGCTTGTAAGGGTTATGAAGTGGATGCATGTGCAGTGTTTGGAACATGGGATGGAGAGTTTTTCCTAATCTCCTTGCCTCTCCCTCTCTACACCCTATGCTCAAATCTATCATTGAGGTCATTGCTTCAAGCAAAGCTTAAGTCCTGGCCAAGACTGAAGTTCCAAACTCAGCCCCTGTTCCCTCATACCAGACACAGCCCCCAAGCCCTGAAAAAGGAGGGGGCAAGAAGCAGTGAATGCCTTTGAAGGCGCAGATATGTGTCCATAAGTCTTCAGTATATGGAACCTCTGGCAGTTTCTCTTAGGCCACTTCTAAATTTAATCAGAAAAAGTATCATTTCTAAGTTCCAAATGCCTGCTGGAGCAGAGAGAGAGAGAGAAAAAAAGTTAGGTTATCCTTCCACATCATAGGGATCTCAAACCTGAAAGTGCTGTAGGTTCTCAGTTTGCCATATATCAATCTTGCGCCTTGAAAATAACTGACCCTTGCTGTGTTGATTTGACCACACTACATATTAATGAGATCAGCAAGCAGCTTATAAAAAGACACAGTCATTCTAAGCCTGGCACAGGAAATGATGGAAGGAAGCTCTGGGGAACTGGGAGTTTGCAAGTTTGAGAGCTAGCAGCAACTGAATAAAGCAATTGTTTTCGGGAGACCTGTGTGTGCACTGCACATGTAGCATGTTTATTTATGCCCATCTGCGAATGAGGCATAGTGTGTTGAGTTGCACATTGCGCACTTAAACGAACGTTGCAATGATTTAGCTGCTTACCCGCTCCTCCAGGTGGGTGGATAGGAGTAACAATTGCTTCTGGGGAAGTGTAACCCTTTTGGCCATGTCTGGATTCCTAAGTTACTGCATCAGCTCTCAAATACCGTGTGCTGTGGAGTCATTTGGCATTTTCGCTAACCGGTGATTCTTTAGTTAACTACTGTGTCTATTTATATAGAAGCCACTTTCCATTGTTCAGTCACACTCCTGCTTGACCAAGAAAGAAAACCCAGGATAGGCCTGTATAATAAATAGAATAGCCCTGAATGACTGGGGATAAGTATGGCTTTCACACCAACGGCACCCCCTGGTGCACTCAAATATGTGAATGCTGGCCATTCACTTTTCTATGGAAGAGTAGAGAGCTGCATTTAAAGAGACTGGCCTCTATGCCTGTCCTCTTTCCATGTGAACAAGCTGCATGACCCTCAGTGTGGTACAAGGTTCTGTTCTGAATGCACACACACACACACACAGAGAGAGAGAGAGAGAGAGAGAGAGAGAGAGAGAGAGATGTGCAGGAACAGTACCTGCCACAATGAGTGGCCTGGCAAGCTGCAATGTAGTCATAGAATCATAGAATTGCAGAGTTTGAAGGAATTCAGAAAGTAAAGAACTGTGGATTCTTCATTCGTCTGCTATAGCCAGTGTGGTGTAGTGGTTAAGAGCGGTAGACTCGTAATCTGGGGAACTGGGTTCGATTCCCCACTCCTCCACATGCAGCTGCTGGGTGACCCTGGGCTAGTCACACTTCTCTGAAGTCTCTCAGCCTCACTCACCTCACAGAGTGTTTGTTGTGGGGGAGGAAGGGGAGGAAGGGAAAGGAGAATGTTAGCCGCTTTGAGACTCCTTCGAGTAGTGATAAAGTGGGATATTAAATCCAAACTCTTCTTCTTCTATATATATAAACAATATCCACTTAGTCCAATCCAATATAATAACACGCAACAAAGTCACTTTCTGTGAACAAACATTACCTTCAAACCTCAATTCCAAATATCATTATTTCTTTTTCAGGCAGGGCTCTTCTTGGGTTCTTACAACAGCTTTCCTTAACTAATATTTTCATATCTGCCCTATTCTTTTGACTCTTTAATTGGTTTTAACAGAGTTTGACTTTGTATTTATCAACTGTTGTGACCCGCTTTGAGATCTCATTGTGGAGGGTGCGTAATTATTTCAATAATAATAATTGATCATTATGCACAATCTTCACTCATCTCTGTCGACAACATGGACTGATGCAGGGTTTAATGAAATGCTCTGCATGTTCTGGACTACAGGGATTAGAAGTGCTAAAACATCATTTCTGGTCCCTATATTTATGGCTGTCTGGATCTGCTCCCAGATCCACTATATTCCAGGGCATGGCAGAACGATGGAGCTCTGGTATGTGGGGGCGAGGAGAATAATAAGGCAATGGAGGAACATGTAGACTCCCTTTCCAAGGCCAGACATATAATGCTATCATCACCGTGGATAGATATGCAAAGCCGTGACACTAGGCAGCATGAGATTTATTTATTTTTTACCTTTTTGTTGTGGCCTCTAGTGTACTTGGCAGCAAGGAAAAGCTTTCCTGTAATGCAGCCAGCAAGTGTCAGAAGGAGAACGGGGGAATCCCAGAAAAATATTGCAAAACTTTGGGGGAGGGGGGTCTTATTATGAAGACAAACATATTTTTTTAAAAAAAGAGTGGCCGTGGAAACTGTGTTGCCATAGCTGAAAGAGAATCACTGAGACAGGGTGGAATCCAGTGTTTTGGAAGGTCTCCCCGCATGACACATGGTTTTGGAATTTTGCAGCTGGTAAGCAAGCCCTCATTAACAAAGGCAGCTACTACTGGCCTAGATTCCCTGGCTAGCTTTCCACTATGGGGGCGCCTAGAAACAAGCCTGTCTGTGATTACCCAGCTTTGCAACGTGTTTGTTTAAAGACAATGATTGCTTTTTAATTCATTTGTCTTGGAACGGACAAAAGGCAGAGGCAGGGAGAGGGACCATCTTCTATCACCTGTTGAAAGCTAATTGATCACATTAAAAAACCTGGCACAAGGATTGGAATTCCCTCTTCTCCCACTTAGTCATCCCATCCTGGTGTGACTCATTTTATTACATGGAGGTTCCCAGTGGTTTTATTTTGAGTGGAGCTTTTGTTTCGTGAAGTGTTGGTGCGTTTTATTCTTTAGATTTCCATCTATTTCCATGAATTGGCAAAAAGACATTAGTCAAAAGCAATGCTGGAACTGCATTGGCCCCTGCTGTTTCACTACTCAGCTACTGTTGTTATGTTTCGTGGTGGCTTTAGCTGAATTTTTCAAACAAACGGCTGAGGGAGGAAGCCCCTTTAAACTTGTTCTCTTGGTGCAAAATGTCAGTTTTGGGGCTGGGCTACAACTTGGATGACTAACGCCCCTGGCCCTTTCCCAACCATATCTTGACATACATCTTTGGCCTCCATGAATCATCGTTGACTTCTCTCTCAGTGAAATTAAAACATTGGCCGCAGCTCAACATCAGACCAGCTTAATTGGCTATAATGGGCCAGTCTCTTGACCTACATGAATCAAACAAGCCCACCTCAGGACCCAGTCCTTCTGAAGAAATAAAACAGTCTGTTGGCTCACCAACATCAAATTCTTTTAAGCTGCGGTAGCTTCTCTAAAGTTACAGAGTTACTTCTTGTAGGGCAAGCAAGAAGGGGAACATAAGAACTGCTATGCTGGATCAAATAAAAATTCTGTGCAGTCCGGAACATCTGCCTTCCACAACCTCCACTCTCGGAAATGTAAGAATCAGAGCATGATGGATATGAACAACTCTGTTCATGCATCATGGACGGCTAATTGCACCTAACTGGTGACTCTGGGTAGAGATTCACATCTTTATATGAACTGAAAGATGCAACCACCTTCTGGGTAGTGGTGCCTGCCCTGTGGAATGCCCTCCCATCAGATGTCAAGGAAATAAACAACTATCTGACTTTTAGAAGACATCTGAAGGCAGCCCTGTTTAGGGAAGTTTTTAATGTTTTATTGCTTTATTATTATTATTATTATTATTATTCTGTTGCGAGCCACCCAGAGTGGCTGGGGAAACCCAGCCAGATGTGTGGGGTAGAAATAAAAAAATATTATTATTATTATTATTATTATTATTATTATCCAGCCAGTTCAGTGGGGCCTGGATAAGGCTTGCAATGAAGGTGAATGTAAGAATCGACTGTGCACCCAAGAGACTGATTTTGTATAAGGCTCATAAGAAAGTTGTCTTGCGCTGAGTCAGACCATTAGGTCAGACCAAATTCTGTAATTCCTGCTGATGTGACTCAGAGGAATTTCATCAGCTGCAGTTGACATTTCTCCCTCAAAGATGACTGAAGTCTTGCTCACACTTTGTGGTACCACGCTGTCGCCCTGATCCTAAACCCCCATATAGTTTCACAGGTGTTTGTGTGTGTGGAATTGCGTGTCCAAAATTACCCAGGCTTCACTGTGGAAAGATAGAAATGCCTTCAAGTTGTGGAGCAAAAGTACTGATGCATTTGGAGAGTAGCTAAGGTATGTTTCAAGGTGAGTTAAGGCCAGCTCTGAAATCTGGTGGCAAAACAGCTGGTCTGCCATTCCCCATCTCTACTACCGCTCTTCAAAATACTTCATAGTCTGTTACTGTTACCTTTGCAACATCTATGTTCACCATTACTCCCATTTCATAGATGAGGAATTGAGGCCAAGAAGATGGGCCGCAAGCCAGTTTAACTAAGCACCAGTTGGGAGCCTTGCCAGTGGCTTTTGTGAGAGGTGGATTGTATCCATAGCAAATTTTGGTCCAGGGCCATAGAGGAAGACTCTGGCAGAGGTGGGACTTGGACCCAGATTGGTCTCCCTCATTGAGGCTCCGATTTGTATTGTTTGGAGCAGATGTGCTATTGGAAGCTGCAAGCAGACAGCTCCTCCACAATGCGTTCAGTAAACGTTACTTACTTTGGACATTTCATTTGACAGCCTGTCAAGTCTCTGCTGTGAAAACCTCAGAGTGAGCTTGCGAGAAATGCAACGAGAATTTCCCAAACCTCCCAGTCCATCTCTCATGCCAGCTCAGCTAAGCTGCGGCAGAACCTACGTTTTTACTGCCATTTCACAAACCCGTAGTAATGAGTAAGGGACCGTGAGCAATGTGTACAGGCTCGGCGGACCCTTTAATTGGCTAATTAAGCCAAACAACTCTGAGGGTACTGTAGCAGATCAAGCAGGATTTACCTAATGCAGACTGACATCTTGACTTCCCTCAGAGTTTGGCACAAAACTTGTGGTCCGATCACAGCTCGGGATAGACGGGATAGAATTACACTTTTTCTTAAAAACTCCTTTCTTTCTGTAGAGAGTTGCTGACACCATCAGATCTGGTGCTGGAGCTTAATTTCATATTAAGTCTCCCGGTGCCAAAATACGTTGCTATACTGTAGTATGGAGTTAGAAGTGTTGCCCAACAAAGGCTGGCTTGACGTGTACTTAGCGTGCCACAGTCTGATTTTTTGGGTAGGTATAATGGTTCTCACCACACTTACAAGTGTGCCTTGTGTGTTCCAAGTATATATTCCAGTAATGCACATCTGAAAGACAGACATGAGTTCCATGCATATCAAAACCCAGGGGCTTTTAGGGCATATCCATACCACAAACCTACAATGGGTTTAGAACACATTTGTCCACCAGTTATATCTATATTCTATTTTTTAGCTAAGATTGGCTCTCAGATTGGCTTGCAATTAAAATCCATACAAAGGACACAATCAAAACATTTCTACATAATTCATAAGATCCAAAATAAAGATACAAAAAATCAACAATGGTAACCCTCTAAACAATATCCAAGCCCAAGAGTCTGTTCAGCAGCATCAGCCTTCGTAGTTGGAGTCAGTCTGGGTCCTGCCAGGTGGGAAAAGGCCTGCAAGGCAGGGAGAAGTTCTACTAGGATTTATAGCTAAGATGAATATATCATTGTTATATTGGCTGTCATATTGTGGTACTGATTTTCCTTCTAGCTAATTTGGGTTTCCTTTTGGGAAAGAAAAGCAGGTTATACGTGGAACGAAAGGTCCCAGCCCACACAAGCATCCCATCTGCTTATTTTATACCAGTCTGATGTCATTTGTTTATTTCAACTTTTTGTACCCAAATTTCCCCCAGTCCCTCGGGGTGGCTCACATCACCACTTAAATTTACAACAGCTACAACATCCCACTTTCTACATGCAGTAGAAGCAAGCAAACGAATTAGTCAGCCATATACCTTGAAACAAAAATCTGAATGGCAGCAAAATAAGAACCAAAGAACAGGAGTGTCTAGACAAATCTCTTTGGAGGAAAGGACACAAGGAATTGCCTTATATTAAGTCAGGCCACTGATCTGTTAAGCTCAGTACTGTTTGTACTGACAGTAGTTCTCTGGGGTTTCAGAGATGGAATCTTTCCTGAAAATGCGTGGGATTGAACCCAGCACCTTCTGCATGCAAAGCAGATTCTGTACCACTGACCTGTGGCCCTTCCCCAAAGGGGAACTACAGAAAGGGGTTCTTAATAATAATAATAATAATAATAATTTTTTATTTATATCCCGCCCTCCCCAGCAGAAGCCGGGCTCAGAACATTAAAATGATACAACATTCTAAAATCATTTCATTATAAAATCAGTTCAAATCAGATTAATTGCAACCATTGGGCTAGAGTTCTGTGAGGATTGCCAAAGAAGGGGGTCAGGCTGTGCCCTGGTGGAACAGCTCTGTCTTGCAGGCCCTGCGGAAAGATGTCAAGTCCCACAGGGCCCTAGTCTCTTGTGACAGAGCGTTTCACCAGATTGGAGCCGCAGCCGAAAAAGCCCTGGCTCTGGTTGAGGCCAGCCTAACCTCTCTGTGGCCCAGGACCTCCAAGATGTTTTTGTTTGAAGACCATAAGGTCCTCTGTGGGGCATACCGGGTGAGGCGGTCCCGTAGGTGCGAGGGTCCTAGGCCATATAGGGCTTTAAAGGTTAAAACCAGCACCTTAAACCTGATCCTGTACACCACCGGGACCCAGTGCAGCTGGTATAGCACCGGGTGAATGCGATCCCGCAGCAAGGACCCTGAAAGGAGTCTCGCCGCGGCATTCTGCACCCGCTGAAGTTTCTGGGTCAGTCTCAAGGGCAGCCCCACGTAGAGCGACTTAAAATAATCCAGTTTGGAGGTGACCGTTGTGTGGATCACAGTGGCTAGGTCAGGGCGAGAGAGATAAGGAGCCAACTGCTTAGCTTGGCGGAGATGAAAAAATGCCGCCTTTGTTATAGCTGCAATCTGCGCCTCCATGGAAAGGAGCCTCTTCTCCTTCATATTAATAATTGGTGTTCTCATAGCTACTCCCCACCCCCAAGAATCCTAGCAATTGCATTGTGATGAGAGTGCTGAGAATTCTGTTAGAGGTTACTTGCCTCTCCTTACAGAGTTACAGTTCCCTGGGAAGAAGGAAGGGCTCTTAAACCAATTTGTCTATTCTGTGCAAGTCAGCCTTAGGTTTTGTAACAGATAAATCCTAGCTACTTTGTCGATGATGCATCATATCAGCCAAAATTGCTTTGCAAGAATATGTACGTTAGGGAGAATTGCTTACAAAAACGTGTGTATTAGGAGAAATTGAGACCCAAATGCTGATGAATTTCCACGAGGACTTTCTTAAAAAAACAATTCCACCAACTGATTGGGAAGCGTGGAGACCTGCCTTGGAATGGGTGTTTCCCATACTTGGGTCTCCAGCTGTTTTTGAACTACTATTCCCATCATCCTTGACCACTGGTCCTGCTAGCTGGGGATGATGGGAGTTGTAGTCCCCAGCTGGAGACCCACATTTTGGAAATACCGGTCTAAGTAAACCATGTCGTCCAAGAATGCCTACAGCTATCTCACTGTGACCCTCTCTACCACCTTCCTTAGGAAGGAGATGCCTGCAAATGATCAGTACTTAGTCCAAACAAAAGGGCCCAGGGCCAGTTTCTTTAGGAGTGACCATATCACCGCCTCTTCCAAGGGGACAGGGGCCACCCACTCATGCAGTGAGTCATTGCCCGTGCTCTAGAAATAACCAGTCAGACCCCCTCTGTTGATAAGCCAAGAGTGACAGGCATCAAGAGAGCACGTGGTTGAGTGTATAGCCGCAAGCCCTTTGTCCACATCATCAGGCTGCAGAAACTGATTCCACAGCACAATCACACACTGTGGCACTGGGTACTTCAGTTATAGCTGCAAAAACTACAAGTAAAGCTGACAGTTTTACAGAAAAGGAAACAGAAGAACCCAAGCTGGAGAATGTAGGAAAGTCCTGATCAGTGACGCCCAAAGGATAACTCTTTAGGCCCCTTGCACATAGATTGCAAAGGTGGATGAGTTTGTAGTAGGGTGCAAAGCCTCATCCCATTGCCCAGAGAAACTTTGTGTTCAGCAAATTTGTATCCCACCTTAAACAGAGGTTGCTAAGTGGCTCACCTGACAATATAATAATCCGAATAATCTGAAACAGGCAGCTGGCTATCAGCAATGCCAGAATTTTAAACCACTGCATAAAACTCTTCTTTAAAAAAATCACCCCATTTCCTTCCAAGCAGCAGTTTAGTAGTAGCCAGAAGAAAAAAATGTAACACCACATTTTAGCAACAACAGAAACAGAATTTGTTTCTTAAATTCATAGGTCCCAATTCATAAAATCCTTTAAATGTCAAAAGGTTAAATGGGGCCTGGGAGTTAATTGAATAAAAATTGAATAAATAACATAAGACACATTTTTAAAAAATGTAATAAACAATATCTGAAATATTAAGCACTAAATTCACACCTATTTCACTTTCCCCTGCCTAGCAGCTGCTGCTTCACAACAAACAATAGGTGACAGGGTGGCCATTTTGCTCTCTCTCCCAGCAAAACAACACTGATTTCTTAAATTTATTCTAGCCTCGTCTATTTTGCCATAAACTCGCAGCAGTGCTAATATTCAGAGATGTTAAGGGAAAAGCAAATATTGACTATCTAAAATTAGGACTTGTACACTCAAGATTATAAAAGCAAAGCAGCAAGCCAGATGGAACATTGTATTTAAGCAGAAAGGTCAGTACAATTGCTGCGAGGTGTTTACTTTTTATATGAGGGTACCATATTTGAAGAAGCAGATTTGTCCCAGGCAACAAATTTGCTAGGGAAACATTTGCCGGCTATGCTCATTGATGCATCCGTGTAGAATTATCTGCCATTATCATTAGAAGCTTGTACCATAAATCAATGAAAAAATAATCAATTAAGGGGTGTGTGTGTCATTCCATAAACCAATGAAAACCTCATCCATTGTGTATGTGTGGGGGGGTGTCATTTCATCTATCTTGATCATACACCTCCTGTGGACTTTGGGGTTAATCTAAACGTCATCTGGTTATGCTCAACATTTTTGATTCACAAGGTTTTATTAGTGCCATCCCAGGGGCTTGGTCAGTAAATGAAATCAAATGTTTCTGTGGCTTTAGAATGATTCACTGGTCTCTTGAGTACTGAATCTGATTTTGCAGGCGGTGGCTGGTTGGTGTTAGATCTGTGCTTGTGACTATGTTTGTAAGGCTGAGTGTTCACATTCTGCAGACTAAAGTTGCAACGAGGTGGTAAATTTATTTGCAAGGTTTAAAACACAGAGAAGGAGTAGTATTGAAAAACTGAATCTTCTGCCTGTAGCCTAAAGTGGTTCGATCCAGTCTCATTTCAGGATTATATCTTTTTATTCTATGGCATGTGTCATTCAGGACAACTCCTTCCCAAAATACCTAGGGGGACCTACTTTTCCCTCTTCCTTCCAACTTCCCCTCAAAGCCCAACTTTTCTGTAAAGCATGTGGGATAATCACCTCTTAGTCCCCATCTCCAATTAAAATGCAGCAGCGTTTGGTTGCCGTTCCTTTTTTTTACCCTTGCTTCGGCTATCTTGGGCACTGTTGAAATGTAGAATGCAAGCTCCTTGGGGGCAGAGACCTGTCCAATACACACACACACCCATTCATGTTTACTATGTGAAACCTGGTCCATAGGTGCATTATAAAGCAATAGTAATTGTCCCACGCAGAAGGAGAATAAATTATGCAAAGCAAGTAAGTGCAAGCAAAGGTTGCAGAATTTTCAGGACATGGGTTGCAGAATTCAGCTACCGGTAATGTCGGCACAGAGTTATGCTATTCTCGCCATCATCATCCTGGGTTTAAATGTCTGCCCAATGTTTAGTCTGTTGTGTTGCTGTCTAGGTCACCTTGACTTAGCTGAATGTGTGCGGCAACACTGTAATTAACCTGTTTCAAAAGCTAACTGTTCACTTGGGATGAGCAGCTGCTGTGCTTGCCCTGGGTGGTTTGGTAGCGATGCAGCAAAACATTATTAAAATTTGGAAACCTTACATATTAGCTGACTTCAGAAACAATGGAGTACTTTGTGCCTGTGGGGAACCCCCTGTTAGGAAGGGCCGGGGTGTAAACTGCAGTCACAACGGGGGTAGTCCCAGAGGTCCTTCTGACTCAGACACATCTGAGTCATCACTCTTCTTCTGCCTCCCCCTTCCCTCTCTTCTCCACCAATCCCAAGGGGCAATGATTATACTCCAGGCTTTCAACAATACTGAAATGACTTGCATGTTTCTTCTTTTGAATTGGTCATTCCAGATCATCAAACTAAACCCTTTTTCCTTACCACTCTCTAGAAAACACCCATACTTATTTCATGTTATCCAGAGTGAGCTCTGAAACCTTTTGCTGGCTTAACTCAGAGAGGAACCCCCCAGTACCATAAATACCTCTGTGACACCTGTCAGGTGCTGCTTGCCTCCTAAGCTATCCTGCAGGGACTGGAGAAATTGCAGGTACTTGACGTCATCCCACAGAGCAACAATTAAAGGAACAGAAGTATCAGCTAATGAGTCCATCCTGTCAAAGCCATTCCCACCCCCCCAAAGCGGTGCAGTGCAACACAGTCTCCCTGTGACTCTCTTGCCTCTCCCTGCTCCAGGGCAAACTCCTGCCTCACTGTTTCCTTTCTGCAAATTCTTAGAAACAGCAGAGGTGGTAGTAAATTTGTATCTGGCCTGCACCACTTCAGAACTGCAGGCGAATGTCTGCATGAATGCTCCCGCACACAAATAATTATTTGCCCATAGAAAATTAGCGTAAATAGGGAGGCGGCCAGGCTGAACCTTTCCTCCCAGATGCCTTAAAAAAAAAAGGGAATTTTGTCTCATATGGTCAGGCAATGTCCCATCTGCAGCCTGAAGCGATTCAGTGCAGAAACGAATTAATTGCTTCTGGCACAGCCTGGTTTGAAGCAAGTTTCTAATCTGGGAATAGAAATCTCTTTCTGAGAACTAGCTCCTCGTTGTCGCGGTTGAGAATTAAGCGTGCATAACTATGGATGCTTATATATCCACCTCTGCCGGATTCCATCTCAGATACTGAAGTTCCGCTTCACCAGATAAAGATAAATTTACTAGTGCTGTGATGCAAGCACTGACCTCATCAGAGGCGAGGCAGGCCGCTCAGCAAGTCTTTTACTCTGACAGAGCAGGAGATGTTCTGGTTGTACTGGGGCTTCTGTGATGGGGTCCTCCAAGCCAGAGGACATCAATGTGACATTCTCAGGCCAGAGGAACACTGGTGCCACAGGCTCTTCTGATGGATGTCTTTCTGGAGTTGACCCTTCATGCACTTCCGCTTCTGAGTTCTCAATCTGATGCCCTGAAAGAGGAAGAACAGTGCTTTCTCTACCTACTATGGTCCTAACAACCCCCTCTCCCAGCACCCATTAGGTCTAGAAGGCAATCTCCCAGAGCCACTGATGGAGGCCTACCTTTCAGCTTGAACAGCCACCACAGAAAAGACAGTCTTCATTGGTGCAGCGTCAGAGGTGGAAAGGACTAGCCCCACATATCATGTGCTGCAGTCCTGGCAAATACCAGCATGTCCCTGTGGTAGCTATTCATAGTTCTTTTTTTAAAAAAAACAACAACAACCGTGGCACATCAGGAGACATGATTAGCATCCCATCTCGTTTGGCCCTTAGTCTCTTGTATAAACATATAATTTCCAGAATTTGAGAATCAGCACAGCCTGACAGAAAATGCTAGACTTGGATCCAGAAGTTGCCAGCTGAAATCATTGTTTAGCCATAGACTTATCCTAAATCCAGCACTGTGCAGTTTAATTGTGCTGTTTAATACCAATTTGTCCATTTGCTTTAACTTGAAATGTAAATTATTTCCAACAGCAGTCTTACAGTTCACTGTTGAATGCCTGACGCCTGCTACCTTAAAGCATTGTTGCATTTTAGTTTTTCCCCCTCCGTTATTAAGCAACCTACATATGCAATCATGCATTACTTATACGTTGAATATTTTGTCTGGTTGGGCTTTACCTTGTGATCACTGGACACTGCACAATGGTAAAAACCAAAGCAAACAGAAAGCCAAGCAAACCAGGACTGGTTTTGCAGTTTTATTTTTTTGCCTTTGGACAGTCATTTGACATATGCAAAATGGGAAATAATTGACCAGGTGGCACTATCGTTGAGAAGGAACAAAGGCTTTGAATGAGCCACACACTAAGAAGATGAATTGTTTTTTAAAAGGCAAATGGTTTTCTTGGGAGCATTAATAGAATTGGGTAGGTAGAAGGTGATTTTCCATTCCGTTTAGCACTAAGCCAGCTCTTTGCATGAATGTACCTGGGTGCAATCCAGGGAAGTTTAAGCATGTTTTAAGTGCCAGTGAAATAGCTGTGTAAGTTGTGAAGACTGCACCTAATATGCTGACGAAGAAGAGAGGAAGGAAAGAACCTGGTGTAGGGTCTTAAGAGCAACAAGGAAAGGGCTGGAGGAACTAGGAAAATTTTAGCTCAAGGAAAAGACCAGAGTGTGTGGGAACATAATAGCAATTTGAATATTTGTAAAAGGGCTGCTCAAAGCAGGATGCTGATCGTGGGTTTTCTTTCTTTCTTTCTTTCTTTCTTTCTTTCTTTCTTTCTTTCTTTCTTTCTTTGACACTCCACTGAGAGTGGACCAAGATATGAATAACTGAAAAACTGGTGAGGAAATCTGTGACTTGGGTAGCAGATCTTCCAGGAAACACTTGTTAGTAGAAGCCTTTGAAAAAGCTTGGCAGAAGCAGCGAAACTCCAGCAAGCACATTTTTGTTGTTATTAATCTCTGCTGTTGTTATGGAAATGCTTAGGGTGGGTGGCCATTAAACGTATTTGCAATCATTTATTTATGAAAATTTTGCTACCACTCCAAGTAGTCAAAGGTTTATATTTTCACAGCTGAGCCAAAGCCTTGGCCAGTGTTGGTGAGTTGGTAGGGTGACCAACCTTATGTATGTTTGTCCATTGTATTTTGTGGGGCTTACTTTCAGGTAAATGAGCATAGGACTGCAACCTGAATCTTGATGTTCTGCAGCGTTTGAATCCTACCTTTGCCAGGAGGTCACTAGGCAAACTGCTATGCTCTCAGGCTTAGCCTTCCACTTGTAATGTAGGGAGATCTCGTTTTGCAAAGTTGTTGTAAGAATGACAGCAAGAGAACGCATACAAAATACAGTGGTACCTCGGGTTAAGAACTTAATTCGTTCCGGAGGTCTGTTCTTAACCTGAAACTGTTCTTAACCTGAAGCACCACTTTAGCTAATGGGGCCTCCTCCTGCTGCCACACCGCTGAAGCACGATTTCTGTTCTCATCCTGAAGCAAAGTTCTTAACCCGAGGTACTATTTCTGGGTTAGCGGAGTCTGTAACCTGAAGCGTCTGTAACCTGAAGCGTATGTAACCCGAGGTACCACTGTACTTTGGACATGTTATGGTGCTGTAGTGGTGAGGAAGAGCGTCACCCCCTTTTTTCATGCTTGACTTAATATTTCTTTCAGATGGGCAACAGATTTGGGAGATGGAAGCCACCGTGGACAAAGATAAGAGCCAACCTGTAAGTAGTGGGCACTCAGCACATTCTCCCACTTCTCCTTCAGGTACCAGGTTTCATTCTGTAGCAGCAGAAATGCCTCTGAACACACAAAGGCTGCAATCCAGTTGGAACTGGGTGCATTGTTGCAGACATTGGGATCAGTGGAATAATTTTGTTTACTCATTAGAGTACTTGCACAGGCTGCCTTTTAGCAAACGGTTCTCAAAGTGGTTAACAAAAGCATGTTTCGATAAAGCTTAGGCACTCTGTTTTGGATTGTAGCCTAAGCACACATGTTGTGGCCTTAGTGTGTTTCCTCATGGTTGGGTTCGCTATTAAGCATATTCACGAAACACTGGTCAGACTCGTATAGGCTGTGATCTTGCAAAACAGAGATGTGTGCAGTTTCCCCACTGCTGGCCACTTAAATCCAGCACCTCTCTACTGTGTTATCCAAACGTTCTTGCCCAGTTACTAGTAATGGAACTTCACATTCTCCTGGGTTTCTGCAGTGGTAACTCTTCCCTACTTCTAGGTAGCTAGAATCTAAGCAAGAGCTAGAGGTCAGTGAGAATCTACCCAAAAGTAGGTGCAGTCTACATGAAAACAGAACTTCCCAAGGGTAGAACTTATTTGCCACCAGCATGTAAAGGAAAAAATGTCAGGCAAAATATACAAGGCAAGTTAATAGAAACAGGGGAAACTGGATAATTTGTCAGGGCAGGATGGTTGTCTTAAGGTTAGATTATGGCTATAGTAAGGAAGGAAGCGTGCTTCAGATTTTCTGCAAGATCGGCTACATCGTAACTGGAAAAGCAATACTCCTAGTACATCCCATGACAAATGTATTAACAAAGGGTACTGATATAAACAGAGTGCCTTCTAATATCATATTACTGTATCTTCCCCACACCCATTTTAAAAATTACTTTCAGAATATGCTTTTCGTGGAGATACCAGAATATCGGAATAAGCACATTCGTTCTCCCATCAAGGTGAATTTCTATGTGATCAATGGAAAACGGAAAAAAAGCCAGCCACAACATTTTACCTATCACCCAGGTAATTATTTATGAAAAGGAATGGAATATGGCACAATATTTGGCAATTAAATATTATTTATCTTTTATCTATCTATCATCTATCTATCGATCCTGCTGAACCAGAATTATCAAGCATTCTGAGATGCTATCTTTTAGCCAGCATTACAGTTAACACAGCTCAAACCATCTCTGAATCAATGAATTCTAAATGCAACATCCTAGGCTACAAATAAAGCTGTACAATAAATCCCTACAGCTTCTTTCTTCACACCTACATGGTTCTAGACTTACACATTTTAACACAGAGAGCAGTTTTCATGGCCAGCACCAATTTATTTTAAAACATGCATATCACTTTATTTTATTATTTCAAAAGTTTGTATACAGCTTAATCATGGTTATCTTCAAGTAGTGTACAGAAGAAGAGATTCAGAATTAAATATATTTCGTTGAATGCTGCCCTATATCTCGCACAAGGGAACTTTTCCTCTTCTTCTCCCCCTGTACATGCCCCCACATCTGTCCCCGACCTGTTCTGGAGGGTTGGGGAACCTCAGAACAGATTTAGGGCACATGTGGGGGGAGAAAAGAGGGAAAACATTCTGTTGCCCAAGGAGAATTCTTCAGAATTCCACTTTTTCTAGGCTGGGTATATAGATGGCCATGGTGCGGAAGTGAAATATAACAAATTCTCCAATTTTACAGCTAGGGAACTGTCACTAAGATGGTGGCTTGTCCAAGAGCACTCAGTGAATTTCTGGCTGGCCAGGTTCAATGCAGTCTCCATCAGGCTACACTGTGGGGCTCAGGTCTGTGCAGTTTTTGGAATGAACTAGTGTGATTTAATGAAGTTCAGCAGATTAGTTCAGAAGTCTCTGAACTACACCATAAAGTAGTTCCCACGATTGTCAGGGGAACTTAACATGAATTAAGTCCATTTTGCGGTAGAACGTTGAGCAATTTCTAGTTCTGGTTCATTCTCCTACCGGTGTTTTTGACTCTTTGTCTCTTTGTGTCTTTAAGCTTCAAAATTGTAATTGTTGGGAGGAATAAATTAAGCAATTCACATTCTACAGTTTTGATGTTTTCTTAGCCTCCTTAAATATACTGTATACTTCTGCACAGCAACTTGTAACATTCTGAATACTGAATATTTTCTGCCAAGGATCCTTTGGTGAACTTGAATTGAACTGTGAACTGTATAAAGAGACAAATGTGAACTGGAAATGTTGAATGCTGGGATAGCTCAGTCAGAAGAGCATGAGAATCTTAATTTGAGGGTTGTGGGTTTGAGCCCCACGTTGGGCAAAGGATTCCTGCATTCCAGGGGCTTGGACTAAAGGACCCTTGTTGATGCCCTCTAATGCTACAATTCTATTATTCTATGAACCTGCGAGTCCATGAAATAGATATACTTCCTTTTTAAAATGAACTTTCCAAGCTATGGGTCTGTGATGGCCCATTCACACATTCAAGCCATCGCTTGGTGTTGCAGCAGCAGACAAGTGCTAACATGAATATGTGAACCAGAGCTAAGACTGGGAGAAAATGTGCAGTGTGTTGGTTGTTAGTACTCATTCTTCTCTCTCCTCTTAACCGTTTCCTAGACGTTTGTTTAGAGCTATGTCCTTTGTGCCCTTTGTTCCAGTGCCTTCCATAAAAACAGAGCCCATTGATGACTATGATCCAGCTTTAATCTGCAACACAGTACACAGTGGTCTAGGAACAGTAACACAGCCTTATTATTCCCACCATACAATGGTCTCTGAGTCTCCTTCCTGTCTTGTGGCCACGATGGCTTCTTGCCAGCAGTTGCGTTCCAGCCTGTCTTCTCCTGAATCTCGATATCCTCAACAAACCCCAGGGGCTGTAATATACCAAAGAAGCAAGAGTCTCAGTCCTAGCCACCTGGGCTACCAGCAATCCAGCTTGATGGCCGCACAAGTTTCCATTCCAGATGTGCACAGGTCTGTGCTGGTGCACACAGGCTCTCCCAGCCAAAGTGCAGCAGTGCTCCACCATTCTCCAGCCAATCAGCAGTCTTCCCCCGTGATTCACTGCTCTCCCACCACCAATCAGCAGCTGAGGTGTGAAAGCCATCAAGAATTCCAGCACATCATGTGTAGTGAAAATTTCACATCTAGCGGAGTGAGATCCAGCCAACCTCAGGTCAGCCAAGCACAAAGGTTAAGCCCAATTTCGTACCCTACCGTGATTCAGCAGCAGAGAACAGCCAAAAATGGACCGCCAGTAAGCGATCAGAAGGAAGCAGTGCCAGCTGGAGTCACGGTTAAACAGGAACAGAATCTTGACCAAGCGTATTTGGATGATGGTAAGCACGCTAATTTAAACATACCCTGTTTATCCAGTCTGCACCTCTGTATGAAAGTGGTGTGATGACCATTTTTGTAGGGTTCAACTCTATGGTTTGGAAAGTGTGTGTGTGTGTGTGTGTGTGTGTGTGTGTGTGTGTGTTTCAATACAAAATCTTTCATTTATTGAATTTTAAAAGCTGGCAGTGTTCTTTAAGGTCTGGAAATTTGTTTAATTCTCTTTGGAAAACATTTGCATTAGCATCAGATGCTTTAAATTTATGAGGCATATTTTTTGCAGTTTCACAAACAAATCTTTGAGCTGGAATTCAGAAATGTACACTTAACACCTGAATTTGTGCAGATGCTGCTTCTCTAAAATTCTTTTGTAGTGTGCTGCACCCAAAATGTTTTATATCATTCTATGAAGTTTGCAGCAGGCCTGCAGGTTTTATATAGAGGTACCTGAGTATGTAGATTACCGAAAATGTTGCTTTCTTCTTGTGAATTCAGAGGTTTCTGCTTTTGCAACCAATAAGAAAAGCTGTAGCAAGTTTTGGTTTGACTGCATCCCATGTTGTTTGCTTCATCAATAGGTCAATTAATTGTTTTAAGTTGTAACACACTTTCCTGTTGTGTTGTACAAAGCTGGGATGGGGAAAATTGCTTAGAATTCCACCCCTGTTCATTTCCATTTCAGAACTCCTGGCTATTTTGCAAGACAACAGCCAGGCTCTTAATTTAAAATATACTAGTGTCTTTCATTATAATGGGAGCACCTCACTATGGCATCCACATTTAAACAGAGACGAGTCACCCTGTGTGATGGGTGGAAAACAAGACTTTGCCTTCTGCCACACAACAGTGTTCACAACGCAGGGTTTTACTTTCTCCAATATCAATGAATGACACTGAAAACCATTCGTTTATGCAAGAGGAAGCAGTGATGTGAGGAGCAACCTCATTGGACTAAACATGCCCTATATCTCTCAAACTGTTAAATTCCATAGAATTTAATGAGAGCCATTCAAGACCCAACTCACTGGTCCCAGTTTTAAAATGCACACCCTAGCAGGAATTTCCCAAATAACTTGGCAATTTCGTTGCTGTTGTTTTTGATTTTCCTTCCTATGTGAGCTTTTGCTGAGAGGCTGGTCAACCTGGGGCCCTCTGCATGTTGTAGAACTACAACTCCCATCAGCCCTAGCTAGCAGGTTCATTTATCAGTCTCGTTCTAGTGGCTAGGAACTGGGTGAGGTAACTTGCTACTGTACCATACATGGGGGCCTGTGACTATTTCACTGAAAAGAAGAGGGCCACTCATAGCTCAAAGCCATTCAGGAGGCTTGGCACTTCTGAACATTTTAGGGTTTATCCACACTTCGGTTTTCCTAGGCATGAGACAAGCAGAAGTGTGGACTAACCCTTACTTCGGTTGCTGTGAACAGAGTTGGATTTAGGGGAGGGTGACCGGTTCGCCTGCACTGGGGGCACCACAACAATGATAAACAATGGAGGTGGGGACCACCAAATTTTGACAATGCACAGGGTGCTGCTGGAATTTTAAAGCTCAAAGTTTGCCACTGCTGTGGATACATCCTGAATTGCATATAGTTTGGGATACTGGCAGTCGTGTTAGTATGAAATGGTTTCCCTACCATAGGGAAAAGGAAAAGCACAACTAATGAAACACATACCAGAGATACCGACTAGGGAGTGAAGTATCAATAGCCGTCCTATCTAATCTTTCCAATGAAAAATTAGCACTGCAAGCCATAATCCTATTTATTTTTTCTGAGCCGCTGTCCACTCTTTCCCCCTCTCATCCCCACAATGAACTTTGGGTCTTCATCTTACTTTGTTCTGTGTCCAGTTTTCTAACAGCCAGGATTCCTTTCATATCTCATTCTCCTTGAGAGATTTTTCATTTGCTTGTTTTGTTTTTAACCATACACACACACCCCTCTCCTTGAAGCGCTGCCCTCGTTGTGCTGCTACAATTTTGAATTTATTTAAATCTGTATTCATTTATTAAAATAATGCATAGGCTGCTTTGCACCCAAGGATCCTGATTCAGCTTACAGAAGAACATTCCTGCACTTAGGGTGCTATCCGCCTAATCCTGCATTTGATTTAGTCCAGGGCCACTAATTGCACAAAGTAATTTAAGGATTCAATATGTTGGTTGAGCTGCAACAGTGCATGACCCCTGTTCTTTCCTCCTGGTTTCTCCATTTTTCTGCAAGTTGTCCTTGCATTGCATATTGTTACTTCTCCTTTTTTATTCTTAGAAAGTGGAAATGAAGTTGCTCAAAGCTGGCTCTTGGAAGGCAATGAAAGCACCCAGGGTGAACTGAAGGATGTTCTAGGACAGTAAAGGCCGCTATAGGCTTCATTCATAGACACTAGACCAGCCTTTCTCAACCCTGGATCCCCAGATGTTGTTGCACTACAACTCCCATCATCCCTGATCACTGGTCCTGCTAGTTAGGGATGATGGGAGTTGTAGCCAACAACATCTGGGGACCCAAAGTTGAGAAAGGCTGCTCTAGGCTGACTTCTCCCATGACGTTTAATAGCAACTACTTTGGGGTAGGCAAGGCTGTGCTCCACTTGGGAGGTCAAGGCAAAAATATTGGCTTGGCACCCCAAAGGCTTGTATGCTTCATTTCCCCCACCAAACCATCCTCTGTTGTGCATGGATTCCGTCTTTGGTTTGACTCGCCAAGAATTGCCTCCAAACCATTTGCACACTTGCTTCATATCATGACTTGGATCCTTGGTTGGCATAGTTTGCCTGATTTGAACATGCTGCTTTGCCTAATGTGTACTTCACAGCAAACTATGATTTAAGGAACCAGGAAAATGAGGTGGGAATCCACATATGAGAGAAGGGAGAGTCAAGGCCGTGGCACATTCATGGTTCAACTTAGGGGATGGAGGATGGGACACACCTCTCATCTGTCTCCAGACAAAGTCATCAGCTACACCACATCCTTGCCATGAATGAGGAAAACATGCCTAAAGTGATGTAGAAAGTCTCTTGCATTTTCTAATTTCCCATTGCCTGGAAAACATCCATTCATACTTTCACTGTGATATTTTAATGTAACTACTCTTTTCTGCCTCAGACACACTGAGCTTTGATGAAAGGACAGGAAATGCAAAGTTTTTCTTCTGTTTTCCCTCGAGCTTTTAGGGTGAGCAAGTTTGTATGTTTTTGAGGCCTGTGGTTTGATTAGAGAAATGATAAGTTATAATTAGAACAACTTTTTGTAGCAGGCATGACCATTTTTCTTGCAATTCATCCTGGGGTGTAGAGGATTTTTTTGAATAATTTTGCATGTAGCTGAACTACAGGATTAGGTATCAGTTGTGTCTTATCTTTATTGATTCTATGGGGTCTTCTGAACATATGCATGTGTGTATAAAATGTGTGAAATGTTCTATACAGTGTCAGGCCATTGGTCTTTCTAGCCCAGTATTATCTGCTTAGTCCAGCTGCACAAATATAAGATGGAGGACACCGGACTTGCCAGGACACCGGACTTGCCAGACACGTGAAAAGGATCTAGGGGTCATAGTAGACCACAAGCTTAACACGAGTCAGTGGTGTGATGCAGCAGCAAAAAAAAGCTAATGCTGTGCTAGGCTACAGTAACAGAAGTATAGTGTTCAGATCAAGGGAAGTAATAGCACTGCTCTATTCTTTCTTGGCCAGACCAGACCTGGAATACTGTGTCCAGTTCTGGGTGCAACAATTTAAGGAGGATATTGACAAGCTGGAATGTGTGCAGAGGAGGGCAACCTAGATGATCAAGGGTCTGGAAACCAAGCCTTATGGGGGAAGGATGAGAGAGTTGTGTATGTTTAGCCTGGAAAAGAGGAGACTGAGAGGAGATACGATAGCCATCTTCAAGTATCTAAAGGGCTGTCACATGGAAGATGGAGCAAGCTTATTTTCTCCTGCTCTGGTGGGTGGGACCCAAACCAATGGATTCAAGTTACAAGAAAGGAGATTCCAACTAAATATCAGGAAGAATTTTCTGTTAATAAGGGCTGTTTGACAGTGGAAACAATTCCCTCAGGAGGTGGTGGACTCTTCTTCATTGGAGATTTTTAAGGAGATGTTAGAAGGCCACCTTTCATGGATGCTTTAGCTGAGATTTCTGCATTGCAGGGCATTGGACTAGATGACCCCCGGGACCCCTTCCAATTCCAATTCTATTACCGTATTTTTCGCCCTATAGGACGTACCATCCCATAAGGCGCACCTAGTTTTTTTGGGGGGGAAATAAAGGGGAAAAAATTATTTTCCCCCCAGGCGCGGGGCTGGGGCGGGGGAAGTTCAAGCTTCCCCCGACCCCAGCCCCCAAACAGGCAGCTCTCTGCAAGCCGTGGGAGCGCTCCCGCTGCTTGCGGAGAGGTCCACGAAGCCTGGACGCGCTGAGCTCAGCGTGCGCAGGCTTCAGCATGCAGGCAACTCTCGCAGCAGCGGAGCCCAGCGCTGGGCCCCGCTGCTTGCGGAGAGTGCGGCCTGGAGGCGTGAGGGTCAGTGCGCACCGACCCTCTCGCTCTCCAGGCTTCAGCGAAAGCCTGCATTCGCCCCATAGGATGCACACACATTTCCCCTTCATTTTTGGAGGGGAAAAAGTGCGTCCTATAGGGCGAAAAATACGGTACTTTCCTTTGTATCAGATAGTCTGATATATTTCTAACTGATGGTGCTAGGGACTAAACTTGGGATCGTTTGGGTGCAAAACATGTTCTGGCATGGAGTTGTGCCTCACCTCTTTCCTTCTGTTCATGCCAGATTTCCATAGGAGAAGCCATGGCTGTTTGCCTTGTAGCTTGCCTCTAAAATAGCAATGGCTCCAGTTTCTTCGTGCCTTTGCTGCAAACAAGGCACTTGTTTCTCTAATGACTTAGAAAGGTGTCTGCTCTAGGGTAACCTATATGAATTTGCAGTTTTTTGCTAGCCAGTGTGACTTCTCAACCCGTGATGTGATAACATGTGTCCTCCATCCTCGTTTCTGTTACAGGATTTTATAACTTCTCTTGCGATAGGGCCTGTCTCTTATCTCCAAAGAACTGTTGTTCCACAGAAGTCATGGAGAGGCTTGAATAGCTGTTTGTAAAATGCACAAAGATCTTTGGCTATAAGGTGCCACATACTTGGCTCGCTGCCCAGGTATGTCCATTATAAGGGGAAAAGGAGGGGAGGACAAGCCCAATTCCTTTTCAGAACTCTTCCTCCAGTAGTATTCTCAAGTGGCTTGCCCGACCATCTGACAACATGCGAGCTACAAATAAAAAACGATAAATCCAAACTCAGCACCGGAGGAAGGAAGAAAATGAATTGAATGATTAAAAAAAAAAAGTTGTTCTACTGGCACTTCTTTGTTCTTGAATTCAGGAATCCTTTAATTGGTACAGTACAATGCCCGCAGGCAAGTTTTGCTATAAAGCGTTTCCTGTTCAGAAGAACATACAAAATCTATTAAGAGAGCAAGATCACCACAGAACGGAACTTGAGAGCCTCGCTCAGAGTACATATTCACAATTTGTGTTTGCACCCATCACGCAAAGGGTCTCTCAGGCGACAGGAAAGCCAAGAGGGGAACAAAAAACCCTCATCTATTTGGGAAACGAATATTGTTAAATCAAAGGATTGGGTGATCCTTGGGGAAGATACCTTCACCTGCCTTGCAAGCTGAGCATTCTTCTTGTGAATTTTTTGAGTGCTTCGTGCATAAATAGTGAGAATTTGCCTGTCTTGGAGCTCTGGCAAATACCGAACTTCAGCATCCTCTGGAGACAAGGTAAAAGACCCCGACAGTTAAGTCCAGTCGTGAACGACTCTGGGGTTGCAGCGCTCATCTCGCTTTACTGGCCAAGGGAGCTGACGTTTGTCCGCAGACAGTATTTCCAGGTTATGTGGCCAGCATGACTAAGCCGCTTCTGGCAAAACCAGAGCAGCACACAGAAATGCCGTTTACCTTCCCACTGGAGCAGTACCTATTTATCTACTTGCACTTTAACGTGCTTTCGAACTGCTAGGTTGGCAGGAGCTGGGACTGAACAACGGGAGCTCACCCCGTTGTGGGGATTTGAACTGCCGACCTTCCGATCGGCAAGCCCAAGGCTCAGTGGTTTACACCACAGCACCACCCACGTAGTTCCAAATAAATAAGGGCAATAGCACACCAGTTACCTTGACCAATGGTAGTTCCTGGCAGCAGGCAAATTGATCACCTTGAGCAGTATTGGATGACACCTCTCATCTAAACCATCCCTATGCATGGAGGGTTCAGCCAAGGACACTGGAAGAGCCAAAGTCCAGCACCCTGTTCTCAGTGTGGCAAACCAGATGCCAGGGGGAAGCCTGCGAGCAAGACCTGAGCACAACAGTGGTCTCCCTACTTTGTGATTCCCAGCAACTGGCATTCATACTGCCTTCCTCCAGTCTCCCCCCTTCTGAGGGATTAACCATTCAATAGTGGCCATTGTGCATCGGGTTTTATGTGCATAGGCTGTAATCAGGCACTGTAATCAGGGCTGGCACATAATGGTGTTTGGCAAGGATGCTCTCGTTCCCTTCCATTTGATGGACTGGTTTAGATTAGAAGTATCTTCCCGTCTCGGTTCTTGCGTTTCCTCACAGGCAAAAGCTATAGCTGTGCATGTTAGTGCAAAACATTTCCATGTGGATCAGGCATGTTAAATGCAGCATTTGACCATGGAACTGAGCTTGGCAAAACATTCCCCATGGGCAAGGACCTGCCTTGGGCAGAAGAAAGAAGCTGCCAGGTTTCCCTAACCCTTCCTCCTTGCCCTGCAAGTTTATAATACACACCCTTTCAGTATTGGACTGTTTTTCTTTTCTATAGTGAGATTCTAGGGCAGGCATGGCCAGACTTGGCCCTCCAATTCCCATCATCCCTGACCACTGGTCCTTTTAGCTGGGGATGATGGGAGTTTTAGTCCCAAAACATCTGGAGGGCCAAGTTTGGCCATGCCTGTTCTAGGAAGTGCACCAGTTCACAGCTGCATCAGTTTGCCCCCTATTCAGATCTCATCATCTCCCCAGTTTTATTTCTGCAAATGCCACAGGTGAGATGTGTGCAAAATTCACAGGGCAACTAGATGCAAAGGGGAACAGGAGAAGAGAGAGAAATCCAAGTAGGTGCACCCTGCAGGTATGAGGAGCTGCTCCTGGTTGAATTCTTCCTTCTATATACATCTAATTGTTCCTTTACATCTGGCTACCCTTTAGATACATTTACTATTCCAGAATATCCTGCAGGCTGTGCATCAAACGTTGTAACCCCTCACTCATCTTTTATACAGCACTTTTTAAAATTTGCAAAGCAGTCGGGGTGTCTGTCCTCACGATAATTTCGTGAGATAGCTTCCTGTCACTCCCATTCCACAGATGAGAGTACTGAGGCCAAGAGACGTTCCCCAAGGCCTTGCAGTGATTTCATCCCAGAGCCAAGTCCAGCTCTCTCTTCATTGGACCACATTGGCTCTAAAGCCGCCAACAGTTACCAGCACTGAGAAATCAGTTTCTAGATGACACACAACCACTTTCAGTGATGATTTTGAAATACGGTAAGAGTTGCCCAAGAGGAATGTGGCTGGGAACTCAACCACAATAAAACTCATTCCCAGACAAGCTGTGGACATGATTGCACCACAATGTAAATCACGAGCTACTCCCTTGCTCCTGTAAAGGAGGCTATAGAAATACCAAAGTCATTGACCAAAACAAGATGTAATGTCACAGTAATTTAGGGTTGCCACACGTCCAGACATATCCAGAATACTGCAGTCAGCAGCCGTGTCTGGGCGGAAATTGGCAAAAATGTCCAGGAAAATCCAGACGTATGGCAGCCCATGTTGGCAGTGCCATTTTTGCATTAAAAAGGAGCTCAAAACCGGCCAAAAAAAATTGCATTTTTTTACCTACAGTAATTAATTTTTTAAAAACTGTTAAATTGGACGTTAACAAACTCTGCATGGAGCATCAAGTCAGATTCTTCTTATTTTCCCCATTATACCGTCTACAGAACTGAAGCATAAATATTTCTAATTGCGCTCAAGAGCAGTTGGTCTCTAACCAGGCTGCGCTAGGATTTATCCTTGACTCAGGAACTTTTTTCAACTGCTGTGGTTTAGCTCCTTCAGCTCCATTTTCCTTTATCCCCATTCTCTCTGTCCATTTATTGACTGGAGGTCTCTCGACTGTTGTTCTCCTGCTGCCCATCTCTGCTTCCAGCTCCTAACTGAATCCTTCCACACTCTCCCTGATTCCTACTCTAGCATTCATTTTCATGCTACTCTTCCTCCAAGGATCTCAAAATTCCTTGTCCCCATTTTATCTTCATAACAACCCTGCAGAGGCATGTTAGGGTGAGAGAAATTCACTAGCCCTGCATCACTCAGTGAACTTTGTGAATGAATGGGGATATGAGCCTGGGTTGTACTGGCTCATGACTGAGACTTTACCCAAGGGTTGCCGGTGTTATTTTTCTCAAAGGACTCTCTTAAACATCTCCAGATGTTCAGCAATTGAAGGTTTTCCTGACACGGAGCTGGGGGGGAAGTACATCTGCTAAATTTCTGTGCCTAACAGATAGAAAAGACTCAGGAGTTCGATAGGAAATGGCCCAGAACAGTGCCAAATATCTCCCTCATTTCATTGGGCCTTCATGCAGCTGGCCAATGTGAGCAGCCATCTTTCCACCTCTAAGAATGCCCAGGGAATGATGATGTCACCTTGTTCCTATTTGGCCATTCTGCAGCAAATTGGAGCAGTGTCTGTGACTGGTGTTCTGCTGCTATTTCATGTGGTGGCATATTCCTCCCCCCCCCTTACTTTCTCCCAGTTTAGGAGAACAGCCAGAGCTTAGTGGTAGAGCATCTGCTGTATGTGAAGAAGGTCCCAGGTTAAATCTCTGGCATCTCTAGGTAGGGCTGGGAATGGCGCCTGTCTAAAATTATGGAGTACCACTGCAAGTCCATATCCTTCAACATGTCCCAGAGGAAAACCAGGATGCGGGTCTTTCAGGGCCTTGCTCCCTCATAAGTCATTTGACCCATGTGAGAGCATGCCCACCCCAAATGTGCATCTTTCAGGGCCACAATCTTGTGGGAACCAGGTGACTCCTACAAGAACATGGCACCCCAAAATACGTGTCTTTTGGGCCGCAATCTTGCAAGCATGGCACCCAAAAATGGGATGTCCCGATTAAATAGGGAGAGTTGAGGTGTATACTAGTCCCATCCACTGAGCTGAATGGGACCAGTGATCTCACTCAGTATAAGGCAGCCTCCTGTGTTATTTAAGAAAGGGGAGACAGAACAAAAAACCCTACCACTTCCATAGAACAACAAATAATAAATTTCTGACTCCTCCTTTAATTATTATTATTACTACTATCTCTCACCCCATCCCTGACACTAGCTCTCACCTTACCCAACTTGTTTTCAAAGTAATCGTGATACGTTGCATGGACTTGAGTTCTTAAACAAGGAATTGCTAACCTAGACCACATCACAATTGCTCACTGTTCGCTGCGATCAAACATTCTCCTGAACCCAAGGGGTTAAATGTGGGGACAGGGGTGCGCCCACATGCCCCTCTTCCAACATCCTTGCATATGTTGCACATGGCCATCAGCCACTGACCTTCCCTGTGTTGCATGGAAAAGTCTGCATGGGGTTTCTGCTCATGTTCACTTGAATTTTAGTATTTTCCTCTGTGTGATCAGAGATCCTGTTTTATTGGGATCCCCAGTTGCACAGGGAGTTCTGCTCATGTCAAATGAACGAAACCAGAAGCTCCCTGCAGGCTTTGCTTTGGGTACCAGGGGTGAGGAGCATGAAGCGCATGAGACTTGCCCCTGCCTTTAGTCCTTGCATGTTCAGGCGAACTCCTGAATACCACTATTAATTTTAAAGCAGATATTGGTCAGGAAGAGAGTCTGCCTTTTCAAAATAAATATTAGGAGAAGAAATAAAATTGAAAGCTTTTTTTCCCTCTAGATTCCACCATCATAAAAATTATGCTCATACTTCCACTGAATCTCATATTCATATTCAGCAGCCGCTTAGAACCTCAATACAAAAATTTAGCTCCTGGACAAAACAGACCATGAAATCATTTATAAATAAATGTCAGTTTGATTTATTTGTTGCAGCCACAAGACTTAAGAACCACTCGTTAGCACTTGGAACAAAATCTGAATAGTACGAAACACCCACACACTGTAAAACAACGGGTACTCTCACACTTGTTCAGTATTAGATTCAGGTAGGTAGCCGTGTTGATTAGATTCTGGTAGGTAGCCATAGGTATTTTGACTTGTTCAGTAGTAAGCAAGTATAAATGTTTTGATTGAATAAAAACATCCAGCATCAATACAGAGCAGCTGTCCATATTGGAAATCTCCCGGTAATCTCACATTGATCCATATAGAGTAAAGAGCATAGGAATTTGCAAAATTCAATTGCACTGTTGCAAATTTCAGTTGAAATTCACAGATATGTGCAGTGCAAATGGCTACTCAGAAGTAATACTCATTGACTTCAGTGGAACTTTCTCCCAGATGTGTGCAGTGCTTTTTTTCTTCTTAAAAAAAATGTTTAGGGGTACTCTCATTTTCCTACTCACATTGAAATACTTCCCCTCAGTGAGGCCAAACTTAGATTCACAAAATGTTTAGGAGTATGCGTACCCCTATGTTCCCCCCCCCCAGGAAAAAAAGCACTGGATGTGTGTATAGGATTTTGAAGCATAGCACTTAGAATCATAGAATTGTAGAGTTGGGAGGGACACCGAGGGCCATCTAGTCCAACCCCCTGCAATGCAGGAATCTTTTGCCCAACATGGGGCTCAAACCCACAACCCTGAGATCAAGAGTCTCGTGTTATTCCAACTGTCTGTTATTGCAATATGGAAGGCATTAGCTGGAATCTAAGAAGGGTGAAAGCATGTCTAAGAATTGGTCTATGTCAACGAAATAGTTTTAAAACCTGTTTTGTTATTTAAGCATAACGTACTATGGTGCTGCCTTGGCCTTGGCCAAAATAGCTAAGCCACATCGAATAAACACATTGTGTACAATGTTTTTGGCTGCAAGTGGTCTGATACCCATAAAGCAATTGACCAAAAAGCCAGATGTCTGAATCACTGAGACAAATTTTTGGTACCAGTTGAAAGTTAGGTTGACTAAATGTAATAGGGCCTTCCTCCAAGAAGCACATTTTTGGCAGTTTTATCATCCGGCATGGATGGTAATCTAATCCAGTAGTTGAAAGGGTACAAATGCAGCTTAATTTCAACTGGTAAATGTCCAATTCCTGTGCTTAAACAAACAGAGTGAACACCTGGCTGGGGGTTCCTTATGTACAGATTAGAGTTTTGCTCTGTAAGAGTTTGAGACAAGGCAGCAGTGGGTGCTCCATATCTCTGCACGATGACGTAACTGTGGCCAATAAAATGTGACACACAAGTGGTATGGAAATGGTTTCCATGCCCCTTCACATGACCTGTTTATTGAGCGTTCATCCTGCACAAAACTTATGTGGAAATTAGATTATATTGAGCATTTTCTCTGATTTGTTTGTGGGGCGGTTATCCGACAATGGACATCCATCCTGCATTTATCCTGATTTACTTTCATGCTGTTTATAGATCTCCCCATTAGTCATTTGTTCATCCCACCATTTACTATGCATTTCCCTGTCACTTTCGAAACCACGAAAATATGCTTCTTTTTTAAAAGTGCATTTACTGTGCTTGGGCAACAGAGCCTTTTAATCTACTTTAGCTATGCAAATTTAAAGCTGAGTCCCTCTCAAAAGAGTGACAGCCTGGATGCACCCTTTCTTACACGTATTACAGACGACCCTCTTTTATTGCTGTGCAGCAGAGGCAAGAGTTTGGTGATGGATTCTATTCTTGATTTTCTGAATATAAAGATTTTAAAGTCTGAACTTTACCACCTCTGCATGTTTTGCCAAAACATCCGGTGCTTCCCCCACCCTGCCTTGGCAAGCAATGAGAAAGAAATTACCTGATGTTGAATCACGCCAATTTTCCACCCGTTTTGCCAATCCCTTTTCTAAAGAATAGTTGTGTGTTAGGGGGAACCTCCTATCTACCCACAGCTGTATTTGGCATGAAAGCATGACTAAGTTTATTCACCAAATCTAGGACAGCTCTCTTAAGTTGGATGCTGCAGATTTCTGGAGAAATGTTTAAACCAGACAGGAACTAGGCTAGAAAGAAATACAGCAGCGAGGAAACTAGTGTTTGGATGGGCTAAAGACCAGATTGATCTACCATCTGCAATTAGACGAGAAACAAACAAACAAATAAACCCAAGAGTATGTCTAGAACCAACCCAGGGACTGAGTCATCTGCAAGAACAACGATGAACACAAAATTACAGCATGTACTTTTGCAACATTCGCACATAGGAAACATCTGGTTGGTTTAAATCTGGTTCCTTCCTTTTCTGGCCTTCTTAAGTTCAGAAGGTGGAGGGTATGGAGAACCCATTTGTGCAGGTTGGAGAGAAATCCTTAGAGCTTGAGATCCATTGGGGAGAGTGAAGCAAGTTGTCTCAGGAAGTTGATTTTGTGTGGCATGAAAGGAGAGCAACTTGTTTGCTATTTAAGATGTCCTCTTTCCTCCAAAAACCTGGACCCTGAAGCATCAGTGCCTGCTGATGGAGGCAACCGTAAAAGAATACAGCAGGAGACTGGGTTTTTGCTCTGTGAGTTTTGTCTGAAGTCTTTGTTTCGGTCGGAGTTAGCAATGGGCCGGTTGGAGGAAAGGGAGGCTGTTCTACCTTTTCAGCTATACAGAGAGTTGCATTCCATTTCACAGAAAAGGTGCCTCAAGAATGTTAACACTGCCATAAACGGTCATAACCAAAGTTCTCCATTATACCGTGCATGATTAACTTGTGGAATTCATTGCTGCAAGATGTGGCGGTGGCCACAGGCTTAGAGGGCTTTACAGGGGCACTAGACAAATTCATGGACAATGAGAGATCTGACAAAGGCTATTCAGTAACAGGTTTGAAAGGGATAGCTGGGGGGGGGGGGGGCTCTGAGTATGGGAAAAAAATAATTTCTCCCCCTCAATAAAAATATGCATGTCTGTGCATGCTATACACTAGTGCATCAGGGAGTAAACTGGGAGTAAACATTTAGGGATTCTATAGGGGGACGGGATATCAGAATGGCAGAGAAAGTTCTATTTCATACCCCACTAAAATGATAGTATTCTGAAGCAAATAAATCTACAATCCCAATAAAAATTGTAGGTGCAAGACAACCTGTTTATAGATAATTAATCCAGATTTGTTTGCAGAAATTTTGCAGGGACGTTATACAAGCTTGGTTGTTTATTGAGTGTTTGTTCTGATTTGTTCACTGGGAGGTTACATGAGGTGCATCAATCGTTATCCCTCACTTTCCAGTGCATTTTCCTGTCACTTTACTTAATGCTTTTTTGGGGTAGCAGATGTGTTGCGCCAGAGCGCCATATCAGCTTTAATTGCGTGACCTGAGTTTGCCAGTATGTGATTGAATCCCATTTGAAAATATGCAGTCTTGGAAGTGCCCTTAGTAATCTTCAAGCCAACAATATTTTAACCTGGTCTCAGTTGTGTTGCATGTTCTGAACTAAGCAGCATCTTCTATATTTCATGGCGTTCTGGAGTGTGGGGAAACCCTTTGAAATAAGGCAAAGAGACATTCCTTAATATAACAGTCACATATTGTCTGTACATTAACCAGGAAGGCAGCCAAACCTTGCATGCAGAAATGCAAGGTAATTTGAACTAGACTAAGAAATGCAATCAAATACGCAGAGTTTGAATTGGTTTTCTTGATTTTCTATACAGGGCTGGTTGAGCATTCCCTAAGTGTGAGATGGCTGAAGTTGGTTTTG